CGTCGAAATCGACGGTTACTTTCAAGGCTTACGCTAATTCATTTAACTGCGATATATTGAGTTAAATTATACATATTTTGAGCATTTAGCATTGTTTAAAAATCAATAAGTGTAAAACAATAACGATATTAATTGTGTTAGTTACCAAATGTGGTTGATCATTCAACGAATAAAATATTTCCCATACTTTGGAAGAACCTTTAAATAGTATTAAAATCGTATTGGTGGATCATTTTTAGTTAAAAACTTCCCCGATTTCATCAGTGTAATCAAGATTAATCTATGATTTCGTTTGAGAGAAAATTGAGCGGAGCGAGCGAAGCGAGCGAAGCTCTTTGGGATCAACTTCAATGCAAACAATATAACACCATCACTCAATAACGGCTGAACACATTTCAGCCAAATTTAACAAGACTACTTAGACTAATAATGAGATGGTTTGTAAACAAACAAATTTCAATTAGATAATGCTAATGCAATTTAAAACGAACTTAAAATTTCAAATTTTTAACATTAGGCTTATGGGATTAAAGTAGCTATGACAGTTTTTTTGTTTACAAGAAAAATGTAAACAAGAGAATCATAAGGTATTTCTGAACTTTCTATACTTTTCTTTTAAACGTTTTTAAACCATTCCTATAATTTTAATAAACAAGAAAATGCCGTTAAAACATTTTTTAAGGCGCGGAATTCACTGAAAATCGAGAAATTATACGGAACTACTTTCTCAATGCGCGGAGCATAAACAAGGAGCGGAGGGATACGGACCGGTGACTTCTTTCTTGGGAACCTATTTGTGTTGCCAGCTGATTAGAAACAGCCAATGTTAGAAATCAGGATTTAATAAGCGATATATCGAACCGCATCGAAATCGGTATTTAATCCGATAATACCTCATAGGTTATATTATGTTGAATTACATCGACGGTACAGTAAGTTATTACACTTATTGATAAAACGCAGATTGAACACTGATCTAATTTAGGCAGGTGGGGAGGTAGGTCGGGGTTTATGAGTATTCGTGACTACATTAAGTGTTTTGAAGTAAGGTTAGATTAGGAAGGTAAAGTGTAGGTTATAGGTAGGTGATCGGGTTGTTTATTTGTGTTGCACCATATAATTTTTATCTTTTGCAATGGAATAGTTGGTTAAGGTTAAACGGGGAAACGATTTCAAAAATGCTTGCATATGGTCTTAACTTAACAAACCATCTACAGTATTCTAGCTTTGACTTTATATAAAGTCAATGATTCTAGCAAATTATTACATACTGACCAAAAGAAAAGAGAACATTTGGTTTTGGACCTTTGACCATAGCAAAACTAACATAGGCCTATAATTTATGGAATGTGAAAGGTTGTATATCAACCACTGGACCTCTAGTAAATACTAAATAGATAGTATACAGTCTAAACATTTATATATACAGAACAGCCACACAAAAGTTGTTACTGCTGTTATTTAGTTCATTTCATGGTTGTGGCACTGACTGAAAAGCACACCAGTTGTCAGGTATGTTGGACTGTTGTATGATTCCAATTATATACACAATACACTCACAGCATTGTTAGGTTTAACATGATGTAATGGCTTATGGGGTTATTCTGTAATATTAATAATTGTTCGGCAAATCCTCATTTTAATGGCTCGGCTGAAAATGGAATCTGCATTTTGTGAAACAGTTATTTGGTAACAATTCAGTCATTTCAAATGTTGATAAAATTTCCTTTCTCTTTTTTATACTTTAATGCCCTTTTTGGATGTTAATATCAGATTCCAACTACTGTAATATTTTCCTGGTCAAAACTACCTTACACTTCTCGAAGAGGTAAATTTGAATTATTATAATTTTAATCTTTAAAACCAGCATTAGTAAATAAATCTATTGACATTTTTACATTTAGTTACTTATACAAATATCAAATCACGTTTGTTCCGCTCAACTGGCTTTCACCTCTCTGAAAGCAACCCTAGTATATATAGATAGATAGATTATTCTTGTAGTATGATCCAGTTTCCGCAGATACCACTCTTTGAAAGTCAATTACATCGTTTTCTTCACAGTCATCAATATCGCAATTAACAATTGCCTTTGTCTCCGTATTTTTATGCCTTAGAACTGTAAAAATAGACAGTGAGTGCAAATTCTTTCATTTTTTCTGAATACACGGTCCTGAATTTACTGGTGTGACTATTTTTCATAGAATGGGCAATTAAATTTAACGGAAATCCTGACAACTTTTCCTCTAAAACTTCTATTAACCTATCAGGTGCTTTAAGTTTTTTCTTAAACACTACAATCATTTCACGCATGGATTTTATGATAGCATCTCTTCTGTTTAGCCGCGGTTGAAGAATTTTGACCTTCCGTCTCAGAAGAGAGATAGCTCCTATCCATTATTTGTCCATTTAAAAATACTTCCAATTCAACACCTGTTCTTTTATAAAGTATTAAGACTTTTTTTATATTCGAAGTGGGAATAATGGAACAAACAATCTTTCATACAACACAAGAAGCAACAGTCAAGGATTATTTAGATTGCCCAAAGTAAACAAATCAATATTTAGACAGTCTTATCAGTACAGTGGGCCAAAATATTTCATCCAATTACCTCACGATATCAAAAGCAGTGCAAATTTAAAGTAATTTTCTATTCAAATAAAAAAGTGGTTAATTGAGACGCCAAATATAGATTTTTTTAAATAGTGTTGTAACATAAAGAATTTTTTTCTAAATCTTTGCAAATTTAACGTTTTGTATTGTAATGATCAAATCTGCATATCTTTTTTTAAATTGTTGATTTACATGATTTTATACTGCTTAAATATAGGATTCATTTTTTAAATATATTTTTATTGTAAACATCTATTATTGTAATAATATTGTTATTTTGTTCAATTTAACAACTGTCATCAAGAAGCCACATAGAGCGGCAAGGTGTTTTTCATGTGTGGACTGGACTGAAAGTTTATAGAATGTACTTTATATTGTTAATTTTTATTGAACGTTGTCACATTAACTGGATGCTGTGGCAACGTAGTTCCAAGTTTTTATTTCATTTGTACGTAATGTAATTATGGTGGAATAAATCATTATTTCATATTTCATTAATTCATACATTGCTAACCAAACTACCACGTCAAAGTGCTATCTGTTCACTAATAACTGGCAGGATGATTCATTCACAGGTGGTTTACATGTACGAAGAAGCAAAAGTAAACTTTACTTTTGCTTCTTCGTACATGACCTCGAATTGTTAAAAAAAAAACTATTATAGATTTGGCGGGGTTGCTAGTGGCGGAATAATTTTTTTGGCGGATAGTTCGTTGGTGGGAATAGCAGCGGGCGGCGGCGCGAGTTGCTGTTTTGCCCCTACCGGGCGCCTGCAACACCGCAATACGTCCCGCCACTCACACCTGTACGCGACCGAATTTCTCTACACAGCTCTTACAGCGCGCAATCCAGTAGTAGTTATATATCGATGGTTTTACCGGACACCAATCAGCTGATTATACTGTATTTGAGTGGCAATGATTGGGTATAAACAAAAACATAACCTCTCTTAGAGGTTATGACCATTGAGATATTATTATAGCTCAGTGGTTATGACTAGCGATTTTTAGTCCTTTAGTTGGTGGAAATATATAAGGATTTGTACAGATTTATTAGTATGGCGTAAACTATTGTACGTAACTCGTCCAAAATGTGTGTACCGGACTCGTATGCTAATCCCGTACTCGACTTCGTCTCGCACGGGAACGACCACACTCGTCCGGTAAACACTTATTTTCAGGACTTGTAACGCATAAAACCGTAAAACGTAATATACTCACTATTTCGAAATCCTGAAGTCTGGCTAGACATTTATTAATTGGCCAAATAGTAAAAAATACCCCCGCCGCAGCAAACCTACAGACTAAGCGAATTTTAACTTGTCTGATTACATTTTTACTAAAATATTTCCATAAATAAGACATATTTATTCCCAATTTAAATAACATTAGATTTAACCAGTGCTTAGGTTTGCTGCTACGGGGAAGGTAAAAAGTGTTTTTGACCATATGTCAATAGGATAGAATGAAATAAATAAATTTGAAAAAATTGTATAAACATATATCCATAAACAAGTAAACTACAACAGTTTTCATTTTCTCCATAAGAATAACATGGGAATTTTAAATTACACTTTTTTTGAATTTTCTCCGTGACTGTTAGGCATAAAACAGCGCTTCAATATACTAAATTATTTCTTTTTTTGCTCAACAATATGGTTGAGAAATAAATTGCAACAATTTTTATTTTTAGGGTAAAAAATGGGAAAAACCCATTTTTACTCCATAAAACCCCCCATAAACCCCTGTTCCCATGGTCCGATTATGTTGGTTCGCGAACTCGTTCGAATAAACGTTGGTTTACACGTTTGTACCAAATTTCATCAAAATCGGATCATATTTACTCGAGTTATCGCGCTAACGGACACATATATATATATGAATTTGAACGGATGGTGTTTTTGGCTTCTGGGGACCTCAAAACGAAAAAGTAAATCGGTCCCGAGTCTAGGTCTTACCATGAGGAAATTTGCTAAAAACAATTTTTTTTTTTTTATTTTTCAGTTCTTTTATTGACTTTGGTAATTTATTTAAAAATATTGCTCCCTTATTTTCAGAGAACAGAGAACATCCCTTATGTCAAGGGAGCAATATTTTTCAATAAATTACCAAAGTCAATAATAGAACTGAAAGGTAAAAAAAATTCAAAATTTAAATTACACTTCAATTGTACCAATTGGTTAAGTAAGACGACTGGGAAAGGGATGTAACATGGGAAACTCTTATTTTATTAAATATATATAGATAGATTATTTGTTATAGTATTTGTGACATATCTTACACAACATTCCATGAGCTGAGGTTGAGAACACTGTAACGTGCTTGAATTTGTTCTGGTTTCTATCTATCAAAATGTTTTATTGATTGGCCTCAACTCAACCAAAACAGAAAGTCTTTTTAGTTTTTGTTGACAATTTATATCGTGATCGAAAAATATGATAATGGATGTGGCTCTAGGATATTAACCCTCGTAAAATGTAGAATCAATTTGTTATTCCAGTTTTTAGCGAATTTCCTTATTTGTACTGCGATAGAACAGAACACATCTCTCTACACCAGTGCTTCAATCTTGCGGCCATAGTAAGGACTACGTGATGTTTTGTTCAATAATGTTTTCTAGTTCTAAGAGATGGAGCTGCCTAGTGCCAAAGATTGAAATACTAACTGGTTCCCGAGGTAAAGCAGATTTAAAATTATTTTGAATTGTATAGACTTGTTTGATATTTATAGACTTTCGTTTGTTTACACACTAACACAGCATTCTTGTTGCGCACATTATACTTGTCTCCATTAACTTATGCTATGGCTTCTTTGTGACCTGATTATTTTCCATTCTTATCAAAATACTGCTAACTTAGTTTACATCAAATAACTTATTAGAGGGTTGTACATTCCATACTAGGCCTATCAAATTTTAATATGGTTCAGTTTAGTATCAAGCAGATAAGACCAGGCTCATGTTTATTTTGGTATAACTTAACTAAAATGATTAAATTAGGCTCAACCCTGTCTTGCTTTAAAAGAGAATGTATTTAAACTAAAGCATTACAGTACACTGTAACTTCATGTTTATCATCCTTAATTTTAGCGTTTTAGGCTAACTCTCTTAATGTGTTTCCAAAACTAAGCATATTTTGGCAGTGACTTGTAACTGTTGCCTTTTTTGCATAATGTAAGTTCATTTACTTTTCTGAGCAAGTTTAAGTAACAAACAGTGACCAATGAATAACATGAACTGACTTAAGTTAATGTACTTCCTAGATAAGCCAATGCTCGAAAATGAGCAAAAATGCAACTGGTAATAAAAGAATAAAGAACAAAAACACAGACAGCAAGACCTCAATCAAAGAGTTATTCTGAAGTAACTTCTATGACTGATAATAGAAAGATGAAAAATATTAGGCCTAGTTGAAAAAAAATTATAAAAGTTATCTACAATATTTAAATATAGATCCGCTCTCGTACTGCTTTGGTTACCGGTATCTCTTATGTACTGTAGCCGGGTGCACTCTATGAGCACGTATATGTCAACTGCACACTGTAAAGTGAGTTTTTCAGACCTATGGTAGCAAGCTAAATCCCTCTTGACGCCAACCAGTACGATACACACAAGTGTACTCTAGCATTGTTAAATTATTTCTACGATATGTTCTGTTTTAGGCGTGATTATATTAGGGGCCCCTACCAAAGTCTCCGGTTGGGAACATAAGAGGGTAAGCAAGTGGTAACGGATCTAGAACGGATACCGTCAACCGGGGCTACTTTGACTCGCGGGGCTACAATGATAAAACTGTTATTTTTACCTAAAATATTTTTTTAATTTTAGTTTTAGTAGTACCGTAACCATGGTAACTTATATTAAAATCTTCCTTATAAGTTAACATAGGTAATCTTATTTTCACACTCACTCAAAAATATATATAGGTATTTTTTGTTACCTATCATAAAAAATATTTTAACATGAATCGATTTTTTCGCAAAAAAATATGTCCCCGAACTTTTGTATGAAGCCAAGTATGAATGGAGATGAGTGTAGGATGAGTGGCGCGATCTTGTAGTCTTGTTAGTGACTAAGGCCAAAATTTCTTACACACAGCTGTTAATTAACAGCCCATACAGCTAATGGCAACTAAGGGACCTACAGTTTGAAAAATAGTGGAATCCGAACCACATTTTTCCTTGGTATATACGAATTGCTCTAATTATCAGGATAGTACTGCGGATAGTTGTAGTACTCACTTGTGCGGACGTTAATCTACACCAGGGAGTATCGCATCCACAGTGCATGCCTATAAATAACCACAATTCGTGACCTCCTAGTACAGTAGAGTCTTGCAAACTCGGCGTAATGTGGACTGGAAGGGTGCCGAGTTTGTGAAATGCCGGGTTATCGGGAACTAGATTAAAAATAAGAACAATAGAATTGTTAAGCTTTTTAACCTGCTTTTTTATTTATATTTATATTACAAGTCAGTATTAAGTCGTCAGATAGTACAACAAATCCTTGGTACGAGTTGCGAACGATTTGACTTGAGCTGGCTTGCGTCCATGTTTTACTTGGACTCAAAAAATCACTAATTTTCTGAGCCAGGTGATGGCCGAGTTATCCAGACTGATGGGTTATCGAGTGCCAAGTTTGCGGGACTCTACTGTAGCTAGATTACAGGACGACGCCACCCGTCACAGTCTCATAAAACCTTCCATAAACCTCTGTTCCCATAGTCCAATTATGCTGGTTTGCGAACTCATTCAAACAAACGTAAGTTTACCCTAATCAAAGGGAAAATATGTAAATTGATTTACAGTTTCTTAAGACCCTATCGAGACCGGACTTAGGTCAGATAATTCAAAAGGTCGGTTAAAACGGGCCACCCCTAAAAACTAAAAAAAAATGATGTCCTATTCATTTGGAATTATAATTTAAATAATCATTACCTATACTGAAGTGGTATGTCCATTATTTACAAAATAAACTACACTTATCTCCTTTTAGGAAAGTCACAAATAAACCTAAAATACGGTAATGTCAAATACTTTCGGTGGAATAAATTATAGTTGTGGCAAGGAGTCAATAAAAATTATTATTTTAATACCTTAAGAGTTCTTATAAAGGCTAGCGGCCATCTTAGATGATTTCAAATAGCTGCTGAAGAGTTAGGCCTATTTATCTTCCAAAAATATTTTTTTCAAAGACCAAAGTGATTACTAGGCGGCGTTCACAGGAGCATCCACAAAATTGAGCGGAGTCATCAAGGGTTCATATTATATTGTTTTTGTCATAGGCCCTACTGCAGTAAAAGCAGTCGTTTTAATGCATGTGTTGCGGGTCTAAAGTAGCATTTTTACTCTTTAGGGATTAAAAATAGTTTTTAGCCTAACCGAGTAAAAATCAGCTGTTATAAACTCAGTTGTCAATTTCGATTGTAAACGATTGCATGTATCGAAAATATTTTATCGATTTGTGCTTCGTAATCATTTTGACCTACAGTCTATAGTCTCTTCCCATAGCATTTTAGTATTGCAGATACATTAATCCATTCCCACACTCAACACTGCTCACCTTTACTACTTCCTTCACCACCCCCTACGTCGTGGACCTGTTTCCCTCTCTTCCCATAGCATTTTAGGATTGCAGATACATTAATGTAATTGCCAAAGACAGTTCCCAAACTCTGCACTGCTAGCCTTACTACTTGCTTCACCATTTCCTTCTTCATAGTCCTGTTTCCTTCCCTTCTCATAGCATTTAAGTATTACAGATACATTTATCTAACTGCCCAAACGGTTCCCCCACTCTGCACTGCCAGCCTTTAATACTTCCTTCACCACTTCCTCCGTCAAGGGGCCTGTTTCCTTCCCTTCTCATAGCATTTTAGGTTTGAAGATACATTAATCTAACTGCCATAGACGATTCTCACACTATGCTCATACTGTACTACTTCCTAAGCCACTTCCTACGTCGTGGATCTGTTTTCATCACTTTCCATATCATTTTAGGATTAAACATTCCCCACACTCTCACACTGCTAGCCTTTACTACTTCTTTCATCATTTCCTATGTCGTGGGCATGCTTCCATCCCTTCTCATAGCATTTCAGCATTGCAGATACATTAATCTAACTGCTACAAACGGTTTCCAGTTCCCACATTCCACACTGCTCACCTTATTACTTCCTTTACCACTTCCTACGTCGCGGACCTGTTTCTTTCCTTCCAATAGCATTTTAGGATTTCAGATACCTTAATCTAATCGTCATAAAAAGTTCCCACACTCCGGACTGCTCGCCTTTAATACTATTCCTTCACTACCTCCTACGTCACGGACCTGTTTCCCTCCCTTCCCATAGCATCATAGGATTGCAGATACCTTAATCTAATGGTCATAAACAGATCCCACACCCCAAACAGCTTGCCTTTACTACTTCCTTCACCACTTCCTACGTCGCGGACCTTTTTCCTTCCCTTCCAATAGCATTTTAGGATTGCAGATACCTTAATCTAATCGTCATAAACAGTTCCCACACTCCGGACAGCTCGCCTTGACTAATTCCTTCACCACTTCCTACGTCGCGGACCTGTTTTCCTCCCTTCCCATAGAATTTTAGGGATGCAGATACCTTAATCTAATTGTCATAAACAGTTTCCACACTCCAGACTGCTCACTTTTACTACTTCTTTCACCATTTCCGACGTCACGGACCTCAAGCTAGTGTCGTCATTTGATATTTATGATCCATACCGTTTCTGTTCTAATATCGGTGGAATAATGCTATCAGCTATATCTATATTTACTGAATTCAAAAGTCAACAGCTGATCATATGTCTTTGTTTCTGTGTCAAATACTGCTTCCATAAGGATTACATTGAAATTTTGAGACCCAGTGGGGCAGATTCCTGAGAGACTTTTTTAACGCCATATACTGTAGATGTTGGGACTCACCGATATGGTCTTTATCACCATGCAAAATTTGAAAACGATTGGTTCAACCGTCTAGGAGGAGTTTGCGTATTACGAAATGCATGAGAGTCGACGTATAAGAGCTTCGCTCGCTCCGCTCAATAATTTAAAAATCTAATAAACCTTGGGATTATGTTCTTTTTAGTTTTGAATTGTTCTCCAAGGGAACCAAAAAATTTTGTCCATGCAAGCTAACGACCATCACTTGGATTTGTCTGCCACAAGAGCAATGTTAATTTTCAAACAGCCGCTGAAGAGTTATTAACCATCTCAAAATATTTTTTACGCCACACTACACTATTTTGACGAACTTCCCATGCAAGGATTTAGTCAAGAAAACAGCTGTTTGCCGCCAGCCTAATTAAATGGGGTTTCATTGCGTACTACTGTACTGTAATGAGTTTTACCGGACACCAAACAGCTGATTATACTGCATTTGGCAATGAGTGTTACTAAACAAAAACATAACCTCTCTTAGAGGTTATTGTTAGTCCTTTAGTCAGTGGTAATATATAAGGATTTGTACAGATTTAGTAGTTATATGGTGTAAAATTTTGTACGTCACTCGTCCAAAATGTGTTTACCGGACTCGTATGGTAATCCCGTACTCGACTTCGTCTCGCACGGGAACGACCACACTCGTCTGGTAAACACCTATTTTCAGGACTAGTAACGTAATATTATACTATTTCAAACACCAGAGTGATAGTAATTTAAATATCTAGTAAACTGTGAGATTGGAGATTTTTTTATAGTTTTTTAATTGTTAAATGAGTTAGAACGCCCAAGCTCCAAGGACTTTAAAGTAATATATTGATGCTTTCCAAATCTATCGTAATACAGTACAGAACATGTGGTAGAGAGTTTTAATGATGTTATTCAACCGCGTTGTCACTAATTCACTGTTGCCAGAAATTTTGCCTTAACTGTGAAGTGGCTTCCTCAGAATGCCTATATAATACATTTTAAAAGCTCAGGTACCTGGTAGAAATTACTGGAACCAGCGTGGGTGAGCCCTCCCCCCTGCATTGCATGCCAAATAACACCACCATGAACAAGTTAATTTAATAACATAGAGATCTAAGGAATTGTTTTAAGTTAAAAATAATATCCTCAACTGAAATACTTAGGGATGGAGCATATCTAAAACCATTCCTAAGCTCATTGATTTAAGGAATTGAAAAAAAAACAAAAACTAGAGACTTAAGTGTTGCCCAATAAATATCTTTTATTTTAAAGTTCCATTTATTTTTTTTCAGTTGGTTGCTATGTTGTGAAAGATTGAAGAATTGAGGCCAATATTGTAAGTTAAAAAAAAAAAATAATAAATAAAACAAAATGGTGACAGAAAGCAAAGAGAAAAAGACATTTATCCTCCCTAAGTGGGAGGAATATGTGGTCTCTAAAATGAACCAACTATACAACAAGTCAGAATTGTGTGACGTCACTTTGAAGTTTCCTAATGATACCACTATCATTCAGGTAAGCCAACAAATAAACTAGTTTGGCTAATTAAGTTGGAATACGGTATCTTGTAATTGGACAATGGAATTAACATTACAAAAATATCAACGGTGAATATATTCTACCCCATATTGACAAATAGGTTTTAGTACCATAGCAGAACAAGAATTCAGTGAGTAAAAAAATATACACTAGAATGATTTTCACATTTTTGATCTTTGGAGAGTCTGTGAATGTAATTTTCCATCAGGCTTTAGTTGATATTCACCAGAACTGGGTCCTCATAATACTAACGTTAATTTAATTTTGTAATACAAAAATGTTTCATGTAAATTATAGACCTATAACTGTGTCACCCTATTGTTGTCACATAAATTAATATCTCAAGTTCATTAATGTTGCATAGGCCTACTTTGGTAGGCTATATGAAAACTGAAGTTTTTTATTTTTTTTTTAATTTTTTTTTTTAACTCTTCCATTTTCTTCTCAAACGGTACTACCTTAATATTCTTACAATGAGTGCTTAACATTCAAGACTGAGTATTATTTGGTCTAGATTTGTAACAAGGAATGCTGTAGGAAGTACGTATGTGTTGGTTAAACATATCACGCCATTCTACCATTAATTAGCATTGCTGATTTTTGCAAAAGAGAGTTCAGTTACACTCAGTGGCGTAGCGACAGTGGGGCGAGTGGAGCAGTTGCTCCAGGTCGGCAAGCACTAGGGGCGGGGGCGGCGTCAGGCTAGGATTTTTTTTACTTTGTTGTCAAGCGTGATAGGGGTGGAAGGAAGGTGTAGGGTAGTTTTAACTGTTGCCACAACGAGCGCTGAGTGCTGCGATCTGTCATCACAATTATTATTATTTGATCTCTGATCAGTCAAATAAGCGAATACTGTAGTGATTCGTGAGGTTATGTTTATTGTGCCATGCGCGCCGGTATTTGAGTTGTTAATTTATTAATATACCTAGAAGTGTTGTTTAGTGCTAATAATGAACTATTAATTCGGTTAAAAATATGTCTACAATGTATGTAGGTGGTAAGTTTTAACACAGAGAGTTAAGTTAAAGCTGCTAGGCCCGCCAAACCCCGATTTTAGTTATTACACAATATCAAAAATCCTGTAAAAGTAGAAAAGGATTTAAATGTTTGTACTGTTCAATTTTGCCTTAGATAATGCCCAAACGGGCATTCCCACTGTTTAGGTGCACTTGGTAAAGCTATCCTGTTTTGAGGAGATTTCTAAGTAAGGATAAGTTCCGTCCAATGAACTTAATTTAAATTCATGATTTTATTTTTGAACACCCTAATCAAATAGGTTAAATATAATAATCCCAATTAAAATACCAATCTGTTTTTTAAAAATTATTATGTCTTGATTGCATAAAAACGCTAGTTTGGAGTTATTATTTTTCAAAAGTTTTATGGGGGAGGTATATTTTACAAACTTTACTGTTTATTGAAAAAAATTTAAATTACTTTTACAATGAAAATTACAATCATTGCTTGACTAGGAACCAAGATGATTTACAACTGCCCATTCACAGGCTTACTGCTCTTGAAAATCTTCCACAGCATTTAGGGAACAAATGTACAACAAATTATCTGGACGTATCTAAATTGTTAATTGATAAGGCATATTATAATATTATTTAACTTTTTATTAACGATGTGTTGACTGAATTTTAGTAATTTATGTTTTTTGTTTTTTTTTTTTTAAGCTTTGTTTTTAGCTGACAATTTCACCTGTCACGTCAGCTTTGCTGAATTTTAATGTAAGGTAATTTAAAAATAAAGGATTGACTAAACATGTTGTTTTGCAGGCTCATAAAGTGATTTTAAAAGCGTGTAGTGGCTTTTTTGATGTATTACCTCCTGCCTCTGGCGCAGTTGTCCTGCACATGCCCAAGAACATCAAACCTGCACACGTTAGAGCACTAATAGAGTAAGTGAACTTGTCAAATTATATGAATAGTAGGCTATTTTTGAAATAAAGTAGACTACAGGTAGTTATACAATTGTATGGATTTTCTTAATTTTGCTGAGGTCTAGATAGTTTAAAAGTTCACTCATACACCTGTTATTTCATATAGCATCTCATCTTTTGATCTACGTTACTTTCCCGAATAAATAGTGATAAATAGTGACTATTCAGTCTACTACAGTTTTTTTTCCATTAGTGATAAAAAATACTTATGTTATCAAACCATAATAATATTAATGCAAAATTTCATAAAATTTTGTAAACAATTTTATTTTAACCCTTTTTAGTCCTAAATTAAATAAAGGGCTGGAGCTTAATTATTTTTTGCCAAAATATTTTAAAACTTTAAGGTTATGTTTTATATTTAATTTCCTTGAAATAATTCATGGATCTTAAACAGATTTTCCTTAGCACTGAACTAATTTTGGTTGGCCTACTAAAGTTATGAAAAAAATTTAATTTGATTTGATGGGTTAAGCCTAAAGAAAACTTAAGCTAGACAGATATATCTATCTGCCGCCCGTAGTGATAATCATGAAATTTGAACAAATTGCCAATAATCTGGAGTATTCTTGTGGGCGGTAGACGGACATATCAGTAAACCTTATTATTCCTTCCCTTGTTTGATTTTTTTATATTCATAAAAATTTATCTATCATTCTGTAAATCTAAACCACTCAGTTCCCCCTCCTGTGTCCACATCCCCTTTCCCTACCAAGACTTCCACTATGTAAAGACTGTTCTTCAGGTTCATCAAATCCATCACATTCCATACTATTATTTTCAATGCCAAGTATGAAATCCCTCAGACATACTTTTATTTAGCATCTCAGTAACATCTTCTTCAAATTTTGGATTGTTTGGATTGGTCATTTTAACTCAATAACATAAAAATAAAGCACAAAACACAAATGTTAACATCACTTACAAACATTGTTCGAACTGACAGTTTAGCAATATTCACACACTATAGGGTACAAAATAATAGCTGAAACATCTGTGGAAATTAATTATTTATTATTGCCAATCACACAAAAAATAACCCATTTATAATGCAGTATATTGTTCATTTGTATTGTAAACAATGTAGGCCTATATCAATATGTTCTTTGGACGGATATATTCGTCTTTAGCCCCACCCTAGCTGAACGACGAAAAATCGGTCGGTCGTCTGTGCGAGCGATTCTTGTCTGACGACGGAATTGAGTGTCCACACTGAGCCGTGCAGTCGTCGCAGTAACTGACGACCATTGTTGCCATGTTATCAGTTGAGAAAAGACGTAAGCTCGTGCTGCTAGACAGTTCTTCTACAATTCATGCTTGGATAAAAAAAGAAATATTTGGATGCAGGAGTGCTAGAAATGAGAATTCTAAGGACAGGTATGAATTTGGTGAGATTCATCATTTGAATGAAAAAGTTGATGAGATTGTATCTTGAACTTTTTAAAAACTACACTAGGATGTCAATGGATACATTTGACTACATCGTTGCCAAATTAAAGAAGGAATTAACATTGAAGACTACAAACATTAGGCCTATGCGGCCAAACTCTGTGCCAGAAAGCCTTATTTTAATGCCTCACTCTTCCAAGGTTTACAACCGCAATAGTCGGTCGGTCGTACGGCACCGTCGCTTGCATCGTCGGTCGCCCAACTAGGACGCTCCCATACTTATCCACATTTTTGAAATGTTTTGGTGCGAATGATTCGCTCGCACGGACAACCGACCGATTTTTCGTCCCATTGCTAAGACCTCAGTCCAGAAAAGAAATTTATCAAGACGAATATATCTGTTCAAGGCCCAGGAAGAGTTAAAAAATAATTTTTACTTAAGTTTCTGATTAATCTCAGTTTTATTTGGTGTTTCAGCTGCATGTACACTGGTAAACTTGAGTATGTAGCTGGAGAGAAGAGTCGTCTTTGTTTGGTAGCCAAACAGCTGGGAATGAATTACATTATTGAAATACTGCAAAAGCAGGTAAAGTCCTTTGAATACTTGATAGTTGATAGAAAAAATCATTTATTTTAACACTTTAACTATCATGTCAGCCCAATCAGCCCAACACCAAGCGGGGTAGCGGATTTCTACCCCCGGATATTTACCCCCATGAAAAAACGCCTACGTCATTTTGACGTCACGAGGGGCGGAGCTTATACACGTTCGAGAAACAGCCCGCGACTGGAAATCTACCCCCGGACATCTACCCCCGGACATCTACCCCCAGACATCTACCCCCGGACATCTACCCCCGGAAATCTACCCCCATTGGTCAGCTCTGCCGCGTATCGGCCAATATTCATTGTGTTGTATAATTGATTTTATAAATTGCTTTACCTTCTTATATCCAGTAGTAAACATGCGATATGTCGATGTCTGTTTTAACATTATCCATATTTATAATTCAATAAGTTGTAACAGTCCTTTTCAACCCGACTTACTTCACTGATTTTTACGATTGAGGTGTCTTTTAAAAGCTTAAGATCTAGCGCAGCACAAAATGGTAATTAAAAGGATATTTCGATTATGGCTTCAAAATGTTGACCCCTAAGCCTTTGATTTATTCCTAGAAGGTGCTTCCAATGGTTGACCAACTTTTACACTATACAGTAACAGTTTAAAAGTGAAATGTGAGGAGTACTCATCAGATCAATTTTTAAGTCAGGTTGTGAAAACATGAATGATCGTCTGCAACTATAAACAGGAGATGAAAAAGTTATGAAAATAATATAATATTGCGCACTTTTCACATGGTCAAGTGTTACATCGTACTGAACCATTGTTTTTACACACATTTCTTAAAGGATAAAGTGAATAAACTGTGGTGACCTTCCGGTTTATTCAATGTAGGCCTAGTAGGAATAATTGTTTAGTAAAACAAAACTCAGTTGTAAACTGTTAAATTGAGAAAGAGGATCAATAAAAGTCAGGTGTATAATGGTAAATTTTTCATATCATCTAGTAAAAAAAATAGTTTCTAAGATTTAAATGCGTACTAAGAAAGGATTTAAAGTATTTTCTCTTAAATACCTAAAATAAGACAATTCAGTTGTAAACTGTTAAATTGAGAAAGAGGATCAATAAAAAGTCAGGTGTATAATGGTAAATTTTTCATATCACCTAGTAGTAAAAAAATTTAGTTTCTAAGATTTTAGATGCGTACTAAGAAAGGATTTTAAAGTATTTTCTCTTAAATACCTAAAATAAGACAATTATTCAAATTCAAAATAATGGCCACATTCAATTTTTTAAGCATAGCCTAACATCTTTTAATATATAGGCCTATATATACGCCTAAATACCCCCATTGCAGCACATTCGCATATTCAGAGCATGTATAAAGTCTTATTGGAAAATCCTGCCTTAAAACAATACTTGTCAACTTATGTCCATAAATAAGTGTTCAAAAGATTCATTCATAAGAATACCAAATAGGAAGTGAATAAGCAGGTTTCCTGTTAGTAAAATGTTAAAATGAGGCATTTTAAGGTAGTATACAGAACAGAATTAGGTTAAACCCGTCGACACTGACGGTTACTTTCAAGGCTTATGCTAATTCATTTTATAACTGCGATAAATAGATTGAAGTAATACAAATTTTGAGCATTTAGCTCTTTTGATGAGTAATAAGTGTAAAAGCAATAATGACTATTGCGTTAGTTACAAAATATGGTTGATCATTCAATGAATAAAATATTTCCCATACCGTACGTCATAACAGTTATTATTACAATGTTAACCGGTTTCTCTTCTTTTGGAAGAACCTTTAAATAGTATTAAAATCGTATTGGTCAATCTTTTGTGATAAACACTTCCGATCCGCGCTCATGCATGCGCTGTTAGCTGTTACTGTATGTGAAAGTTTGTCAACCATTTAAATCACTGTCTGGAAATGAATCAAATGCTTAAAGGTCACACTTTTGAAGCCCTTTATCAACATATGGTTTTAAATACCATTTTGCGTTGAGCTGAATCTTAAGATTTAAAATTAGACCTCAATCATAAATATCAGTGAAGTAGTTCGGGTGAAAAAGGGCTGTTACAACTTATTTTATTAGGAAGATAGATAATGTTAAACAAGGCAATGACATATCACATGCTTAATACTAGATATTAGAGGGTAATGATTAACCGAAGAGACGTTGATTTACATAAAACAATTAATAAAATCAATTACAACAATGAATATTGGCCGATACGTGGCAGAGCTGACCACTGGGGGTAGATTTCCGGGGGTAGATGTCCGGGGGTAGATGTCCGGGGGTAGATGTCTGGGGGTAGATGTCCGGGGGTAGATTTCCAGTCGCGGGCTGTTTCTCGACCATGTATAAGCCCCGCCCCTCGTGACGTCAAAATGACGTAGGCGTTTTTTCATGGGGGTAAATATCCGGGGGTAGAAATCCGGCGACCCCACCAAGCTTGGAGAATAAAGAAAGGCGTTGGGCCAATCAGGCTGACAGCGTGCCGCCAACAGTGTTTTACATTTTTTCCGCTAGAGAAAAGTTGACACAGTCTCGCAGCGATTATATGAACTGTGTTGGCTCGTCAATAACCAGGCTACACAGAGTTTCTTTATTCTTCCTTCCAAACCCTGTTGTATACAAATTCAAATCAGGCGGTATATTGTCAGTCAGTCCGACTGGCCCTACACGATTTTTGTTTGTTTGTTTTATTTAAACTTTTTAGCCATGATTTACCATGATTATTTATTGCTTTAATTTAATATCTGAAAAATAAATAATTTTATAAATTAAGTAGATTGATTTACGATATAACACACCATGCTGAATTTGTTGTAATCAGGTTGTGATTTTGTAAGCGCAAAGTATTGGCAAGACATATTTATATCTATATTTATAAACGAGGAAGTTTGTATGTTTGAACGTTATGAGCTCGTACACCGTTGGACCGATTGCCACGAAACTTACGGTACATACGTGTACAATATCATGGAATAGGTTTATACACCACCAATTTCGTGATCCGTCCAATGGGCTCCGCCCCAGTGGCTCTAGAGTTTCCCCATGTTAACCTTATGAGTACTTATATTTAAATGGATTTAAAGAATCTTAACAGCTGGTTCAACTAAACAATTTGATTCTGTTATGTTCAATAGCATTAAAAAGTTAATAGGTTTACCATAAGGGTGCAGCACTATTATTTGTTTAAATTTATGACAACAGCTAATTTGCAAGCAAAAGGTGAGTGAGCGTAGCGAACGAACTTCAACCTAGAGGTGAGTTAGCGTAGCGAACGAGCTAAACTTGAAGGCAAGTGAGCGCAGCGAACGACCTCCAACCTAAAGGCGAAAAGCGTAGCAAACGAACTTCAACCAGGACGTGATTGGGCGATGCGAACAAGCTCATCTTGAAAATGAATGAGCATTTGACATGAAACCACATTTGGACAGGACGACATCTGTCGGGCCAGCTAGTAATATTATAAATGTGAAAGTTTGTGTGTTTGTTTGTTTGGGTGTCTGAAGTTCAATCACGCATAAACCACTTTGACGGATTGGGCTGAAATTTGGCATGATGATAGCTTACATTCCCGATTAACATATAGGCATATTCTTATCTCAAAAATCCTTTCGGGCTCCGCCACAGCGGCTCTGTAATTCCCCATGTTAACCTTATGAGTATTCATATTTAAAGGGAATTAAAGAATTTAGTCAGCTGTTTCAACTAAAAAAGTTGGTTCTATGATATGGAAAAGCATTAAAAAGTTATAAGATTTACCAACAGGGTGCAGCACTATATTTTTTTTGCATTTATGAAAACAGCTAATTTGAACTAAGCAGCAGCAACTGTGATTTACAATGAGAACTGTCAAAGTAGGATTGTTTACAGTTATGTTTATGTTTTTCATTTCATGAATAATTTGTGATATTTTGGGAATTGTTGATAATTTATTTTTCTCTGTTGTTTAGGTGAAGTGGTAGAACATTATGGCTATGGTAGATGTGTAATACTATAGAATACTGTAAATTTAAAAAAGCTAGTTTTATAAAAAATAGTGTCCTCCCTTATTGCAAATGCAAAGCTTGAGTATAACTGCAATAAGCATTTTATACTTATATTCCAACCCCGTACGAAGGACGGGTACTCTGCTAGTATTTATATAAAATAGGCTAATGTTAGCTTAAAAACTTGTTTCCAAAACATACATATATTTGTTAGTACTAGTTTACTTGAGAGATATGGGAATATGTTCAATTATCTATATATTAATAGGCAAGCATGTTTCTTTAAAACCTTTTTCTTCAGCTCGTGTGCATCGCAGGGAATATCTACGCATACTGTTAGAAAGCTATTTTCCTGTAGATGTGCAGAATCTCTTTATAAATTAAATAGACCCAAAAATAAACACACAAAAATTAGTTCAAAATTTAAAAAAAGAGAAAAAAACTAGTGTACCTGTTGCTTGAATTCGAGCAATTGCAAAGTATTAAAGGCATTATTTTAAAATGAATAACAGTCATAATTTCCGATGACCTTAAAAGAGTCAACTCAAAGATTATGGAAATACTCACGATGTACACAACATTTCGATATAATCAAAATTTCTTGTAAATATCTTTCATTTTTCAAAAGCTGATCTTGTTTTTCACATTTTCTACAAATGTTTCCCACTCTTAGCCGCATTAGGTTGTCCATAATAACAATTACCTATAAATAAAAAAATATTTCTATTTTTTCTACTTTGTGGTGTTCTATGACTTTCCTAAGTTTCCATAGTTTGCAAATTGGCTCTTTCAATGATTTATCAAGAAATGCAGCACAGTGTTAATTCGGGTTTATTTTCAGTATAGGCCTATATCAAATTGTCCAGACTTTCTCGCTTTTTTCTTTTGTAATATTTACGCCAACCCAAATTCAAATAGTAATAGTTCATTTTAACAAGTCATAAATGTTTGTAGCACACATTTCCTTAAATTGCAACTAAAATATAACCAGCAATTAAATTATGCAGCTGATCATAATGTAAACAAATATGTTCTTCACAAGGATAACATAAGAACTTGAAAACCCACTGGGGCAGAGTCCAAGGGACTTTTTCAAAAAAGGAAGGTCAGTTTGCAAATCAACACACCTAGAGGAACATTTTGGTATATAATAAGCGGGATTAAATCTTAAAACAAAAAAGCTTAATTGTTCACAAAGTTTCATGTAGCGTATTAATAATATAGATATCTGTCCGTGAACAGATAACTTGAGTTATTTTTGTCCGATTTTGATGAAATTTGGTTTAAAGGTGTAAGTCGGGATAACCTTGAATGAGTTCGCAAACCAGCATGATCAGACCATAGGAACAGGGTTTTATGGGGTAAAAAATGGTTTTTTTTCCATTTTTAACCGACTTCCCCACTACCAACAAAAGGAGGAGGTTCTCAATTTGTTTGTGGCGATGTTTTTTTTTCTATGTATGTTCACCAATTTCTCTGTGATTCTTTTACCGATCAGTGTGGTTCCACCACCAAAATAACCAGGAGAGTTTCTATTTGGTACCTTATATATTATGTTTAAGTATAATATTTGTTTCGGTGAAAAATTCTGAAAACCTTCAATATTCAACATTTATTTTGTTTACATTTGTGCAGATTGTTTACATTTGTGCAGAGAAGGCAATAAATAATTATAACATTCCTACAGCTGTTAGTTGAAACCATTTAATTGAAGCTACAGACAATTCTTCATGAAACAGTTGCTTCATATTGATCAATAAACTATTTCTTGCCATGGAGCCTAAATGAATTACATTGAGAAAAATGCATTTTGTTTTGGTTACTATACAAAATGTATTTTAATGTTTGACCTGATTTGTGTATACAGTAATTCTGTTTTTAGTATTGAATATTCTGACTTACAAAAACATATATGTTTCAGTGAATAGCTGTATGATATTGACAAATAAAGGTGTATTGTGAAAACCAAAGCATTCGTAAAACAGGTCTAAATATAAATTAAATGCAATTATTCCTTACACGACCTAAGAAGTGTGACAGTGCATAATCGTCAATTGTCTTAAAAGTGTTAAATATTTTAATTACTAAACATGCATTTGCAGATGTGGAATGTTTATTGATATTCTCTACCCAGTTACAGTAGTCGCAGCTAGTCTGGGCGCGCGGCCGCGCTAGGGTTTGGGGTGTAGAGGGGAGTGTTTATTGCTCTTTTCCAAAAACATCTGGCCCACACGGCTCTCTGGGGTTGTTCAGTGCCTCACTGCTGTCTTCATGGCTTTGGCGTGGGGGACGGTTAGTACACAAGGGTCTGCGCGCCCAGACTTGCTGCGACAACTGTACTATATCATATCAATACTATTATGCCTGCTTCGGAAAGTCCTAGAGGAAGATGATTTGCAATTTCGACTAGGCTATATCTTGAGCAAACAAACCCCCCTACATGGCTTACACCACTTTTAGCTGAACCAATCTTTCATATAATATTTTCCAAAGGTACTATACGTGTTAACGACCAATTTTCCACTTTTGAGAGATTTTTTAGTGCTGGTAGCTAAGGAATAACTTTCATATTGTTCCAAAAGGCTTGAGATGTTACTGTATTTCTTTTTATAATGTAGAAGTACACCGATTGCAGGAAACGATGATGTCTGACATTTCAATGTATCTAGAAAAGATAATTAGTTTTTCATTAGGCCTAATGTAATGGACAACTCTTTCTTTCTTAAGGATTATCTAAAAATGTTTATTTTTATACCCATTGATTATGTAACCTGAACAGGTGACTCAAGTAGTTTTAAAATAATGATTGTTCTGTGGAAACTTTGATTGTTTCAATCAGTTTTGCTTATCAAAAAACCTCAAGTAATTAATATAGGCCTATAAAAAAATTATACAGTCACTTACAATTATGAAATAATTTATTTTTGTAAAAAAATACAACCGACTTTAAACGCTCTAAAAAGAATGAAATAATTTCAATAAAGTAAACTTTTGCACTAGGCAAGCTCACGCATTTGAAGTCGGCGCAATATTTGAAATTAAATATTGTGTGTGTATTTTGAAAATCAATAAATTGTAGCTGGATAACATAAATATAATAAAAACATACTGAACTGTTTTGTTTATATATTAAAGGAAATATTTTCTTGTATTTTATGTTTAATTCAGAATAAATGCATTATGAAAATAACACACACAAATGTTCTATATGAATAGGAAAATAATTTAGTTTGATATTATGATAGGGAAAAGAAGCTAGTTTAGTATTAAAACGTTACTTTTCCAAGTTAGAAACATTTATTTAAGTGCGTTATAATCTTTTTAAAGATACTCGTTAATACCACTATAATGCCGATCTCTGATTATGGTAATAAAATAACACTTAACGCATAACTATGAAAAATACATGCAGATTAACACCTTTAGTTATAGATAGTCACCTGCAATATGGACACCCTTTTTCAATTTTGTATCAAAAATCATCATAGAGCCGCGCCGACTTAAAATACGTGAGGTTGTCTAATACAAAAGTTTACTTTATTGAAATAATTTCATTCTTTTTAGAGCGTTTAAAGTCGGTTGTATTTTTTTACAAAAATAAATTATTGACCCTCAAAATACAAACTTTTCCAATTTATCTCTAGACCTTATTAAAAAGCTTAAAAAAACAAATAATTTAGTATATCAAAGTGTTTTTGTACAATTATTGGTAACGGAGAAAATTCCAAAAATATAGCTGATCTTAGTCAGTATCAAAGTTATTCAAGACGACTCACTCTATTTTCATAGTTCATTCATATTTAAGTTCAAATACAACATAATAAAGGCCGTAACAACAAAATGGTAAAGGAACTAGGTTATAAACCAATTCCCTTGTATATGTAACATTAGTAGGTAATTTTCATAAGATTTCTTCAACACTTTGTCCTATATGAAATTGATGATTTACATTTAGTCAACAACAGCTAATCATTGTCCTCGAGCGTTAAAGTTTATTTTTACAAACCATACTTGACACGTGCCAGGAAATTTGCTGTTGAAAAGAGCTACATCCGTATGGATCCTACAAATAATATGATTTGTTGCTAGTGTAAATGAAATCATTTATAATGTTTTTTCAGTCAGCGTCCGTGCCAAGTTCACAACTACACAACGTCGCACACCCTACCATAAAGAGATACATATCGAAGCAACACCAAGCAACTCCGACTGGTGGTGAGGTGTCTGAAACGTCTCCATCACACTCTCCCTCTATCTCCCCCACTCCCACCTCGTCCAGTCAAACATCTACCCCTACTTCATCTATCCTGCCAGGGAAAAAGTAAGTTCACATCTTTTTTACTTGAATTTGTCGGCTTTCATTGATTTTTGACCAGTGCTGGGGGAGTTTTATTGTGAGGGAAGATGCTTCATTTTATCATATTTGGTATGGTTAGACCTATATTTGACAAATAGCTTGTAAAAGTCTCTGAAAATCATTAAGTTTGCTTATTATTTGGATCAAGTCAGCAAATTTAGATGCTTGGATATCTGTTGGTAGGTTTGTAAAATACTGATTTAATTGTTGGGATTTGTAGTGAGCATATTCATATTCAAACATCTTTATTCGTCATAAATCATGTACATTGGTGGTACAGTGAATAGCCTAGTGTCAGAATACTTAAAATAAAAATCCTATTTCTATTTATGGGAGGTGGAAAACTCATCAAAAGAACATAATGTTAGATTTATTATATGCTCTTTTAGAATTTTCTTGAATTTAGATACGTTTGTTTCTTTTTTTATGAATTCAGGAACAAATTTTAGAAAATCGTTACCAGCGTATGAAGGATTTTTCAAAAAATTTCAATTAGTGAGGTTGGACAAACTTGCACTGAATTTTTTACTTGCTCAGATTCATTTTTTTTTTTAAATTGCAGCATAAATATATTGCCCATAAACTGTAAAAATTTGTAATTTCTTAAAATGTTCTTTTGCCAAATCATCTGGTATGGGAAAGAGTCTAAACTGGCACGAGAAACACAAAATTGAACACTACACAAGCAAAACAAGAATATTTCACTGTCACTGATAGAATTTTCAACTAAGGAATAGAGAGTTTACTGCAGGTCTCCAAATCAAAATCAAATCAAAATCTGTTTTTTTTTCAAAAATTCTACAATCTATATCCATATTAGACATACGAAAAAATAGTCCCGCATAGTCCGTGCAAGACCTGTGCAATGGGACGAGTTGCATTACAAAAGTTGAAATTAGTATAAAAATAAATCAAAATTAATCAATATATTTAAAACTAAGCTATGAGACAGCTACAGGACCAGTTAATACTAAGCAACAAGTGGTCGAGTTAATGTGCATTAAATATGGTTTGGCGTATTTGTGAAGTGTTGATCTCCTTAGGTATTGTATACTGAACCGTAAGTGTCTCAGACTGATCGAGCCCAATCTCCGACTGCCAACTGCTTACAGCTCGTTTGTAAACCGGAAGAGATACCTGTAGGTCTCTAATCTCTGATGATATATTTCTATACAGAAAATTTGCAATATAAAAAGCATTTGTAAGATTTGCAGACATGAAAACTCTGCTTACCTGCATAGTGCATACCTACATTTTCAGCTCCTATGGTGGGATAGTTATGCGTGATTGGCTTCGGATCTTGATTAGAGTAGGTGTATGCAAGTAAAGTTTTTATAGAGCATTGACACACCGAAAGTAAAGACGATAGTTTACTTTGTCTATTGTTTACTTTGACAAGGGCAAGGGAGTTTTCACATTTGAGCATTTTCAAGAAATGCATAATAGTAATTTGTATGAAATTTTATTATCTTTCAGAATACAGTATTACCTTCCACTTTGGTCGATTTCTCACCATTTACAAGTTATTTGCTAAAAAGATAAGAATCCTCCGAATTTATAGTGGTGAAAAAATACAGAGTTAGAGATTAATTTTAAACTTTGTACAACCAAAGCTTCTAACACACTTCTACAGTTTCTACAGTTCTACTGGATCAACTTTGTTAAATTTGAAAGCTTATACTCTTTGAGTTGCTTTTAGCGAATTTCCCCTTTTTTTTCGATGTGTAATTTATAGCGAGGAAATAAATGACAATTTGTTTAATGCACAATTTATTTAATGCTTTTATTTATTGCAATAAAAGTTTTAAAGCGTTAAAACCCCGATATTCATTTTGAAACACTCGTTTGTATTTAGATAGTGTTTTTGGCCTCTGGGGACCTCAAAACACAAAAGTAAATCGGTCCCGGGCCCAGGTCTTACCACGAGCCCTACAGTTAGGCCTATTAGCTTATTTTTAGTACCTAGCTAAGAACAAGAACACAACACTTACAAAGTATATTTTTTACAAAACAGGTTACTGTAACCCACAATATTTAAATCTTAATAAAAACAAACAAGACAAACATTTTGTAACAGATGTTACAAAAAATTTTTCCAACATATGGTACAGTCTATACACTATACAGGTTTGATTCAAATGAATGGCAAAGATTGAATTTCCATAAGATAACATTGGACCTTTAAGGGCCCAACCCTTTGGCAAAATCATTATGAAAACGGTTTATCTTTCCCATTTGTAGCCTGAATAATGAGTACCGGTACCTATACTAAATGTCAGCCTTCTAGTTAGTCAGGAAGGTAGAGAATTAGTGATGAATGAGTCAGTGAGTGAGGGCTTTTACTTACATAGGTTTCGAAGATAATCAGTTACGGTACTACAAATTGTTGGTTTTTTAAAATAATTTTATAATTTTATTTTCTTATTGTTCATGTAATTGTATGTAAAGTTTAAAAGCACCGTTAGTTTGGATGAGAACTAAACTTGAAGAAATTAACCAATTTCCCTAATGTAAAAAGTACACATACTAAAGAATTATACCTACGGTATTTCAAAGTGCTGTCTATTCATTCATCGCCTTTACATGCTTTTAGATTGCCGATATGGAAACAGAGGACAACTATTAACATACCAGAGGAATTTTGCCGATCTGTAACTAGGTAAGTAACTATTTTTTTCACCCAAATAAAACATTCTATTTAGTAGTTACATAAATCTAATTAGTTTAATTTGCAAGCTGGATAGTTAGACAATACTTTGTTTCCGTGTACTGGTGAATTTACCTGCTGTCAAGTGATCCTTGTGACCTTGAAAGGCGTCACAGGGATATACGTTGTTAAGTCAATTTTTCAATCATTAACCCTACTTGTTGAGTAGTTACAAAGGTAGGCTATATTTAAATTAATTTTGCTTAACATTTTGCTTATAATACCATTGAATATACACAGACTAATTGTGTAGTATCAATGATAATACACAGTTAAAGAAACTAGCTGTTACCCACGGGCTTCGCCCCGTTTGACTTCATAAGTATTAATAAAAAACTATTGATTGGTTAAGTTAAGCTGAAATAAACAAAACAGAATACAGTAATACAAACAAATAATCACACCTGATTTTAATAAGGTAATAAATTGAAAGAACAATATATAAACAAGAACAGCTGAGGTATTTTTAACATTAGGCATATGAAAAGTTCTTTTTAGAAAAGAATTACGACCTAAAAGGGCAATTTATGAAATAATGGTTAGTTTTGCACAAGGTTTCCAATTGCCAACAATTCCCTTCTATAAATTAAGACATTTTAAACTAGAAGTAACCAAAATTTTGTCCTGTATTTTTATGAAGTATCTATTTGCTAAAAAAATGATTTAATGTAAAACGCAACATATTATGAATCCAATCAAGTTCTCAATGAGTTTTGTTGTCAGTTGTCTCCCTTACCAAGTAGGCCTAGTCATCTGTAAGTTAATTATTAAGTTGATGTATTGTGTGTTGTAGGAAGCCGCTGCCGCCACCCCCTGTACATGTGGAACCGAAGCCATCGAGGTTCGAGTTGTGCGATGAGGAGGGAATTCCTGATTTTACCGAAACTTTTGAAAACCTCTCGTATGAATCTCAGGTCATCATAACTCCTTGTGAAGAACCCAAGCCTGTAGTCTCAGTAGACTCAGTTGAAAGAATGCCCACAATGTCTACGGTAAAATTATTTACCTCTTGTTTCTAGGTATTGTTCATGAAATCAATTGGTACACCAGAATCCAACCATTTCTAACCCCTGTAATCTTAACACCCACCTATTTCAAACCTCCTGTCGGAGGAAAAAGGTTATTCAAATTAAAAAAATAAACCTATCAGTGTTCTGAAATGTTTGCCAGGACTTTCAGCCAAGCGGAAAATAGGGGTTTGTATGTAATTTGCATCAAGTTTAAGTTAGTGTAGACATGTGCGAGCTGGTTTTTCTCATACAAAACTAGGTAATTGTTAAGTTTTTTTCTTCATACCAAAACAATTTTAACGTTTTTTGATCAGTAATACTCAACCTCAACAACTCAAAGTCTATACCTTTATAAGTCAAAGTTTGCTCCATGGGCCTCAATAACTGAAAATTTTGCCGTACAGTGCAATTAGGCAGCAGTGTTTTGATTCTTGTCAAGACATGAAAAATCCAACTTTCTTTGTTAGACAATGGCTAGTAAGTCTGCCAGTTATTGAGATAATTTTGTGTGCGTTGAGCTTCATGTCTCCAGTTAAGCGTAAGTGTAAAACTTAGACAAAAAAGAGTGATTAAGGCAGTTGATGATGGGTTAAAGAAAAAAGGTGAAATCGGCAGGGAATTTGGTACTCCGCCTAAAACTTTATCGGAGATTTTGAAAAACCGGGGAAAGTATGGTGCTGAAGATGGAATAATCAATAAGAAAATATGTAAAAACAATGAGTTTAAAGATGTGGACAAATGTGTTTTAACGTGTTTAAATCAGTGTGGAGATAAAAACATTCCTATATCAGGACCGATTTTGAAAGGGAAGACCATTCAGTATACCATTTGTATGCAAGATATATTGTTTTATTTTAATTCCACAGTTCCTCAGAATGTACAAATAGCTTGAGTTCGATTTATAAAGGTTTTGTACATAAAAGTCGAGTTGTGAAGGTTGTGATGTAACTTCATTGTCAGAATCCAACATCTTGGTATCTCAAATTGTTGGTATAGTACCTTCATAACTCAAACCTTGCTTACTCAAAAAAACTTGATAATTCGAATTTTGATCATGCTCCATTCAGATTTGAGTTAAGGCATTGACTATTGGATACAGTTGTATTAATAGTCAAAGGTTAAGGTCTGACTAACATGATTGTCATTTTATGTCATCTACATATCTGTGCCAAAATAATAATATTTTCTCTATAAACCTTCTTTATAAGAGTTATTTTTTTCATTATCTTATTTTCATCAAATATAAATAAGCTAATAGGCCAGAAAGAAGTAAGCCTATTGCTAGACCATATATAGCTCGTGGCAAAACAGGGAATTTTCCTTGAACCTTGTTTTGTTCTAAGTTTTTTTATGGTTGATATTTAATTTTGATAGTATATAGAGCAGAAAATTGCGAGTACAGTACCTACAAAATACCTTTGGGCAACTCTTAGAATTTAAGATAATAATCGTCCATATTAATAAAAATAATTTGATTAATTTAACGAAAATGTGGTTTTTATCTCTAAAAAATGCTCACCAATTTTTGCCCAATTAAAAAAAAACTTGGTATGCTACCTTGTTTTAGTGTCACCTCCAAGCAAACAAAATATATGTTCGGCCAATTTAAACCTGAGCTTCTTTAAATTACTAGCATTTGCTAGTAATTTAAAGAAGCTCAGGTTTACACATTCCTTACATCATTATTATGGCATGTAATAATACTCAATTTTGAAGTCTACTGAAGTAGCACTTGTGGCTACTTGTTATGACTCGTTAGTATTTGCGATACATTGAAAAAAACATATTAAAAATCAAAATAAAATTGATTTTAACACAGTTGAGTTTTATTATCTTGTATTGTAACATAAATATTTTATTTGTGTAAAATTGAAACTTACATAATACATGTAAAAATTGCACAAATAGCTATTCAACTCATTTAAAAAAAATGTTTAATAAAATGTCAGTAACCTTAGTAACTGTTAACTGATTATTCTACATTGTTGTAGTCTTCACTGTTTTCTTGAGTTTGTCTATTTCTATTTATGTACCTTTGATAGCAATTCTCCCCTCCCCTGACCGACTAGATAGTAAGTCTCGTCGAGTTATATGTGTCTTGAACATGGGAGTGATCGCATCTCTGTCCACTCATGCCATAAAAATATTCTATTTTGTGTTTATTAAACTTTAAATGATCTTTATTTTGTGTTATTTTTATGAACCTCTTCAACACACCATTCACCATGCCATGAGGACTACCAATCTGACTGAGGGCCCTCACTTCACAGCTATGCCTCATCTCAGAACCCTCGACTCCACGATTCAATTATATTCAATTAGTAAAGTACCGTAGCTGCTAAAAGTATTAAGCTGTTAAAAGTTTCTGAGAAACATTAAGCAATTAACTCTGCTCAAAAAATCACCATAGGCCTACCACAATTAATTGTAAAATAAATTGCATGGAACTTGCTCCAAAGATGAAATAAGGTTGATTTTGTTTCAGCTTGGCAAGCGAGCTCGAGCGTCAGAAGTAATCCGAGGATCAACAGAAGAAGATGACTACGACGATGGCCACTTTGAGTCTATTCATGACATTGATGATGATGGTGATGAAGAGGATTCGATCGCTGCTGGCAGCTTGAAACCTACAACCCCACCGCCGAAGCCCATCTTAAAAACCTTTTCTTCTCCCTCCCCAAGCAAGAAAGTCAGATTTGCAGTATCTTCTGAAACAAAGACTGTTGCAACACCATCCAATCCTCAACCTGTAAATCATTCTCACTCTGCCTCTATTTCTATACCTGTCACTACTCCCACCTCTCTCCCCATTTCCTCTTCTCAAACCACAACCACCTCTCTTACAACCAACACCTCCCCCACTACTTCCACCACTCCCGCCTCTCCTCCCACTTCCACTCCTTCCGTCATACAAAAGATTTCATCGCCAGCCTCCGCCTCCACAGCAGCAGCTGTCTCTACACCGGCAACCCCTCAAAGCTTGGGCGGTGCCTACAATCATGCCAATATCATCAATACAGTATTGAAGAAATTTCCTGACTTGATGAAAAATAAGAATATCAAGTTGAAAATTCAAGGGAGCAGTCCTGTTGGTTTCTCCTCTTCCACCAACTCTTTAGATAAAGATGGAAAAAGTAAGAAGAAAGTTCAGTACTTAGTCTTGAAATCAGACTTGAACAATCTAAAAAAAGAAGTAAAAGAGCCCTCGAACGGAGCGGAAAATACTACTGGTCCTTGGTCATGTATAACTTGTGCGACTGAAGATGGACCTTTAAAATTTGAAACGTACTACAACTACAGGAGACATCTGCAAGAGATACACAACGAGCGAATAGATGCGAGGATTTGTGAATATTGTGGGCACAAAGCGAGCAAACGAAATCTTCACCTTTATCATCTCTACACCAAGCATAACATTGCTCCTCCAAGAAATATTCATTTTCCCAAGTGTGACCAATGTAATTACATCGCTCTCAGTGAAAGTTTGCTTATTAAACATCGAAGCAACCATACTGGAATGATAACTAAGGAATTCATTTGTCGACTTTGCAACGCTGCATTCAAAAGTCATGGAGCTTTAATGGGACACATGCAGACCAATCTCCACCAAACTGATCAAGCGGCTAAAAAAGACTATGAATGCGAGTACTGTGGTAAAATATTTAACAGGAATATCAACTTGAAAGCTCACATTCGATCCTCCCATCAAGAAGAAAGTATTAGAAAAATGTATGACGATGAAGACAAAGCGGAAGACTCACCAGAAGTTGAAAACCCTTCCCAAGAAAAAAAGGGAGATCAAACTATGGACGTTATAGAAGTGCCAGTGTTTGATTCAGTCTCAGGCCAAAATCAGACAATCTACCTTCCTCAAGGAATGACTATCCTGACAGAAAATCCCTCTGTGCCATTGATGCCATCATCTGAATCAGAAGCTATGAACAATGTGGCTACAGGAATAGCAACATCCATTAACATTACAGACAGAAACATGCCCAATGATGTTCTCGTAATCGATGGAGGTTCAACAGAATTAATCCTAAGAGGCGCTCCTACAGCTTATGTAATGAACCCTGATGGCACCTATTCTCTCCAAGAATATATTGTTCCAGAAATAATGGCAGATTCAGGTCAAGTTTACACCACGGCTCTTGTCAGTTCTGCGCCGTCAACAGGAATAACTTATGTTAACAGTGACAACATTTCTATAATATCCCCCTCAGACCACACTTACGCGGATGGGATGAAAGTGAATGGGCACGTTGCCACTGGAACACCAGTGACAATAGTCTCTTCAGTCGACGCCACATCCAATGTACAAACAGTTACTCAAGCAAACCAATCGATCATCGTGCAAGAACCAATTCTTGTAAATGCGGATTGGATGCAGAAAATTAGCTCTCAAAACGAGACCATTCAGCTAAGTCAAACCCAGACTCAGAATATGATTTCTCAACCAATGCTCCAGAAGGTAGAAATTATTTCTTCTCAGCCGATAAGTCAGAGCCAGAAGATAGAGATTATTTCTCAGTCGGTTAGCCAGAAAGATTCTCTAAGTCAGATCTCCCAGCCTCTTCTACAAATCAGTAGCGACCATCAGACTGAAAGTGAAAGTTCGACCAAAACAGCACAGACCCTTGTGAGTGATTGGGCAGATCTGGACGAGGATCATAATGAAGAGAGTGAAGATATTGAGGATGAATCAGAAAAGAAACCAAGTAGACCGACTATAGAACTGGAACCAAACAATGATGAAATAGGTATGTGATATAGGTGGTAAACTTTTGTGTTTACTTTAGACTGACTTTTATGTTGAAGCTTTATTTTTCTGCGTCAAAGTAATTTTTTACATACATTCCCTCATAGATTATATATTTCATATATTATCATATTTCCAATTTCAATATATACCTTCATTTTCATATTTTTTTCAATTTTTAGGCCCATGGATAAATTCATCCAATGGTATTGGCACCAAATAATATACACATTTAATCGTTAACATCATTTAAATCATTTAAACATTTAATCAGCAAGTGATATGACAGTTAGATTCAAAACATAATTTGTTTTTCAGTTATGCATATTGTTTTCACTGTGTTAACTTTGGGATATAATTTGAGCACTAATGAATAATTAGATCTCATTTGTACAGTAAAAATAAAAACTGATTATTACTATGTTTAATTTTCTTTAGATTGGTATAGGATGGTACAGTATGTGTTTTTCCAAAACAAACTTAACCTGTTGAATTTTATATATTAATAGCCTAGTTTAAAATGTTGCATGTTTCAATATTCAATATTGGTAAAATGAACTATCAAATGTTTCTGTACTACTTCGCTGATGCCTCCCACTTGTCTGGGTACATTTTATTTTTACTAATTGACTCACTTTAGAAAGAAAAAAGAGAACACAACTAATTCGCCAAATTTCAGTCCAATAAGTTGATAACACAAAAAATTATTCAAACTAAGATAAAACATTACACCTCTTTTGAGGCTCTTTCGGCTGAAATTGTCATCTTATACTGCTTGAAACCAATAGGGCGAATTAGTTTTGATCTCTTTCCTTCCTGAATTATATTTTAAAAACTTGTTATAGCATAACCATTTTGTCTTAAAAATAACGTGGGTTTTAAAATTGCATTTATATTGTTGATATGACAAAGTTTATTAATATATTCTTTATTGCAAATCTCTTATTGATTGTTGCTATCTTATTAAGATTGAAATTGAAAGGTTGCTGATTTCATCCCAGCATGAAATAAAATGTGGAGTTCTAATAGAGTCTTACTTGTGTTAAATGTGTAGTCTAGTTCTCATCTAAAACAATAATAGCATCAGCATATCTTAATATTTTGAGAAAAGTATTGTTTTACCAGTAAGTTTTTATGGCTTTTTTACAGAGTTTTATATTTTTTATGACTGTTACAGTTTTGATCGTTGTATATTTATTTTGCATCATTTAAATACCACATGTAAATATTGTAAATATACAAATGTTTGTAATAAAACCCCTTTTTGCACTAGGCATATTGCCACATCCGCTTGCGGTTCCAACCTAAAATGTTGTACATAACTACATGTATCAAAATAAAGGTAGTTGACTCAAGATCAGCAAACAATTTAAGAAATGAAAACAATAACGTTTCTTAGATTGACTGTTGGTCTTGTAACACAGTATCAAAAGAATTTGTTTAATTTTCCTGACCATTCATTAGTTTATTTATTTTGAAACATCATACTGTTCTAAGAACAAAACGGTAACGGACCAATGAGGTTCAAGGATTGAGAGAAAAGAAGTAATACGCAATTGTAATGCTTCAACTAATCTACTGTTCAGGCCAATTTAATTGTTGAGTGGTGCAATTAGTGTTTGATGTGCATCATTGTCAGTGGTAATGAGAGGTTATTAATGAAAACTATCTTTGATGAGTAGTAATTGTTAGTAATTAAAAATTTAGTGAAGACAACTCACGTAAATAATCTTAACAACACTATCTTAACATGATCGTTGCGTAAACTACTATAACCTAGTTAAGTTTCAACATTCTGCAATGAGATTTTAACATAGCTGGTTGCTTGAGAGTTTTACTTATATACATAATTTGAATGAGAGTTAATTCAGTAGAGTACTTTTCTAAGTAGGTCTTCAAAGAAATGAAAAAAGACATATCTCTTAGAAAATCGTTTAATAACAAATGTTCATGTTTACTTTCTAAGTACAAAAAGGAAAATAAGCTCTTTTACAATGAAATAACAGAAAAGAGTTAGGTTTGTTCTAAGCTGGAATGGTATCTACATAATATTTATTACTTATTAAAGCTTTATGTTAATTAAGGATCTTTAGTATTCTGTTTTTTATAATAACACTTCGTACGGTTTATAAAAATACAGGTGGTTGGTTATTCAGAAGTAGTACAGTCCAACATTAATAATTAATGTCATTTCACTCATTCAATAATTATTATTGAATAAGTGAAATGACAGCAAACAATAAATGAACACAACAAAAACATCTGTAAACCAGATTGTACTGGTCTATGGGTTGTTCTAGGAATATGGACAGACATGTAAATGAACACAACAAAAACATCTGTAAACCAGATTGTACTGGTCTATGGGTTGTTCTAGGAATATGGACAGACATGTAATTTGTGAGCCCTATAAATACAAGAGTCTAAATAAGAATCAGTCTCTACAGTACCTGAATAGTAAAAAAAAAACAGAGTGTTTTAACTTTTTGTTTTCACAATAATTAATTATTGTTAAATATGAAAATTGGTTGAAACTTTTATCGGCTTAAACTATCTTAGCTACTAGATAGCCAAAGGTTAAACTCCCTTATACAAGTTACAACTAAAGACATGGGAGTCAAAACTGAGCTTTAAAAACATGTACAGAAGATATTTCATAACCACAGTAGAAATCAGATTATCAGAATCAATTTTGAGTAAAATGTTAAAAATATGATTATTAATAAAATCCCAGAGGGAGCGTATGAAGCGATATTGTGTTGACCCTATGGCAACATGAGCGTAAAAATGAGAGCCCCCGCTGTTACCGCACACAATATGTCCAGTATACAATTTATTTAACTGTTGTAATTTAGTTTTTATGTCAAATACCAAATTTTTTGGGACCCACTACTTAAAATTTCAGCATATCCTGATCCCCAATGATTTTGGATAATCGGAGTACATACTACTGTGGTTGTGAAGAATTATTACCTCTGGTGAAAATGAACTTGCCTGCTACTTATTTAAAACAAAGCAAATGAAAAATAAGGATGGGTTGATTCTCTTTTCACTTTTTTTTCTTACCGTTTGTGTTGAGTCATTTGTGGTTTATTTGCTATGTGACGCATAGCGACACGCTATATTACATATATTATATGACAGCTAGGATGATTGTGATGACATCAATTTTTAGTTCAGTTAATATTCTTTAATCAATAAAACAAATCAAATACTTGCTGTAGTACAAAAGATATAGTCAGGTTATAAAGGGATTTATTTTATAGTTTAAACATTGAATTGACACAAATTGTAATTAAATTATGGAAGACTCCCTCTCGATTGGATTCCTTGGGACTGAAATTTTTAGCCAAGTATGAATGGCGTGATCTTGTAGTCTTGTTAGTGGACTAAGGCCGACTTAATACAAAACCCACACTTTGTGTATGTCAAATTAAGACAACTTAGGTTTTTAACACTAAACAATCAATTAATATGGCAATAACTTTTATCCTACCCTGGACGAAAAGGATTTTTTGTCTTTAGGTAGCTATGGACAAAGCTACACGAGAGTGGCTGCTTAAACCAGAGATCTGAACAAGAGGTTATCTACTGTGTACCTATTGTTAGAAATTGAAGTCTAATGCTCAATACAACCAAAAACTACTGCTCATCTGTTTATTATAGCTAATAGCCTAGACATCAATGGTAAAAAAAGAAATTTTTTTTAAATGTATTACTATCAGTATTTAGATTATCCACTTAATTTATATATCAATCAACCCATCCATCACTGTTAAAAACTATTGTAAGAAAACAATTGTATATAACACAAATATAAAGTTTTAAAAGTATGACACTAACCCTATTGACAATTTCACATGTAATATTAATATTGTAAGAAAATAAAAAAATAAGATACAATGGACCACAAGGTGATTTTGACACGTGAACATAATGGATTGACTAGATAACGACTTAATTAATTGTCATCCTTTTTCTTTTTCTTCTTCTCTTTCTTCCTTTTTTTCTCTTTCTTGTGCTTGTGACCAGTTGATGAAGAAGGTTCATCTTTACGTTTCTCCCAAGAGAGAGACCTAGAATGGGAAGGAGATCTCGACCATGTATGTACAGACGGAACTTTATCTACTGATTTATCTCTTTCTACATTTACTTCCACATCCGATTTCTCTTGTTTCTTATCACTTTTGTGCGAGTGTCTGGAAGAATGGGATTTGCGTCGAGGACTTCGACTCCGGCGTCTACTTCTTCTGCGTCCCCTGGATCTGGATCTAGAACGACTACTGCTTCTGCGAGAGCGAGAGCGCCGATGTCTCGACCTGCTGCCACTACGAGATCTGCTACGACTCCTTGAGTACGACCTAGAGTAGGACCTCGAATACGACCTGGTCCTGGAACTGGAGCGAGATCGAGAACGAGATTTCGACCTAGGGTGGTTGTTCCCGAATGCGACCTTTTGAAAGTATTTGTAATACGGATCATTTATCAGGTAGAAAGGGTCGATGAAAGGAGGGGGAAAGAAGCCATGGTCTCCTCCTCCTCTCCCTCGCTGATATCGAGGCCATCGAGGAAAGCCTCCTCTAGGAAAGAACCCTCCTCGGTTAGGGAACGGCTGGAAAGGCATTTGAGGATGAGGATATTGATTGCCTCTGAAGTTAAAGTTGTTGCGCCACCTTCCTCTGTTGAACCGTCCTCGACCTCTCCCACGATGAAATCCTTGGTTGTACTCTTCTATAACATATAATAAATATTTATTTATATATGAAATTTCTTATTTAGGGAGTTTTCTTCGACAACATTAAAAACGCAAAAATATAAATTTCAACATAGTCTGGTATTCTTAAAAATATTTGACTATATCATCAATGTGTTAAAAGACCTATCAATTTTTTTTAAAAGTTCTTATTGCTTTCACAACTGGCCACTTGTATGGACACCATCTATAAAAATAAAATTACAGGTTTGTCTGTACATAGCGTAGAATCATTTATACAGCCTGAGAAAGCCGAAATGAGTCTTATCTCCAACAATTTCTGATGCCAAAATGCCGATTTACACGGCCTACTCCTAGGAAACTGGCAAGTTTTATGGATCAAGATTAAAACTGTATTCACTGGATTGGTGATAATGTCTTCATATTAAAACAAGGCCAAGCTACTTTAGAAATAAAATAACAAACGTTTGAAAAACCTAGTTTTATTTTATTTTTGTCACATTTTCTCATGCAGTAGAACCTTGATAATTCGAAAACCTCTATAATTAGAAACTTTTGTCTATTCCCATCAGAAAACCTCTAAAATTCAAAAAATAATATTATACCGATAATTCGAAGTGATTTTTACACTTTAGGCAGCCTCTATAATTAAAATTTGCACGTACCCAAGCCTCTACCGAATTTATTGCCGTAATTCGAAGTGTTACCTCCACAATTCTAAGTCAACCTCTACAATTCGAACTGCGTTACCGTAAGCCTGTGCAATTCGAATTCACGACAAAAAATTTTCCTGTTGAAACATGAACTGATGCTCTTATTGATCTTCCCACAGTTAGCTCATCAGTCCCCAACCGTTTTATATGCAACGTAGACGTCTTTAACAGTCAGGCAGATTTTGCGGTGTTAGACCTAATTGATTGTTAGTTGATGAGTGTTAGTGCTAGTGTTTTACAATTCTTCTGGTTGTAATAAAATTAGAATTGTTCTCAATTCCTGTAAAAGGATTAATTACCGAAACAAATCAAACTTAGAAACAATTAAACATTGTACGGTTCAACTTTTGTGGAAATTAGACCGTTCGAACTAAATCACAGAAAAAATCAATTCTTTTTTAAATGTAACATTTTCATCATTGTTTTATTCTAGAAAACTTACAAAAAGTCAACATAAATCAACTGCCAAAATTATACAATTAAAATACAGCTGATTTTCAAATTTATAAAATATTAAGCATAAGTCCAGTCAAACATGAGCGTCGATCATAACTTCATCAGTCATTTTCACATCCTCCCACCTTGAGGAACGTAAGGTAACTTGTTCCTCAACACAAGGTTTTTATTGGAGGAACCGTTTTGGTTGTTTAACCATCCGTCCACTTCTAGTCACAGTTTTCTTATCTATCACTTTATTATCCTGCTTCGTTTTGTTCTTAATTTTTTCATTTTTCAGGAACTCTTCTTTCTCACAATTTTGTATTTCAAGAGAGTAAATTTTTTGGATAGTCCGCAAAATTATTCCTGAATTCGTCTTGAGTTTTGCTAGACGAATTTTACCATCTCTACCCGGTATGAGTTCTTTTACGACTGCCAAAGGCCAATTTAGACGTCTTTTGTCGTCCGTCTCCACAATGACAACTTCTCCAGCTTGTATGTCCCTTGTTGACCTAATCGATTTTACTGTTTTCCGCCCAATTAATATTCAATAGTCTTCACGCAAAATGCTTAATAAATACTCAACTCCTGCGTGACAAGTCTTGACATGCTTAGAGCGTATTAAAATTTGTACAACAGGATGTTTCGATGGTAGTACTATTGATGTCTTGAAGTTTTCGTGGTCTTTTCTGTCAGTAAGCTTCGACTTTACACGGATCAAACCATTCTTATCTTCAAAAGGACATAATGTTGCAAGTTTAGCATCTTTCAGTCCACAAAAACTCTCTTTCTGGACTAGTTTCCAAACATTGACTTCAGCTTTTTCTATTTCTTCCAGGGTTAAGGAACCATTTACTTTTTCACTTCTACGGCAATTATTATAAAATCTATTGATCCATGCTACCATACGCACGATCTTTTCAAAATTGCTGAAGTATCTATAATACCAGCCTGACTCAGTTTCTTCAGAATTCGTACAAACTGATACGATTCCTTTCTTCTTTTCACTGTGGATTTCTTCGTCGTTGAAAATCATTTTAACTTTTGGCCATTCTTCTGGAGGTTGTCTTAGCCACTGAGGGCCCTCCCACCATTTACAATCAACTAGATCCTTAGCCGAGCATCCTCTACTAGCTACATCAGCGGGGTTTAGGTTTCCAGGTACATACCTCCATGAGTCTTTACAAGATAATGACCTTATTTCTTGACATCTATTCCAAACAAAAGTAGCCCAATTGTCTTCTCGTTGAATCCAAGATATGACTGTGGTTGAATCGCTCCAAAAATGTGTTTCTAAATCAGAGATATTAAGGCTATCGAAGATTGACCTTCCAATTCTGGCTCCAATTGTGGCTGCTAATAGTTCCAGTCGAGGGATTGACAGGTCTTTCACTGGTGCTACTCGTGACTTTGCTGCTACAAAATGAAGATTGACTGATCCATTGGCCTCAGTCCTTAGAAATGCGACAGTAGCATATGCGAATTTACTAGCGTCACAAAATATATGCAAACTAAAAGTACCATCCTCCCCAGCGAAAAAACGAGGGATGTTAATCTCACTTAAATATCCCAGATCTCTGAACCATTTCAGAAAGTCACATCTTATGTCATCTGAAACCTCTTGATCCCATTTGAATTTCATGGACCAAGTCCTTTGCAATAGAATCTTAGGGAGCAGTGTTACTGGGGAAGAAATCCCAACAACATCATAAACTTTGTGAGTAATAGAAAGCATTTTACGCTTTGTAACTACTTGCAAGTCAACTGATTTGAGAAAATCAACATTAAGTTTAAGCACGTCAGTTCTCTTGTCCCACAGCATACCTAATACACCAACAGGTTGAGTAGTAGGTGAGAGAGTTTTGTCAGTAAACTCCCACCCTCTAAGTTCAAATTTCCCATCTAAAAATAAACTAGTTGCTTGGGAAATGAAATCATTCAGTTCACTTTCAGAGCTCACACTTGTTACACAATTGTCGACATAGAAACTATGCACGAGCTGTTCGACATAAGGCTTGGGATATCCATTTCCCCTTATAGCAAAACTTAAATGATGGTTAATGGTAGCTGCCAGTAAAAATGGACTGCAGGTCACACCAAAAACTACTCTTTTGTGTCTATAAATTTTGAGGTTTCCATCATCATCATACCACAAAAATCTTAGGAAATCTCTATCGGACTTAGACAAACTGATTTGCAAAAAAGCTTTCTTAATGTCAGAAATGACACCTATTTCTTTTAATCTGAAGCAAAACAGAATGGAAGGAATTAATTCAATCAAATTAGATCCCTTACTGAGACAATCATTCAATGAAGGTTGATTATACTCCTTAGCGGATGCATCAAAGACAGGTCTTACCTTTGTTGTACTGTTTTCCTTGTAGACGGGCCGATGAGGCAAATAATGTCCCAACTTACCAAAGTCAGCGGTGTATGGGACTTCTTCAATTATACCTTCTTGTTCCCATTCTTTGAACGTGGCATCATAAACATCATATGTTTTCTTTTCCTGGAGTTTTTTCACTGTTGATTCAAGTCTCTTGACCGCTATGTTGACATTGGTCGGCAAGGGTGGATGCCCTTCTCTCCAAAGTAAAGGCACCTCATAACGTCCGTCATCGTTGATCTGAACAGATTTGTTGAAAAACTCTGTAGCTTCAACTTCTTCTTCAATCTTGTTCTTCCTTGAATTCGGATCTTCAATTCCAATGACATATAATTCCCACAGCTGTGAGATTGGTTTGTCCTTCAGCAACATTGTATGAGTAGTCATGACGTTAGGGGATTCTGTAGATACCACTGCTGTAGATGGAGTCTTTCCTAACAAGGTCCATCCTAACAAGGTTCTTACTGCAACGAGACCTGAACTCAAAATTATTCGCTCATCCATTAAAAGTTTTCCAGCGACATCTGCACCAATCAAAATATCAATAGGCCCTGAATGAGTATCAGAAATTGTTACTCCTAACTCCTGTAACTCCTTCATCCAATTCCCCAGTCCCGCAACTGGTAAAGCATTGCATATTTTTATTTTATCTAGAACTTCAAAATTGCAAGCGTAGTTGGTCTCTGGGTTACTAAGTCTGACTCTATAACAAGTGTGTTCTTCAACTTCACTACTAACTCCACCGAACAGTGAATGTTGTAGCCTCTCTTTTCGAATGGCTTTATACTTCATTTCTTTTGCAAGATTCTGAGATATATAGGATCGCTGCGATCCTGTGTCAATTAGCGCTCGCACAAACTTAACCTTATCATCGCTTTTGATGCATACACTTAGCGTTTGCAATAAGACCTCTGATCTTGTATTAGCAGACAATGAATTTTCAACTTGTGCTTCAGAGACTTTATTGCCACTGTCATCTTGCTTAACTCCCTGCCTACACATTAAAGGGACATGTCGTCCACTGCAAATGTTGCATTGCAATTTGGCTTTGCAATATTTGGCTAGATGTTTTGGTTTCAAACATAAATAGCAAAATCCCCTTTTCTTCAAAATATTTGACTTTTCATCATAGGAGAGTTTTCTAGCACTAAAGCAATTCTCACTACCATGTGAACCTTCACAAAATATACATTTCAGAGTTGATTTAGACGGTACATCAACTAAGTCTGAAGCGGATGGAATTCTAGAGTCATTAGTTGTACTAGGTGAATTTAAGTTTGGTCTTCCTACTGATTTACCCGTACTTTGTGTCAAATTTGATTTATTCCTAATAGAACCGCTCCTATGCTGACTTACCGACTGACAAGATTCAAAGCCATCCATAGCTAGTCTTATTCTTTCTTCTGATTCAACTTCACCTTTTAGAAAGAGAACAAGGGATTCTAACTTTGTTTTAAGATCTATAGGTTTATCCCCCGAACTACAAAGTGATCTTTGCCATGCCCTAAGACGTTCCTCAGAGAGACATGACTCAACTAAGGGGTACAGTAAGGCTGCACACTTTTCAGTAGTTACCCCCAAAGTATCTAAAGCTCTAAGTTGAGTTTCAATCCTATCATACAAAGTTGAAATGGGAATCTTTTCAATAGAGTTTTGAAAAGTTATTTTCAAAAGTTCCCTAACATAGATTTCCGTTTGTAAGTCTTCTCTCCCAAACCTGGACTTCAGACATTCAATTACTTTGGGGTAATTGTCAGCTATAGGGGGGAAACTATTGACTATTTCCCTAGCCCTAGATTTGGGTTCAGTAGCTTGAATAAGATATTGAAATTTATCTTCATCTTTAAGTTCAGAGTCTAAATGAATCTTTTGGAATTGGCTCCAAAAGTGTAGCCAATTTTTCAAATTTCCATCAAATTTAACAAACTCGATTTTAGGAAGTTTTATTCTAGCTTTTGAGGTATTCGGTTTACTTGAACATGATTTACTACAACTTGAAGCTACATCCTCATTAGATTTCAAAGTCAAACTGTCAAATTTAGCTTTTATCAGAAAGAACTTATTTAAATACTCATCCGATCCGCTGAGTTCTTCGGTGAGTTGCTCCTCCGGACAGTCTGATTCGAGAAGTTTTTCCAGTAGCTTATCATTGAGTTCATTAAGTTGGTCGTTCTTTTTCTCTAATAGTTTCATACTTGCTTCGATTTCAGGGTAATCATGGTCGTTGGAATTCAATCTGTCCAAGATACTTTGCGAAAGAGTTGTAAACGATCTCCGAATTACCGTTCTCTGTTTCTTAAGTCGATTTATTTCGATCATTTCTTATCCTGTCACGGTCGCCATGTTTTACAATTCTTCTGGTTGTAATAAAATTAGAATTGTTCTCAATTCCTGTAAAAGGATTAATTACCGAAACAAATCAAACTTAGAAACAATTAAACATTGTACGGTTCAACTTTTGTGGAAATTAGACCGTTCGAACTAAATCACAGAAAAAATCAATTCTTTTTTAAATGTAACATTTTCATCATTGTTTTATTCTAGAAAACTTACAAAAAGTCAACATAAATCAACTGCCAAAATTATACAATTAAAATACAGCTGATTTTCAAATTTATAAAATATTAAGCATAAGTCCAGTCAAACATGAGCGTCGATCATAACTTCATCAGTCATTTTCACAGCTAGTGCAGTGAGCAAGAATGAGTGGTAAGAGTCCTTAACCTTGGCAGAAAAACATAAAATAATCGATGAAGTGAACAGTGGTGGAAAACGTAAAAAGGATATAGCTGAAGAGTATGGTATCCCCGCCAGCACATTATCTACAATCCTTAAACAAGAGGAACTAGTTAGGCAACAAATGGAGGCAGGTAATTTAAACAATAAGAGTAAATCCGAATTTCCTGAAGTGGAGGAATGCTTGATAAAATGGTTTAAGCAATGTAGGGACCATAACGTAAGTGAAGGGGGGCCAATCCTCAAAGAAAAAGCTAAAAGTTTTGCCAAATCATTAGGCCATGAAAATATTTGAGCAAGTAATGGTTGGTTGGAGAAATTCAAACAAAGAAATGACATTGTTTTTCGTAAGGTGTGTGGAGAGAGTGCAAGCGTTGATGACAATGTATATAAAAACTGGAAAGAGGAACTAAAAACAATGTTGAAAGACTATGATCCTAAAAACATATTTAATGCTGATGAAACAGCCTTGTACTACCAATGTCTTCCCGATAAAACTTTAACTTTCAAAACCGAAAAATGTCATGGCGGTAAGAACAGTAAAGTTCGAGCAACACTTTTGCTTGCGAGTAATATGATAGGAACAGAAAAGTTAAAGCCGTTTATGATCGGTAAAAAAGTTTGCTGGTGTTAAGTAATTTCCTTTTGAATATGACGCAAATCTAAAAGCATGGATGAATAGTAACCTTTTTGGGCAATGGTTGTTTAAGCTAGACAAACAAATGAAGAAGGAAAAACGTAAAATTCTTTTATTCATTGACAACTGTAGTGCCCATAATGACATCCCAAAGCTTGACGCAATCAAAGTTCAGTTCCTTCCTGTCAACACAACGTCAAAACTTCAACCGCTGGACCAGCGAATAATAAAAATTTTCAAGGCTCTACAGGAAAGAAATTGTTAGACATATTTTATCAAATATCGAAGAAGAGAACGCCATCGTTCCAATCAATATCCTACAAGCGATGAGAATGGCAAACAAATCTTGGGAAAATGTAACTCAAGAAACAATTGCTTTAAAATGTGTGGATTTGTAAATGGAGAAACTGAACCAGAAATCGTCACAGTTACACCATAACCTGTTGAAGATCTAATCGAGAGCGAATGGAATGTTGTAATGACTCACTGTAACGTAAATGACACAACATTTGAAGATTTCGTTGAAGTCGACGTAACGTTGACAGAAGACGAGATAGTGGCGGCAGTGGCCGACAGGGACCAGGCAGAAGCAGAAGACGATGGGTTGGGTGGAGACGACGAGACGGGAGCAGACGACCAGCTTCACTTCGTTACAATAAAGGAAGCGCGGCGTGCGATAGAAACCATTCGCAATTTTATCGAACAATCAAGTGACACTGGTGGTAATGTTTTTTCAGCCATTGTAACCATTGAAAACAGTATTGATATTCAATGCAAAAGAGCCTTAAAACAGTCACGAATTACAGACTTTTTTAATACAGAATAAACAATGTTCAATTTCATTTTCTTTGATTGAATATGTCATTTTTTAATACTGTAATTCAATATGTCCTGTACGGTAATAAATAAACAGTATTTTGTCCAAGAGATGTGTGTTTGAATAATATTCTGTTTAGCTTTTAAACAATAAACTTGGACCTCTATAGTTCGAACTTTATTATTTTAACCTCTATAATTCAAACTCCCCACACATAAAACTGGGACCTCCATAATTCAAATTTTATTCATTCTGACCTCTATAATTCAAACTCTCTATATTTCAAACTTCCCATAGTTCGAAGTATATTGACTTTCCCGTGAAATTCAAATTAGCGGGGTTCTACTGTATTAATAAACGTTTAAATAACCTTGTTTTTCCATATTTTTAAATCCGAACCCATTGACAGACTACACCTTCACTCATAATGTTTGGGCCATACACCGCACACAATTCACGATGAATTTCAGCCGCTGTGTGATTCTTCGACTACAGATATCTGATTACACCACACACTTTACACTTGGCGGAAATTTCTATGGCGGCACTCATGTTTTTTTGTTATAACAACAGAACGCGTGATTGTACGATGCTCTCTCTAGCACAACTAAAAGCGTACTGAATGGCTCCGCACGCCGATGTGAGAACCAGGGCCCTACCCCCACTACTTATCGCGCCACACCCAGACGGCAGTTACTTCGTGGATATCCATTGTAATAAGTTTTCAACTGACTACCCTCGTCAGTATAACAGGCAGACTGCTAGTATTACATAATTTTGTAAATCTAGAATATTAATTTTTTAAATTAAAAGGTACCTTGGTCCACTTCCAGATCATTGTACGCCTCCGGAGCATCAGAAAGATCACAACCACTGCTAGAACCTCTGCCTTCATCTCTGTTCATGTGAGATTTATCTACAAAACATATTTAGCTTTAAACACACTTTTGGTAATGAACACTTACATTATTCCAAACTTATTGTATAAAAAATCAAAGGGCAAATGTCAGGGTCTTTCTTTAGTCATGTAAGTAGATGTCAGCTAGGTAAATGATTGTACAGTAGAACCTCGATAGTTCGACACTGGACTTAAGGGGTGTCGAACCATCGAAATGTCCTACTATAAGGAGTAAATGGAGTTTAATATACAGGAAAGTAAAAACACAAGTCTTATATAGAAATCATCCAAATTTATAAAATACTAAAAAGCTTAACAATTTCACTGTTCATTAGTTAAGTCTCAAGTCAGCAATAAATGACAAATTAATGTTCAAGTAAGTTTACATCACAATAGTAACCATTTAATATCACTTGACAAAATAGCTCAGCCCGTGTCGAAAGGTTTACTGTAATCATGATGTAAATGGGATGAATAATTTATAAATAAAAAACTTTTTTAAACAAAACGTTTTTAAACGCCCTAAAAAGTAGAAAATAATTTACAAATAATTTATAAATATGTTGAGAGAGTATAAATACTTGTACGATTTAAAACGAAAAACGTGGGGTGCATGCAATAGATAGTTTACAATTACCTTCACCTACTGTATTATTATCAATTAATTGCATGCACCCAACGTTTTTCGTTTTAAATCGTACAAGTATTTATACTCTCTCAACATATTTATAAATTATTTGTAAATTATTTTCTACTTTTTAGGGCGTTTAAAAACGTTTTGTTTAAAAAAGTTTTTTATTTATAAATTATTTTATACTTTTTAGTTTTAATGTGTGTGCATGTTAAATCTATTTCAAGCATCTATATCAGATTAAGACAGAAGCATGTGGGAAATCTAAGGTTTATTTGAGTTTCTTTGCATATAACTATGTATTAGATTGCATGTATGGCCTACCTACTAACTATAAATATATCAATCTATTTAATCGCAATGTTTCTGAAATATAGTACTTCTCTGCAATGCGTTCACTCGAAATATTTATTGTTTACTTTATAGAATACTAAATAAACATAAATTGACATTATTTACAAACACCTTGATACCTGCAATCAGATTGTTTATCTTTATTTTGAAATGTTTGTTTGTATAAAGAATCTCTTGGGAGCATAACCTGTACCTCTTAACCTCTGCTCTTCGAACTGTCAAATTTAAGTATTTACAGCTGACTTAAATTAGTTGATATATTTACATCCTTTCAAAATGTAAACATGAAAAATTTGGAAGCCCATGGGGCGTAGCCCAAGGGAAATATGAAAATTAAATGATATAATATTGCATTGTCATGCATTTGTGAGCTATGTTTCAAATTTCAAGTCTCTAGCTTATCGGGAACATCGTTTAAAATTGATATCAAAATTTGTAGGAAAGCGAGCTAATAAAAACAAGCCCATGGGGCGTAGCCCGAAAGGAAATATGAAAATTAAATGATATAATATTGCAATGTCATCCATTTGTGAGCTATGTTTCAAATTTCAAGTCTCTAGCTCATCGGGAAGTATCAAAATTTGCAAGAAATCGATTTAATAAAAACAAGCCCATGGGGCGTAGCCCAAGGGAAATATGAAAATTAAATTGTATAATATTGCATTGTCTTCCATTTGTGAGATATGTTTCAAGTTTCAAGGCCCTAGCTCATCGGGAAGTTAGTATAAAATCGGTTGCAAAATTTGTAGCGGACAAGAAAGCGACCTAATAAAAACGTTTTAAAAATAATGTATGTTGAACTGACCGTTTTTTTTTTTACAAGTTTAATCATAGGCTTTTGGTTTGGAAACGATAGGGAGTTGAGGAAATGTTGCTCTAGTGTTGATCCGTTTGTAGTCATAAAGGTAAAGTCATGCAGAAATAGTTCAAAGAAAGTTTTTTACGAGTGCTCAATAAAATAACTCTAGTCTTGATAACTTAGATCTACATTCAGTTCTTTAGCCGTACTCATTAATCAAAGTCTAATGATGGAGGAGAACAGCTGGATCTAGTTTCAACCATCATAGTGCATTGAAGTTTTCTATGGATGGAACGTAATCTTCATATGACTTTTCAACCACTTGTCATATGAATGAAAGATCAATTACTGAGAATTAATTAACGACCCAGGCCACTTAATCAAAAACATAAAGTGTTTTTAAATAGTTATATTTAAAAAACCAAAATCGTAAACAACTATATTTGTATTTTTTTATTATCGATTGTTGCCTGCTGAAGTAATCAAGGTTACGTACTGACTATCGCTTAGTCTATCACCAGTCTGCTCCCCGACCGAAATGCTATAAGTTTTTTTAACCCTTAGCGGTCGGAAGGCCACTACTTGTGGCCAAGAGATCCGTAACATGCTGACAAGTTGTAAAATATACGAAGACGCCTATAACTCGGCTGGACCACTCATATTGGCCCCCCTCCTTTCCTGGTTTGGCCGCCATTTTTACTACTCTTTTTTACCTCTGAGGCTTGGATTTAAATGCCGTGTTGCAAGCCTTTTAACTCCAAAACACTGATCTTTAACCTAACATATTATAACTGTTAACTTGGTCATCATTAGGATTTAATTATGTACACTAATATTTAATAACAACTTTATTAATCAGATATCAAAAGGTTAATAAAAATTAAATTATTTAATATTCTTAAATATATTAAAACTCAAAGTATCTTTTACGGTTACAACTGAATCAAAAACGATGCAAATGGTTAATTTACAATTATCAGCCTGAGCATTCTCAATGTTAACGATGTTATGTCTCTGGCGTCACTTAATAAAGTTGTTTGTGCAGTTATAAAATGTGAGATGGAAAGATCGTCATCTTCATCAACTTGTAATAAATCTCGTATGGTATAGGATGTTAGGTCTCTATTTGAGGACATTTAAAATCATAAATATAAATTTATTACAAATTAAAAGGCATTAAAAGGACTATTGCACAACACACTAAGGAAAAACGAGATATATTGCTATAAGCTCATAAAAACAACAGCTTGGTGGATAGTTCCGATGGTTGTCGAGGGAGCGCAGCACCTCCCAAGCGGAGGGAATCGAAAACAAGAAAAATAAAGAAACAGGTGGGGGGTTGATTTATGGGGTAGCTAGCCGAGCTGATCAGAAATTGCTTAAAGGGCCTGCCCGAGCTGTGGGGCTACATTAAGGGCTGACAATGTTGTGTCATTAAACCAAATGGCCACTAAGTGTGGCCTTTCCGATCCATAAGGGAAGGATAATAGAACAACAAATACGACTGCAAAGGATTAAATGGACAAATTTATGTTTAAACGTCATTTATGTGTATGTCGTAATCCAAAAGTGATGAATCTGCAAAGAGGATGTTTCATGTTTCTGTAGACTTGATGATGGGTTTAATCCAACCCGAAATGTATACGTACAGAGTCAAATGTACTAGAAAACTTAAAGGACACTGTACAATAATGAATAACATATCCCTTAAGAGGTTGTACTTGCAGGGATAGCCAGCACTCTTAGCATGTTCAACTTAATAAATTTGACATAGTTTGTTATTGGCTTCAAAGGTAAGTTGTACGTAGTTGACAATACAAAAATTTTTTTTTTTTTTTTTTTTTACTAGGTGTAAAACTTAACTACTAATTTTAATTAAATTAAACTCTAGGATCAATATTTAAATGTTCACTGTCTACCAAAAGAGTTAACAGATCTTTGGATTAACTCTTCCCCGTACCCGTGTGATTTCTTTAGGTCGAAAAACTGCTACAAGTATATAGATCTATCAATACACCTGTATGCAGATATGACAATTTTTTATGTTCAGGGTTTGGATCATTCTCTTACGAATAGTTTATTTAGTTACCAAACAAAAGGTATAATAAATGCACTCACCCTTTTTATCATCGTGCTTAAATTTGTTGACAAGTTTATCTCTAAGCGCTTTCTCTTTTTCTTGAAGGTCATTCCCTGATTCTTCCTGTAATAGATAAGATATATATTTTTCCTAAAACTGCATGGAAATGATCACATTGCCACACTTGCAAATGTACGCAAAATAGCTCATTTCCATTTTATTCATTCTGCTTGCTAAACGAGCTGACTTCACTGTTGGCGTTTCTATTAAACACTCTCATTCCTTCTTAAGTGGGAAAAACTTACAATGCACTCCTAATACAAAAAAGCTATTCCAACCACAATGGATATTGATAACCTTTAATATTTTAAACATTGGGGAAAACAAGGCTAATACCTGTCTTAATCTGTGATGGTTACAACCAACAATAATGGTAATGACTGCCGTGACACAAAAAAAATTACAACCATCCACCGCACGCACTGACTCCAAAGATCGTGCAATAGGAAACCGCTATTGCCGCGATCGGGCATCACGACGATGACGTTTCCATGACCACAGGAGTGGATGATAACGTCTACATGACTGCGGGAGTTGTTCATGATTAAACCCGCGATCGTGCAAGACGACGAAGATGTCTCCGTGACCGCGGGAATGGATGATGATGTTTACACAGTTGTGGGAGATAATCAGATTTAGCGGAAGACAACAATAATGTCTAAACGGCCGCGGGAGATGTTTATGATTTTGCCGCGATCGGGCATGGCGACGATGACATTTCCTTGACCGCGGGAGGCGATGATAACGTCTACATGACCACGGGAGATGTTAATGGTTTTGCCCAAACCGCAGAAGACCTCCCCAGCCAAAAGACGCCAGATTACTGGGGTGCTAGAGTGGCACAGTGCCGGATTAGAGAGGGTGTCTGTATTGTTGTTTCTAGGGAAATACCTGACCACTTTTTTGGTACTTTCAACACACTTGTGCAATATTATCACTGAACCTAAAAACTTGCTGAAAATGTGACTGTCAAAATAATGTGTGGCAATTAAAATGCTATACAAAATAACAAACATTAAAAATCACATCTCATAGCGGATGTAAATTTTATTTTTGATTACACTCACCGATCCTAGTTTTTTCACACCATCCGACTGTTTTTTCCACTTCTCTCTTTTATTGTATCGTTCATTTTCCTTGGCAACCTAAAATAAGAAGACAATTTAAAAAATGCTTTTGTAAATGGTTGTTTTGAAAAGCAAGGACCTCAGCTAAAACTTCAAGATACAGTGCCACATTTCCTAGTTCAGAATACTTATTATTTGGAATGAAGATCTTATTTACTTCATCATTTACTTTTACTTTATTTTATCATTTAAGTAAATTATGATATCATTTGCCCACTATCAAACTATTTATACCATGTTAATGTATAGGTAGAGGTTAACAGTAAGAAAGGACCATGAGGTTCTAAGTTCGCCTCAATAAAGAAGGATTTTCATTTTATTTCATTTCATTTTCATATATTAAAGAAACAACATGAATTATTTCATGGGTTCCAGGAAGAAAAATAATTGGCCAAATTAAAAATTTTGACAAAAAAGGTTTTTAAATGAGTATAGGATAATGTCATAGTAGAAATAAAAATTCTTAACCTTACATAGATTGATAGGAATGATAGGTTGCCGATTTCATCCAACCATGAATTAAAATGTGGAGTTCTAATTGAGTCTTACTTGTATCAAAGGTATATTGTTTAAAATTCAAAGATATCTATCCACTCTTCTCTATGTCTATGTGACTCATTGAACTAAATAATTTGTTAATAAAAAAAAAGGCTGCAGGTTCGTATAGAAGGGATTCCTACATCAGCAGCCAAAAGTCAAAGAACTACCTCCTGATACAGTTTCCAGGGATATTGTAAACCCTGACACAAAAATACTATAAGTAATATGTGAATAACCTTGCCCTAAATACCTAGCCTTAGAATTGTAAAAAAAATTTAGTCTCCGTATGACTTAGTGAACGTCCTAAATTGTAGATCATTGTTGACATAGCTAAAGCTGACAATAAATTGTTTTAGTCAACTTTGGCTGAATTTTAATAATTTGATTTGACTACACATAACCGATGAGTGTTATTTGCGTAGTGAGTTAGTTAATGTTTTCTTCTTTGACCACCAGACCTTGAGCCGGTTGAACAGCTCTCCCAACAGTCTAAAGGACTCCAGTCTCCGCTGAGCTATGAGCAAGAGTCTTTCTTCTGTTGCTATCTTTTTATTCATGTCGTCCGCCTCTCGGTGCTTGAGTCTCTCCAACATCTTGGCCTTGCGTCGCTCCTCCCGTTGCCGCTGTCTCTCCAACTTAGCTGCCCTCTCCTCCTCGGCTCGCTTTCTGTTGGCAAATATGTTGGTCAAGAAGGCGTTTTAGGCCATTATGCATTGGCAAAGCATATAGGCTACATGAAAGGAAGTTACACGGCATTTTCTTCTTCAAAATGTCCAAAGTTGACACAACGCAAAATAGGACTTTGAAATGATTCAATATTTTTTGGGCTAGAATTTTAACAATTTTAAGTTAAAGTTATACAAGAGAAATCTTAGTCAGGGACAGGTATCACCTCAACTTGTTCAAATGATTTTTAATATCTTTCCTTGTGTACAGACAAGAGACAAATACTAGAAAGTAGAAAGATAATTTTAAAGATATAATGATTTAGATAGGCTACTTCAAATCAAGATAGACTAATGTCAAAAACTGAAGGGACAAGCAGTTAAGAAGGGTGGCCTGCTCTTCACTCAGGGTGTATACTATTTTATTAAAGTGAAATTCCAGGTTTTTTCCAGGTTTTTCCTGGTTTTTCCTGGTTTTTCAAAGTTTTTCCAGATTCCCGAGTATTTCTTTGGTTCCACTTAAACTACAATCAATTTAAGACTTGCAGCTTAAGTATTCAATATAAACTTACATCAAATTTGTTTCAAAGTCCATAGTGAGCTAGTGTTGAAAAAGTAATAATCCTTATTATAGTAATCATTTTCATTATCATCATTACTTAAGGCCACGGAAACATCTTCTCTCTCGATAGCAGCAAAATCCTGAATATTATCTTAATTTTTTATGAACACATTATCAACGGTGGCAAAATCCTGAATATTTCCTGCGGTCGTGTGGTCGCTTCCCACAGTGACGTAAACGTCATCACAGTCTTACGTTATCATGGAAAAATCCTGGACATCTCCCGCGGTATGTATACATTATCGCCGTCTCTCGCGATCACGGAAACGTAATCATCGTCATCCACGATCGCGGCTAAATCATGAACATCTGCGGCCGTGTAGACATAATCATAGCCTCCCGCAGTCACGGAAACGTCATATTCGTCGTCGTCCGCAATCTCAGCAAAATCATGAATATTTCCCGCGGCAGTGTAAACATCATCGTTGATCCCGCGGTCACGTAAACGTCATCGTCGTCGTCCGCGATCGCGGCTAAATCATGAACATCTGCGGCCTTGTAGACATAATCATAGCCTCCCGCAGTCACGGAAACGTCATATTCGTCGTCGTCCGCAATCTCGGCAAAATCATGAATATTTCCCGTGGCCGTGTCTACATCATCGTCGTCTCCCGCGGTCGCGGAAACGTCAACGTCGTTTCCCGCGGTCACGGAAACGTCATCGTCGTCGGCCGCAATCACGGCAAAAACATGAGCATAGCACGCGGCCGTGTAGAAATCATCATCGTCGTCTTTCGCGGTCACGGAAACTTCATCGTCGTCTCCCGCGGTCACGGAAACGTCATCGTCGTCTCCCGCGGTCGCGGAAACGTCATCGTCGTCTCCCGCGGTCGCGGAAACGTCATCGTCGTCTCCCGCGGTCGCGGAAACGTCATCGTCGTCGGCCACTATCGCGGCAAAATCTTGAGCATTTCACGCGGCCGTGTAGAAATCATCATCGTCGTCTCCTGCGGTCACGGAAACGTCATCGTCGTCTCCCGCGGTCACGGAAACGTCATCGTCGTCGCCCGCAATCGCGGCAAGACGCATTTTACGACTACAATCTTCTACCGGGGCTAAAATAAAAATCCCGGAATCGGACCAAAAATCCCGGCTTTTTCCCGGTTTTTTCCAGGTCCCTTCAAATTCAAGGTTATTTCCCGGTTGGTATATACCCTGTCACTATACTCCATTCCACCAGGCGTGGAACCTGACAGATTAGAAGACCTTTTACTCATGAGCTCCTTCGTCTGACCTGCCCGGCCAGACAGGGGACTCAATATTGGGGTGTCCACTGTCCAGTAATAAAATTTTAATGTTGTATTTGAAATTGTTGTTGAATTTTAAAGAAAATGAGATCAAACACTACATGATTAGCCTTTGTTAATGATTTGCTGACATAATTTAACACTAGTACCGAAACCCTACCAAGGCTGACGTTAACCGAAACCCCCGGTCTTTGAGACCCCATTTGAAAAATAATGGACCCTGCTTAGACACACACAAACCGAAACCCTCGGCCTGGGAGACCCTGCTTTAAAATACACTAACGATGGTCTTCTGAGACAGGCATGTTATGAACAGACAACCTGTCAAGGTCACGGCACCCATGCAAAATGAACAAACAATATATCAATAGGTAGGGGAGGAAAAGGGGGGGAGGTATTGTGGGAATGGAATCTCCCAAGTAAACAGTGTTGCCAATATGCGTTTTTGAAAATTCCTGTGGGCCTGTCAGACCGGGGTTTCGGTATTAGTGTTAAAATACCAATTTTATTTTATAACTAAAATATTTACTTCATGATTTTAACTAGTGTCACCAGCACCAACCTCTACATATTAAATTAAATTAGTATAGAGTTTTAATAATTCAAAAAGTTCTTTCACTATTAATATTTGACTTCTAGACATGTAATGAATACATTCAACAGGACCTTAGCAATTGTTAACTGTTACCATAAAACTTCCGTGGGTAATTAGTGAGAATATTTCGTGTGAACAAGGTTGTAGTATTCTTTATACTGTATATTATCAGCTGTTGTCATTAATTACAAAACAATGTTTACCTTTTCAATTTGCAGTTGTAAATATTACTTTTCAATAAAAGAGTTTATTCAAATGCGTGCTTATTATGAACTCTAATTCAAAGTCACAACAATTGGCGACGAGAAAAAGTTTTTCAAAATTTCTACTCATTATTTGGATTTAAAACCTTTTCTAAATTTCGATTTTGTACATTATGGATGCAGAACAATTTACAGCACTACTGAAAGCATTCACTGAGAGCCAAGTCACACTTGCAGCTACACTTGCATCGAAGATTACAGAAAAACTTCAACTTCAACCTCCAGTACAGCAGAGTAATACGTTAGTAAGTATTCAACCATTTGAAAATTTCGATCAGAAAAAGGAAAAATTTAAAAACTATTTGGAACGCTTTGAAAATTATCTTGCTGTCAAAAACATCTCAGATGAAAGGAAAAAAGCACAACTTCTTTGCGCTTCAATTGGCTCTGTTCACTACAATAATCTTTCATCATTAATTGGACCTGAAAAACCTATCAAAGACCTAGATTTTGCTACTTTGGTCAAATCACTACGTGACATGCTTTCACCACACAGAAACGTTGTAGTTTCACAACATTACTTTTTAAACACTTATCAAAAAGCAAATCAATCAATTCCTGAATACATAGCTTCACTACAAAAAGACCTGTCTGAGTGTGAATTTACAGTCCAGTGTGAATGTTCAAAACAAGTTTCAGTCTCAGATACATTTTTAAGAGCTCAATTCATAAGAGGCTTAAAAGATGACTGGATTCGAGAGCAGTTATTACAATCAGACACTACTTCATTCAAAGACATTGTAACCAAAGCTACTGCTTTGGAAGCTTCCCGATTAGAGACCCAGGCTTTGAACAAACATCAGCATTCAATTCCAACTGATGTAGATATCAATAAACTTTCAAATGTAGGTACAAAACATCAAAGAAGTCGTTCAAACTACCGTAAGAATCCAAATTCTGGTCATACTTATCGTTCTCAATCAAAAGTAGATTTCAATCGCTTAGGTTTTGGAGATCTTTGCTTTCGATGCGGTAGAAATAATCACCGCGCAACTGAGTGTCGCACTAGCAAGTCATCACTTCATTGCACTTCCTGTTCGAAACAAGGCCATGTAGCCAAAGTTTGCATTTCAACCCAAATGAAAAATAAGTCTTCTACCAATCAATCTAAGTTCAATTCAACAAAGTACATTTCTTCAACCTCTGATGACATTACGCTAGGCTTAAATCAAATCACTGAAATTCATCCAGTTACCAAACCTAATATCATAGACATATTTGACCAGAACGAACGATCAAATTTACCCGATTCACAAAAGTATTTTGCTACAGTTTCAATTGATAACAAGCCAATGCGTTTTGAGATAGATTACGGAGCAGGATTTACATTAATACCAGAAAAGGCTTTCAATGAGTTAAATCTCAACATCAAACTTGACCCAACTAATGTGTATTTCCGTGCTTATACAAATAATGTATTTAAACCATTGGGCAAAGTTACAGTTGAGGTTACTTACAAAAACCATAAATCAATCGAAGATATGTATATAGTTCCTGATAATTGTCCAGCAGTCCTAGGAAGAGTGTGGATTCGACACTTACATATAAGTCTACAAGAAATAGATGATGGTTCAAATCAACCTAACTTTTTCAATGTCTCCGAAACCTTCCATTCGATTGATGACATATTTTCTGAATTTTCCACAGTTTTTGACCAAAGAATTGGATGCTTGCCCAACCACAAAGTTACACTTCAATTACGTGAAAACGCTAAACCTGTGTATACCAAAGAACGTAACGTTCCGTTTGCCCTTAGATCTCAGGTTGAGGAAGAACTCAACAGTCTTGAATCATCCGGCATAATATCTAAAGTCGATGCTAGCGATTGGGGTTCGCCTTTGGTAGTTATTCCTAAAGAAAATGGCACAGTGAGGTTATGCGTCGATTACAAAACAGGCGTAAATGATCGTCTTGTTTCATCTAATTTCCCGATCAAACACATTCCAGATGTTTTACACTGTTTGCGAGACTCTAAATATTTTTGCAAGCTTGATATTTACAAGGCTTATTTGCACATTCCAGTTGATGCCCCAAGCAGCAAAATTCAAACTATTACTACACACCGCGGTACATACTTGATGCACAGACTTAGTTTCGGAATCAAGACCGCGCCTGCCGAATTCAATCGCATTCTAAGCCAAATTCTAAACGGGTTACCAAAGACTGAAGTTTATTTTGACGACATAATCGTGCACGGTACAACAAAAGATGAATGCTACAATAATTTACGGTTGTGTCTATTCTGTCTACATGCGAACGACTTGCATCTAAACAAAGACAAATGCAAATTCTTTTGCGAACAGATTGACTATCTTGGTCATGTGATTAAGTACAATCAAATTTCAAAAAGTCCAGAAAAGATTAAAGCTGTTTGTAATATGCCTCAACCAAGGAATATTGATGAGGTCCGGAAATTTCTTAGAATGGTTACCTACTACGCTCGGTTCATCCCAGACCTATCTACAAAAACAACACCTCTTCGACAGCTTCTACAGAAAAATAGAAGATTTCATTGGTCAATAGATTGTCAATCTGCATTTGATTGTCTCAAGGAGGAAATAACTTCTAAAAGAGTTCTAGTACCATATGACCCCCATCGTCCAATCGTTCTAACATGTGATGCCAGTCCTACCGGAATTGCAGCTGTAATGAGTCACATAATTGACGATGAAGAGAAACCGATCGCTTACGCATCCAGATCCTTAACTCCATCAGAGCGAAATTACAGTCAGCTCGATCGAGAAGCTCTTGCGATCGTGTTTGGAGTCAGTCATTTTTACAATTATCTGTATGGACTTCACTTCACCTTAATTACAGATAATGCCCCTCTTTCAAGAATTTTCCATGAAAGCAAATCCTTACCACCCATGACTTCCAGCCGTCTACTCCGTTATGCATCTTTTCTATCAGGGTTTAACTATTCAATACGTTTCAAGAAAGGGGAAGCAAATGCTAATGTTGATTGTTTATCCAGAGCTCCAGTGACTCAATATTCTGAAACCTTAGACATTTTCCTAAACAATGAAGTTACCTTGCTACATTCAGAAACAATTTTTGAAATATCTTCTGAACATTTAAATGCAACTATTCTAGCCCGGGAAACTGAAGCTGACCAAAATCTTAGAGAAATTAAAAGGAAACTTTTGTCTTCTTCTGCTGACCTACCATACACATTGGACAACGGAGTACTTTTCAAGGAAACTCGTGCTGTCATTCCTAACAGCCTTCAACCTCAAGTCTTACAGCAACTACATGCTACTCACATTGGTATTACAAAGATGAAGCAATTAGCCCGAAGATACGTTTATTGGCAAGGGATTGACAAGGACATAGAGAAATTAGTCCAATCGTGTGAAATTTGCGCCCACATAAAATTCAATCCTCCCAAAGCACCCCTTCATCCATGGGTAGAGCCAGAAGAAAACTGGGAGCGTATTCATATAGATTACGCGGGGCCTTTTCAAAACCACTACTTTCTTGTTTGTGTGTGTGCCAAGTCAAAGTGGGTAGAAGTTAAAGTATTGAGAAATGCTCCTACAACTTCTAATACTATTATTCTTCTCGACAACATTTTCTCATCTAATGGCTATCCTCAAGTGATGGTATCAGACAATGCCACAATTTTCACCAGCGCAGAATTCAAGAAATACTGTTCATCCAATGGAATTTTCCAGAAACTGATTGCACCTGGACATGCAGCTACAAATGGTCTTGCTGAAAGAACTATCCAGACTTTGAAGCAAAGATTAAAAGCATTGGAAGATGACCATCGTCAAATACATACAAAGGTTCAAGAGATTCTTCATCAATATCGCGCCACTCCTCTCTCTAATGGACAATCACCTGCAGAACGATATCTTCATCGTAGGATCCGCATCAAGCTGGATGCTCTTCGACCTTACCATCCGGCAAAGAATCCTCCTTCGATAATAAGAGTTCGAACATTCAATGTGGGGGAGAGAGTTCTCATTAGGGAGTATTCACAAAATAATAAATATATATGGACATTTGGTGAGATTATACAGAAACTAGGGACTCTTCACTATATTGTAAGGTTAGATTCTGGAAGAACACTGAAACGTCATCTAGACCAACTCCGGAAAACTCAAGTAAAGAAGGTTCGTTTCAACGAATGTGAAGAAGTACCTAATCAAGTTCCCATAATTCCACAAGTCCCAATGCAAGTACCCATACTTCCGCAACAGCAAGTTCCTATCCAAGTTCCAGAATTAGTCCAATTACCAGCTGAAGAGAACTTACAACCAACATCACCACGACCACGAGTACGATGTTCAACCCGCACTCATAAAGCTCCAGATTACCTTAAAGACTATGTTACAAAATGAGTTGAAAATAAGTGGGGGAGATTGTAGTATTCTTTATACTGTATATTATCAGCTGTTGTCATTAATTACAAAACAATGTTTACCTTTTCAATTTGCAGTTGTAAATATTACTTTTCAATAAAAGAGTTTATTCAAATGCGTGCTTATTATGAACTCTAATTCAAAGTCACAACAAAGGTGGACTCTGTTAACGGTTGTTTGGACCCTACCATGACTCAAGACTAACAGACTCATGTCCTTAACTATGCCAAGAGAGACTAGAGAGGTCTCACATACATCAGTATTCGTATACTGTAGTACTGTGCTCATTGTTGTTTTGGTAGTAGTGCTCTACTCTTTGTTTTATAGTTTACTGATGATGTCCTCAAAGAACATCAGCAATGGAAAATGTGTAATTTCACCCACCTCTCTGCAGCCAATTTAAGTTCTTCTTCTTCTCTCTTCTGCCGCTCTTGGTCTTCTCGCTCCTGTTCTTTGGCCATGAGCCGCTCTCGCTCGACTCTCCTACGACGAATGCTGCTGTCACTCAGATGTTTTGTCTTATCAAAGTCCACCTGTATATAGCGTCTAGATTAGTCATTATTCCTGCACATGTATTAGCTCAGTAAGCCCATTACCTTAAACACTTAACATAACACTAGGCCAATTACAAAATTTTTTTAAAATTGTTTTTTAATAAATAGCAAATAACAGAATCAATTTAATTCAACAAACAATTAGTCAAGCTCTCTACTACAACCACTTTGGTTAGTAATAAACTAGTTCCTATATATTCATGCATTTAATTAAATTGATGCAACTTTTAATTAAATTTGAGCCCGTTTCCAGCGGGCAAAAAGTAAACAATAAGGCCCAGCACACACGGAGTAACCAAAATTGTGCAAGATACAGTTAAGCAAATATCACAGTTTGCGACAATATCGAAACAATTTTAAACCAGATTCAAGCAACTAAGCATACTATTGAGTACTGTAGCACACTTCTGTTGCAAAAAATCACAAGGCGTTTTGCTATGCTTCCGGGTGTGTAGTTCTTGTTTTCAACATGACTTCAAGTCTGTCATCATAAAGCCTTTTGAAGGTAAGGAGAAATATCTTCTATAAGTTTTTTCAAACCTAAAAAATGTTGTGTTTACAACCAGTCAATTATCTCAACTGTGTTAGGCCTATTGCTAGAAAGAATGTTTTTGACATTTTGTAAACTTGCTATCTCACTGAGAGAGCTCCATATCAGAGCAACAAATAAAATAGAGTTAACATTGCTTAACAGGTTCACTACCAGCTCCATCACACACTTCTCTGTTTTACTCTATAGACATTCATTAATATGGATCATTTTTTTGTTCGATATATCAATAGTTTTGTTTTCCTTTGCGATCCATAATCCTCCTGTTTTAACACCTTCAAACACATTTTAAAATTTCAAATTGACAATAATAATGGTTTAATTTACCTCTGTCAATATGGTCCTTGCGTAGTTTGTCACTACTGCAGTTTCGTGCTCGTGGAGCACATCTTCAGGTGAAGATCACGAAAGTTAAAACATTTTCTTCATGTGAAGGTCGTCAATTTTTGAAAAAACATCGAAAACATATAACACACGAACGGTACGAAAAAACATTTCAAAAATTGACGACCTTTACATGAAGAAAATGTTTTAACTTTTGTGATCTTCACCTGAAGATGTGCTCCACGAGCACGAAACTGCAGTAGTGACAAACTACGCAAGGACCATATTGACAGAGGTAAATTAAACCATTATTATGGTTGCTGTATGGTCCAGAGGCTACCCATCATAAAATTACAAATTGACAACTGATATTGTTTAGGAAAAAATAATGGATTAAGAAATGAAACTGTTCTAAACTAACCTAATATAACTAACCAAACTTGCTGTACTGTACTATTTCAAAATTCCCTTTGATAACAGAAAAAGGCATGTGGAGAATATCAAGTTACAGCAAGTTGGGTTAAAGCTAGTTAGGTTAACTTAGTTTGGAACAGTTTCATTTCAATATAATTTGTTTTTCATTGTTTGTTGATACTAAACAATATTTATTTAGCCTATGTAGTTGTCAGCTGATATTTTTCAATCCGTTAATATCAATATATTGGATCAAAAAATAAAATATTGAAATATCATAAAAATAGAAATGTTCCCTTTACAGAAAAGTACCACCATTCTTTTAAACACTACAGGCCAAAATGTTGCCCTTGTGGCAAAATTAATGAAATGATTCAAAAAAGCTTAACTAAATTAAAACAATATTCTTGCTGAAATATGTTATATTTTAATACCATTTCTCAAAGAGGTTACCCTATTATGTGTGATAATGAACTCTTTAAAACATAAGACTCTTTAAATTACTAATGCATGATTATATTAGCCTAAAAAACTCACCTTAATACTAGCAGTAAAAGCCTTTCCGGTCTCGTCCTTGTGCATTAATTTCATTCCGCGGAGAGCGTCCATGGCTTTCACAAAACACATATACTCTTTAAATTGAACATAAGCCTCAAATATTAAGTTCTGGTTATTGGAAAACATCTTAATACCAGATATGTGAGATTTCATTTGGCTTCTGAAAGGATCCAACATTGGAATATCAACACATCGAACTTCACCAAAAACTTCAAATACTTTTCTCAAAACATATTCACTCGGCTTTGAAGCATCAGATTTTGCAGCAAACCATTTACAAGGAAGATTAGTGATATGAATTGTGTCAGGTCTTTCACCAGGTTTCATTTCATTCATGTTTTTTGCATCCCGGAAGTAAGAATCCCACGAATGACGATTAGGAAAATCAGGTTTAGCTTCAGCCGCTCTCACTTTAAGGCTCTCATGGAAACCTGAGAGTTTCAGGGATCGCCCATTGAGTCGGGCCAAGACGGCCAGAAGTTTTGAGCGGTCTTCTATCTCTGCTTCGAACCTCACTACTTCTAACGTACTCTTGGCTACTTTCAGATGATAGAGCTCTTCTGGCACGGCATAATGTCGCAGTTTCTCCATCACTTCCCAGTTGGAGATACTTTTTCCAGGTGTTTTCAAGTTGGGGAGCTGTACGGATATGTTTAATCGAGCTACAGGTTTGAGGTACAAGCTCTGAGGGGAGGAGAGAGGGGTCGCATCGCTGGTGTTGCTGCAGCTTTGGAACACACTCATCTTGATACCCCATCCACAGGCTCCTGACAAGGTGGTTACAACAACACATCTTGAAGAAAACTTTCCACCTGGTTTTTAAACAGCTAAAACTTTGCATTAATCCTGGAAAAACTAGGCTTCTCATTAGTAGCTTTATATAATTGGTAAATAGAAAATCTTAAATAAATTGACACACTCTAACAATAAAAAGGAGGTACTGTACCGGTACCTTTTTTGCTATAGGGTTTAAACTAATAGTAAATCCATGTTTAAAAAAAATACTCAACTTTCTATTGTCTATTCTATTTAATAAGTACCCAACAATGACGAGCTGTAAAAAGGCCTTTTTACATTAAGTAACTTAGTAGGCCTACACTATAAAATTTTGTAGCTACGACTGGAACTCTAGTGACTTGACAAAACTAAATCTCAAATCTCAAAACCATAAAAACTTTGGAAAAATTTGGTTTCGAGACTCAACAATCGTGAATCGACAAGTTTCCAGATTCTAAAGTTTTGATATTTTAGATTTTGACAGTTTTTTCACTGTTGACATATTTGGGCATCATTATTATTGTTTAATAGGTACCGTTTCCACAAAAGCTGGCAGCAATGAAGCAACAGCAAACTGTTCACCACTAACAACTAGGCAAAATTATATTTTTAGGCATACAACACCAATCAATGATGTCCACTAAGTGTTTAGGTAATCTTAAATTGATCTAAAGTTCTTGTTAGCCTAAGTTAAGTTAGTGCCAGGAATAAGTTAGTTTGATGTAGTGTTTGTGTCGTTTTTGAAAAATAATGTTTTTCAGGTTTAAAATGTACTTAGTCACGTAACTTTTAAAGTTTCCTACATATTATTAATATAGGGAGGCCTAATGTCAGGGTCAGGATTCGATTAGCATACTTTCAGTTTTGAGCATAATTCATAATTATTTTATAACTCAGGGCCGCTTTCCCCAAATTACGCTTTTAACTTGAGCTAGTTTAAAATTAAGCTTGAGCTTAAGCCTTTGTTCGTTTTCTCCATGCCCACAGGTATAAGGTTTAGTTTAAGCGTCCATTTGTTTTGGTTGGCTGCTCTGCTTGTGTTGTTTTCTTGTGGATTGTGTTTGATCAACTGTCAAAAGTTATGTTTTATATGTTGCATTAAATAAATATTGAGCAAGAGGTTAGGATACAAAGATAGTGTTATAACTGCTGCTGAGGTTTCATTATATAATTAAAGTTCAATTTAATATTTCATAAGCAATTCATCTTGGTTAGGTATCCTTTTTTAACTATTTAGTTTAGTAGAAGAATCTGAAGTGATGGAACAATCTAGGCAATGCCGTTCAGAATACTCGGTGGTCAGAACATTGTGTGTCTGTGGGAACAATTATTTGGCTTTGTAATTTCTGTTCTTTTTTCGTTTTGTTGTTCAAAGAATTGTCAGCCTTCAGCTAACAAATTCTTTCAAAAACGGGGGCTAATGTTAGCCTGTCACCATCCCTAGATTAAGTATAGTTTAGTTGTATTTTTGCTTTTTGTATTTAAGATAAGTTGTAACAGTTTCCTTAGTTCTTTTCGGCTTTTTAGGCTTATCTAACGGCAAATCACAAACAAAGAGAAATGTCAAAGTTGATCCTGCATTTGAATAGGGAGGGGGGCACGCGGACATTGTCATCTAGGTATTAGTCACGCTTCACCCATCATACTGTTTAGGCCTACATCATTTCTCAAATTCAATACCGGTACACACACACACATTGTTATCCAATCTTCAAATAAACCTTAAACTCATGTTTTCAGGCATTAGCCACGAGTCAAATTTACTAAAACTGACTGTTAGGCCTTTAACTAACTTGAAAAATAAACACTAAAATTTGTGATGACTGTCCGTCAGCGAGTAATGGGCGGACACTGTAGTAACCTTGTTACCAGCGAGAAATTACCCTTAAGTGCCTTTTGAAGCATCCCGGATTAGAAGTGGATTTGATTTGAAGAGGGAGAGCATTAAACAGTTTGATGGCATTGTAAGTTAGATGTATTTCAAAGAAGGTGGTTGAATGGGCTGGAGGTCTCAGATTGAAGTTATTGCGAAGCAGATATGAGTGGGTGGTTGCTGAGTGAAAATTAGAATACGGTACCTAATTTGACTTTAGGAAAGTGAGGACTTTTACCAGGTTACGTCTATTAATACCCAGGCAACTTATGTTTTGGTTTTTAGATTCAAACATTCTATTTATGACCCTCCCTAACTTGATCCATTTTCTGCATTCAAATGGAATATTCCAAAGCTGTGAACTTCATCAGATCAGTATTCAAATTTTAAGAGTCATCCTAGAATTGAGTAGCCTAATTTAAACTTATAACTTAGGTTCGGGTATATTTATTTACTAACTTAACACGTTTGCTCTCAAAATGTTTGTCCTGATTTTTTAGTTTCACCGAGTCTGCTCATGAGTCGGCCCAGCTCCACAAGGTCTAGGATCATGTTAATGACTAGGGTTGCCATATCCCCGGATTTCCCCGGAGATTACCGGATTTTGAATGTATCCGTGTTCACTACCAAAGCCGAACCATGTCTAGCAGGTACAGAGAGCGTTTTGTACGTTATTTGTTAATTTTAATGGGAAGTGACAAGCAAGATGCGCATGTTTTATTAAAAGTCATAGTTCATAGTTATTAAGTCAAGTTCTAGGTCCTGAGCTGTTGTATTCAATATAATAAGGTTGGGCCTACATACCTTATAAATTCGACAAACAGTTTGTTTTAATTGAAGGTCGCTTAGTAGCAACTAACACACAGGTTAGTGCAACTAAGCGACCTTCAATTAAAACGAGCTGTTTGTCGGATTTAAAAGGTACATGTAACCTATTATGCATATTTTATGCTTTCATGTACCATATTTGAATAGGTATTGACATTGAAGCACGAATATTGAAAAGAAACGATGGATTAACTCAATAAACATAAACAAATGACGTCACTAGCCCCAATGTCAATACGCCTACTAATAGCTGTAACAACTGGTTTGGAAGGTTTTTGACAGTTCCATTTAAATATTAATAAAAACTTATTTACTTTCAGGCCAGTGACATAACTTTTTTTAAGTGTATGGTATGACCCATAGGCCTACAGTTTCTGTTAGCCTATAATAAGTTAACTTACCTACTATTTATTTGTGCTATGTAGGTACCTATAGGCCTACAATTTTGCCAGCCCGTTAACCCTAGGAGTGGCCAATGTTAGAAGTGGGGAATGGCCAACCCATTTTGGCGATTTTGCAGACCTTTTTTTGAAAATTCGTTAAAATTCAACCGTACAAGTAAACCTAGCCAACCTCATATTCATTTTGTTCGGAAAGAACAGGAGAATCTATAAATAGTAATATCATAATGATTTAGACAGTGTATTTTATCGGTAAAGTGAAAAAAATAAAAAAAATTTGATTTTTTTTTTGAAATTTCAAAAGCGGCCTCGGTATTTTTTTTCTACGGATTTTTTTATGGGAAATTCATTATATACATTTTGTAGACAATCTAATTCCCTACATAGAAATATATAACATGTTAGGAAAATATTTTTTTTTTATAAGTTTTTGGGGCAAAATATAATGACAAACGGAGAACCGAAAAAATTGAAAACCGTACAGTGTTAGTTTATGTTGTAAAAAGTTCTATAATATATGTGTATACTAATAATGATATATACATGTTTGTAAAGCTAATGAAGTAAGGAATCAAAAAAAGTCATAAAGTTTAAGGGTAAAAATAATTTTTTACCTATAAATATACGTATATAAAATAATGTTTTTATATTTTAGCGATTTCTCGAGAAAAAAATTCACAGTACTTAGTATACAACTTTTGTATCAAATTTTCTTACTTCAAACCAACATAATAATCTTGTAGTGTATTCAATTACCTACATACAAATGTATAACATGTTAGAAATATTTTTTTTGTAGGTACGCAATAGGGAAATAATAATACAATAACCGCAAAACCGCAAATAAGTGTAAACTATAGCCTACAGTGTTTGCTTGTGTTGTGAAACATTATGTAGGCTGATGATATGTAGCCTACATATTTGTAAAGCTAATGAAGTAAGGAATCCAAAAAAGTCATAGTATGATGGTAAAAAGTTATTTTCACCTATGATTATGTATCAATTTGAGAACGTTTTGAATTTTTTGCGCATTTCGAGAAAATGGAGTGTACAGTATTTAGTAGCCTATATAATTTTTTTACCCAATTTTTTACACCCAAACCAATATAAACATGTTGTAGTGTATTCATTTACCTTTATAAAAATGTATAACACCTTGGGTAAATCATTATATAGCATATAAAGCACCTCTGAATGTCAGAATCGTCATTTTTGGACATGATGCTAACAAAATACTGTAGTAGGCCTATTTAGTATAGCCTAGGCTATAACTTTTTTAGAAAGTTTTTTACCCCAAAACCATTATAAACATGTTGTAGTGTACCTATTCATTTACCTTTATAAAAATGTATAACACCTTGGGTATATCATTATATAGGTACAACAATCTCTGAATGTCAGAATCGTCATTTTAGGACATGATGCTAACAAAATACAACCTTTTATGAACACTATTTCACACAATTCAGTAATATTTATGCATGAAGATTGCTGTTATACACACACACAACACTTCACTACACTAACACTACGAACTAATAACATATTTAGTAATAAATCGCGGATAAAACTATTACCGGCAACAACACAAACAAACAATGGCAATACAAGACAGCTGACAGACTGCAGCAGTAATGACTCACTTCGTCGTCTACATGCGAGCATACAGAAATAACCCTGAGTGCAGGGCTGCCACTCTCTGAATCTAAATTTCTTCCTCTTCAAAATGATATACTATATGACTAGTAATAATAACTTTCACTGTATATAATTCGTATTTTCCATACTGTCACCAGACGACTGTTGGCCATTTGTTAGAAATTTCGAAAACAGCTGTTTTCATAAAATCGTACCGATTGTGCAATCAATATTTAGTTATAAATATCACTACCACAATGAAGATAAAATCAATGGCTACCCAGTGGTACCACCCGCAACATCCCAAGACGAAAATTATCCGAGCAGGGTAATGCCAAACAAGACGTGTTTTGCCAGTTCGCAAGTGTCGGCTGCAAAAGTCGTGCCGCGCCAAAAATTCATTTGATTTCTAATCGTCGTGACATTGTTATATACCTGCTACAGGGTTTGTTTATGTAATCAAATGAAAGTTCAGAATGTGATCTTTCGAATGGTATATATATTATTCTCATCTGAGTTGATTGTAAGGGTTTTGTTTACCGTTAAAAAAATTTCGGCCCATACCGTAACCAGACGACATTGGCCATTCTAAGCATCAACGTCATACCGTCACCAGACGATGGTTGGCCACTGCTAGGGTTAACTTTTATTTACTGGGCTGCACTTTACTTTAGGTCCTACAAACAACCGAATGAAAATATCGATTATTCAATTGTTTTATTCGATATTTTCATTGGAATGAGTGTAGGACCTAAAGTAAAGTGCAGCCATTTACTGTAGTGTGGGCCGCCAGCTAAAATATCCTCTTTTTTACAAATTACCATATGGCAACCCTCTAAATGACACATAGGGTACGGTAACTTTAACAGCAAGGTGATAGGAACATTCCCACTTAAGTTTAAGTAGGCCAACTTATGATGCTTAGGCTACACCACCTAAGATAAAATTAATGCAATAACTTACGGTAATTATTTGGACGTAGTGACTACTCGCAAAAGTGAAATTTTTGTTTTTCATAATGACCTAAATTTCACGCTGAATCCGAAAATGACATTTTTATTTTTCGGAAAATACCGGAAATTCCCGAAAAAAGGGAAAAACGGGAAAAAATATTTTTTACTCAAAATACGTCATGTGGGTACTCAAAATACGCGGGATATTGTGTAGATTAAGAATATGCAAGAATTTCTTTGATCCGATGAAAAACACCGGAGATAGGGCGAAAAAACGGTGAATAATCGGTTAGGTTAGGCTTGGTTAGGTTAGGTTAGGTTTGGTTAGGTTAGGTTCGGTTAGGTTTGGTTAGGTTCGGTTCGGTTCGGTTAGGTTTGGTTTGGTTAGGTTAGGTTAGGTTAGTTTAGGTTAGTTTATCAATAACATGAGTATTGTAAGTAAACTAACCTTACCTAACCTAACCTAACCTTACCTAACCAAACCTAACCTAACCTAACCTAACCAAACCTAACCTAACCTAACCCGAAAATGTGCGATGTTATTTTAGATTTTTTGTCCAACTTTTGTCCGTGTTAAAATACCAGCTGATCAGCTGGTCATTATTTTATTATTATTGTTTATGTTAGATTGAGTTAGGTTACGTTAGGTTGAGTTAGATTAGGTTTGGTTAGGTTAGGTTAGGTTAGGTTTGGTTAGGTAAGGTTAGGTTAGGTTAGGTAAGGTTAGTTTACTTACAATATTCATGTTATTGATAAACTAACCTAAACTAACCTAACCTAACCGAACCGAACCTAACCGAACCTAACCTAACCAAACCTAACCTAACCTAACCAAGCCTAACCTAACCGATTATTCACCGTTTTTTCGCCCTATCTCCGGTGTTTTTCATCGAATCAAAGAAATTCTTGCATATTCTTAATCTACACAATATCCCGCGTATTTTGAGTACCCACATGACGTATTTTAAGTAAAAAATATTTTTTCCCGTTTTTCCCTTTTTTTCGGGAATTTCCGGTATTTTCCGAAAAATAAAAATGTCATTTTCGGATTCAGCGTGAAATTTAGGTCATTATGAAAAACAAAAATTTCACTTTTGCGAGTAGTCACTACGTCCAAATAATTACCTAACTTAGCCTACTTGTCAGGCTCAGGCATAAAGGTTAAAAACTGGGCTACTTAGCCTAGCCTAGGTAACTTATCTTGGGCTATTTGCGAGGAGTCTGATTCTTATTAGAATCAATAGTCCAACCTAACCTCCAAAATTAAATTTCAACAAATGGTCGTCCTGTGAAAATATCAGCTATGACAAGGTGTTAATGATTTGTTTCTAAATTAGGGCCTATGTACATTTATAGACTATGCTAGCCTTAACGTAAAAATAATCTAGTATTTGCCTACTTTGGTGTGATCTAATCTGACGAGTTGTGTGATAGATAGTAGGCCTACAGTTTTTGCATGCAATGAATGACTAATGACTATCTATCTGACTAGTGACTGGAGACTGGAGGTCGGAGGACTTAAAAATCTCCTGATGTGGTTGAAGAAGGCGAGGCGAGTTCAGAGACGTTAACAAAACCAACTTGATGTAGCCGTACTACCATAGCCTATAACTAAGAGTACTTTTAATTTTAATTTAACACTTTCACCACTGATGATAGGGATAGGATTATTCTATTCATTCACATTCACTACTCACTAGTCACTACCGACTACCGAGACCGAGTCACTACACTACACTACATAGCCTAGGCCTAGGCCAGGCCTATTGAACTTCAATTCAAAAACATCGACTGAAAATGAAATGAACATTGGAACAGAAAACAGAACAACGGTGACCTCAGTCCAGTTCGTGAAGTTAGCGACTCCGACTCTTTTTAGCGAATTTCCCATATAGGGAATAAGCTATTACCGTAGTACTCATGGTAAGACCTGGACGCGGGACCGATTTTTTTTTTCATTTTGAGGTCCCTAGAGGCCAAAAACACCATCCGTTCAAATTCATATATATATATATATATATATATTTATATATATATATATATATATGTGTCCGTCAGCACGATAACTCGAGCAAAAATGATCAGATTTTGATGAAATTTGGTACAAACGTGTAAACGTACGTTTATTCGAACGAGTTCGCGATCCAGCATGATCGGACCATGGGAACGGGGGTTTACGGGGGGTTTTATGGGGTAAAAATAGGTTTTTCCCATTTTTGACCCAAAAAACATAAAATTTAGCAATTTCTTTCCAAACCATTTTGTAGAGCTTAAAAAAACAAATAATTTAGTATATTGAAGCGTTATTATGCGCCTAATGGTTACGGAGAAAATTCCAAAAAATTGTAAATTTAAAATTCTCATGTTATTCTTATGGAGAATAAGTAAACTGTTGTAGTTTGCTTGTTTGTGAACATATTTTGATCAAATTTGGAAAATGTTTTTATTTCTTACTAACTATTCACATTTTACAAAAAAAAAACAGTTTTACCCTCCCTGATGCAGCAAACCTAAGTACTTGTTAAACTAATTCTATTTAAATCAAGAATAAATGTTATATTTTTAAGTAGACATTTCAGTATAAATCCAATCAGTCAAATGGAAATTCGCTTAGTCTGCAGGTTTGCTGCGGCGGGGGTATTTTTTCTTTACACTTTTCATTTTCATCGACGCTTTTTTACTTTCTCCCCCTATACCATAGTATATGGAAAAAGTATTGTTTTCGTCAAAATTTTCGAGTTTGAGTTTTGAGTGGATATATTCGTTTTGGGTCCCCCTGGACCCAAGGTTTTTTTCCGAGGACTTTTAGTATGTTATTCCGGAAATAAATTTCAATATACGTACCAAGTTTTACACTTCTTATAAGAGTTTTTTTTAGGTAATTTCTCAAATATGACTAGACTACAAGGTGATTCAGTGTACAGTACAATCATAGATACAATCAAGGACTACATATACTCCTTGAGGAGTATGTTTTATCTATGGTACAATATATCTAAATTTAAATAGCCACTTAAATGAAAATAAAAGCTTTATTTCAACCTACTCTTCAAAATCTAATCTTTATTTCACAACTTAAAAATCATCAATTTTTTTAAAGGGATTTTTAACAATCCAGTCATACAGTTTATTTTTTTAAAATACTGTAAGATACTAATTTTGCTTCTTCAGTCAGCTTATTAAAAAACATTATACAGTTTAATTTATGTGAATGTTTGGTTTTTGCCAATCTGTGCTGCAATATATCTATTTTATCCCTACCTCTTATAGTGGTTGTGTACGTCTTTTCGGAAGGAGAATTAATCTAAGTTTGACTTTGTAGGTATATTAGAATTTGGAATATTTAAGATTTACTATGGTTTAGGGGTTATATTATCTAAATATATAAAAGCCAAAGCCCTCACTGACACACTCACTCACTCACTCATCACTAATTCTCCCACTTCCCATTTACCTAGGAGGCTGAAATTCGGTACACTGATTCTTTGGGCATTAAAAAGGAAAACTAAGTAGTTTATTCTGATCGGACTCTCGGGCTCCGCCCCAGTGGCTCTGGAGTTTCCATGTTAACCTTATGATTTTTCATAGTTGAAAGGAATTAATGAATCCAGGACATGATTGTGGCATGCAAATACGAATATGAAGTTAAACAGGGCAAAGCCCGCGGGTACAGCTAGTCTGTGATAAAAGGCAAAGCCCTCACTGACTGACTCACTCACTAACTCACTCACTCACTCACTCATCACTAATTCTCCAACTTCCCATTTACCTAGGAGGCTGAAAATTGGTACACTGATTCATTAGGCATTAAATAGGAAAACTAAAAGTTGTTTTTATTCTGATCGGACTCTCGGGCTCCGCCCCAGTGGCTCTGGAGTTTCCCATGTTAACCTTATGAGTACTCATATTTAAATGGAATTAATGAATCTTAACAGCTGTTTCAATTAAACAAGTTGGTTCTGTTCTATGATGTGCAATAGAATAGCATTAAAGTTACAAGGATTACCAACAGGATGCAGCACAATTTTTTTTAAATTTATGACAACAGCTAATTTGCAACCAAAAGGTGAGTGAGCGTAGCGAACGAACTTCAACCTGGAGGCGAGTTAGTGTAGCGAACGAGCTAACCTGAAGGCAAGTGAGCGCAGTGAACGAGCTCCAACCTAAAGGTGAGTGAGCGTAGCGAACGAACTTCAACCAGGACGTGATTGAGCCATGCGAACGAGCTCACTTATGAAGTAAAACGAGGCAAAGCCCGCGGGTACAGCTAGTTCATATATACAGGGTTAGTAAAAAGTGTGGAGACCCCCTGTTATTTTTTTAACGGCCCATACTAGAAAAACTAAACTCGGCACACCTTATGACATGTGTTGATGACATGTTATGAAGTACTTTTTGGGCATAACCATCACTTGGTGTACATCCCCAAAATGGGGGATTTTGGGGGAAACTCAAACATTTCAAATACAAAGACCCATCGAGTGACCCCTCATTTTGAAGGTCCTGGTAAAAGGAACCCAACAACGCAAACTAGAGGTCTTTATCCCAATCCAGTAAAAAATGGCAGCCAATTGAAATTCTCAGAAGTTAAATTTAACTTAAAGCTTTCCAAGTCTGGAGACCCCCTGTAAATTTTGTAGCGGCTTACACTAGGAAAACTAAACTCTGCACACCTTTTTCGCAGGCTATGAAGTACTTTTTAAGCCTAATAGCCACTTGCTTACCAAAACCCAAATGGGGTATTTTGGGGGAAACTCAAAAGTTTTAAATGATAAGCCCCATCGAGTGATAAAAGAAAACTAACAACGCAAACTAGAGGTTTCTATCTCAATCCAGTAAAACATGTAAGCTGATTGAAATCTTAAGAAATCGGAAATAACTTGTAATTTTATATTCAATTGGGTGCCATATTTTACTGTGTTAAGATAGAGACCTATAGTTTGCGTTGTTAGTTTTCTTTTATTATGACCTTCAAAATGAGGGATCACTCGATAGGGCTTATCATTTAATATTTTTGAGTTTCCCCCAAAATCCCCCATTTTGGGTTTGAGAACTTATGAGCTAACTGCTTATGAAACTTATTGGCTGCTATTTTTTACCAAACTGAGATAGAGACCTCTAATTTGCGTTGATGGTTTTCTATTACTAGGACCTTCAAAATGAGGGGTCACTCGATGGGTCTTTGTATTTGAAATTTTTTAGTTTCCCTCAAAATCCCCCATTTTGGGGATGAACACCAAGTGGAGGTTATGCCCAAAAAGTACTTCTTAATATGCCATAATGGTGTGCCGAGTTTGGGTTTTCTAGTTTGGGCCGTTAAAAAAATAACAGGGGGTCTCCAAACTTTTTACTAACCCTGTGTATATATATATATACATATGTGTGTGTGTGTGTGTGTGTGTGTGTCCGTTAGAGGGATAACTCTATCAAAAATGATCCGATTTTGATGAAACAACGTGTACAAACGTGTAAACCTACGTTTATTCGAACCAGTTCGCGATCCAGCATAATCGGACCATATGGGAACGGGGGTTTATGGGGTAAAAATGGGGTTTTCCCATTTTGACCCTAAAAACAAAAAAATTGCAATTTCTTTCTAAACAGTTTTTTGAGCTTAAAAAAAAGAAATAATTGAAGTGCTGTTGTATGCCTAACGGTCACGGAAAAAATTCAAAAATAGTGTAATTTTAATTTCCATGTTATTCATGGAGAAAATGAACATTGTTATAGTTTACTTTGTTTATGGATATACAGTATATTGATAAAATTTAGTAAATTTATTTATTTCATCCTATACTATTGACGGTAAAAAAAAACTTTTTACCTTCCCCGTAGCAGCAAACCTAAGCACTCGTTAAATCTAATGTTATTTAAATAGGGAATAAATTTGCCTTATTTATGCAAATATTTTAGTAAAAATGTAATCAGACAAGTTGAAATTCGCTTAGTCTGCAGGTTTGCTGCGGCGGGGGTATTTTTATATTATTAGCGAATTTCCCCTATAGGGAATAAGCTATTACCGTAGTACTCATGGTAAGACCTGGACCCGGGACCGATTTACTTTTTCGTTTTGAGGTCCCTAGAGACCAAAAACACCATCCGTTCAAATTCATATATATATATACTAGCGACAGTGCCCGTTGTGGTAACTGTAAATACAACGGTCTCTAGTAACATAATGGTTATGAAATCCATACACCACTTTACTCACTAATATGGTCTATTCTAAAGTTATGAGAACTTTATATAACATTATTTTTAAAAACGAATTGCAGCATCGTATTCAGCATAAAAAAGTAGTTTAAAACGATGGGTCACAACCCTACCTTTACATTTGAAAAAAAACTTTGTATCCAATATGGCGGATCCAAGATGGCGGCCAAAAATTTATACCCAGTCAAAATGAAGTACTTACTACTCTACAATGATCTGACGTGGTCCGGAGTTGATATCTTAAGGAATGTAGAAAAAAGTAGGGGGGGAACTCATTTAAAACTCACCCTGTATATATAGAATAGATATATTTATATACGTGTCACAGTAAAACGATGGTCACAGTCTTTCACAATGTTATTAAATCTAACATGTAAACAAAGAAAATAAATACAATCACATGCTTAAATTTTAACTGAATCTATCTAGTCTTAAAAAATTATATAATTTAGAATATCGTTATGCCAATGGTTTTAATTGTTAATTTTGTCTTAATTCTTGGATCTTTTATATTGGATCCACCTATATTGGATCTAATTTATTTGATTTTAAATTGAGTTCGTGTTCAGTTCGAAATAAAAATCACATCGTATAGGAATTGCTACCACGTCCATTTCAATTTCAGTGCATAAAGAGGTCTGAGTCAAGTGGGGGATACAATTCTGGCCCGTATAGTTGTTTAAATGCCGGTGAATTTAATCGAACCACTCGTGCATAAACAGTATCAAAGTTCTATGAGGGGAGAGGGGGTTACAATTTCAGCCAGTACACGCTGTTTTGACCGAGAAAAAATACGTCGTCGTAGTATCAATCGCCAACCTGGGTACAATTCCGCCACCCCGAAGATACTATAATCAACTTACGATCAGCTCTCAGTGTACCATCAGCTGGTGCAGCGTTTCCCGTGTCGCAATTAGCGACTTGGCGTGCCATAACCAGTGCGGCAGTGCTAGGAAGCCCACTTTGTCAGGCAACTGTAGGAAATAGTTATTTATTTGTGTAGCTAGAGGGCCAGCAAAGGTAGTTTGCACTCGTGTTACACATTATATTTTTCCTACAGTTACTATAAACCATATAAATAATTAGTCTTTCAAACTTACAACACGTTTTTAGGTAAGGTTAAATCCATACAATGAACGAATTACGAAATGGGAAACGCTGCACCACCTGATCATAGTCGTAATATCTTTAGTGTTGCCAACTTAAATTTTCAAGCGTACACGGGTTACGTGCATAATAAAAGCTCGCTGTTTTGTGTTGTTTTGGTTGGAATATTGGTGTGCGCCGAAGTAAAAACTGTGCCTGTGCGCCAAAGTAAGGCTAACTGTACTATAATCTGTGCAAGGAAGCCCACTTTGTCGGGCGACTTTAGGAATACCCCCGCTGCAGCAAACCTGCCGACTAAGCGAATTTCCATTTGCCTGGATTGATTTTCAATTACTCAATTAAATTTCCATTTATGTTTAACGAGTACCTATGTCCTAGGTTAGCTGCTACAGGGAAACTAATTAAGTGTTTTTTATTAAAATATCAATAGATTAGTATGAAGTAAATAAATCCGCCAAGTTTGATCAAAATATATCCATAAACAAGCCAACGACAATATTTTACAATATTCTCCATAAGAATAGCATGGGAATTTTAAATTAACAATTTTTTTAATTTTCTCCGTAACCAATAACCGTACAAAAACACTTTTGATATACTAAATTATTTGGTTTTTAAGCTCTTTAAAAAGGTCTGGAGAAAAATTGATAAATTTTGTGTTTTAAGGGTAAAAAATGAGAAAACCCCATTTTTACCCCATAAAACCCCCCTAGGCTAAAATGAATTACACAATTAAACTATGGGAATGATAAATTAATAAAAAATACATTAAAAAAAGAGATTAAAAACTATCATCTAATTTAATCAGCCTAGATAAACTATTATAACTACGTGTTGACCAAATCTAAATTTAAATAATAAGTTAGTGTAAGTGTAGTTTGTAAACACAATTACAGTATTTTGTTCGCCATGTAGGATGCGGAAATGAGAACTGTATTGAAAGCTCGCCATAACAGTTTACCAGTGTAGATGATATTTGATTACTCTTTTAAAGTGAAGTGAATAAACGATATAGTTGAATAAGATATATTTTACATATCAACATAAATACAAAAAACGATAGGATTTAACATAAAAACTCTGATTATCAATAATCTTGATACCTCCAGTCTAAAGTTAACAGTATCGCCAACAAAACGCTAAGGAGGAAATAAATAGTTTTATCATAACACTATTACTTAGTTCCACAGTGTAATGCTTCACTAAATGTTACGCAAGAAACATAAATACTCGCATATTACAGCAGTACAGAAAATAATTGCTTTGTTTTAAGCACCTTATTAACCTTTTTTCGAAGACGTGAAATAGTCTTCGGTTGGCAGTTTTGGGAATGAGTGCTTTTGGAGGGGAGAGGGCGAGAACGTTTCAGAACGTTGGCACTATCGGACATTCGCCATATTTCATGGTTGCTCCGTTGGGAGTCAGATCGTGGTAAGGGGTTTAGTGAGAGTTTTTCAGTTAAAACCAGGAGTTTTATCGGTTTTGGGACAATATTTAGTTATTATATGATTTCGTCAGTGAAAGAGTTTATAGAGGTGAGTTTTAATGGACATATTACGCTTTATAAATGTCCTTATTGTACTTGTTTATTAAATGAAATTTTCACGATATGGTTAACAATATGGAGAGCAGACTTCGCGCATGCGCAAAAGTCAACATACGATCTTTGTCATTCCATTCCCTCTCCAAGTTTGAATGGGTGTTTTCGTGTTGAACTCATCGATTTATTTTTAAATTTCTTAGAGGGGGTAAGAAATTAATAACTTTAAATTGGCAGTCAATTATTGTGTATTATGAATGTTTAGGTTAGTAATTTTTCACGATTTTAGTCCAGTAACAATAAAAAATCTGATTAAATATTTGATTTTTTTACCTATAGCCTGTGTTATGGAATCTGTGTATTTAATCGGTATTTAATTAATTAAATACAATTTTGCTAATTTATTTATTTTATCCTATTTAAGTTACTTACCTACTAGTTTTTCTTAACTTAAGTTAGGCTATGTTATTAACATTTTGATCTTAAATCACTTGTTCCCTTCCCTATCAGCAAGCGTATTTACTTAACTTACTCATTAAACAAATTTTCAAATAGGTACTATAGAATAAATATGACATTTTTAAGGAGCTATTTTAGTGAAGATTCATACATTACTTAACCCTCCGAGTGTCCCTAGTTTTGGCCTTAATGTTTGCCTATTTTTTGCGCATTTGCAAGGTTTTATTAAAACGGATCTGAGAAGCTTAAAAACAATGTTAATTATACTGTTCTATAAGTATACCATTTTGTTTGGAAAATCATGGGCTTCAATATTAAACATAAAACATATAGAACATTTGTTTTAAAAAAAAATTTTAGGTAAAAACATATTTTAGAAAATATATAAAAAAAAAAAATAAGTTTGCGCTCAATGAAATTGTATAAATTATAGGCCTATAAATATTTGAAATTAGCCACTTTGTTCTAAATTTTATGAGGATTATAAATATTTAATAATATAAGGAAGTAGATTTGCAAATAAATAAGTTATGGGCAAAAAACAGATTTCAGTACATAGTGTTTAGCTAAGAATGCATAGCCTAACCATAGCTAGGAATCTGGCTGATAATTTGGAACATCAATATCACTACCTACTTCTTCAGGATCATCAACCAGCCCTTCAAAATCACTTAAATCTTCTTATAATGCACCACGTATACTTATCACTACTTTTGATTTTTAACACTAAAACAATGATAAACGTAATAAAACACATCAGTCATCGGTGCGAGGTTAACCAAGCTGTTTACAAATACGCACGTCAGCTGTCTGCTACAATTATGATCGGCTCGAGAAAAAAAAGCGCTTAGAGACAGACCTCGGGAGAAAGCTTAGAATCTGCCAAATAAAACAATACCTAACTAGATCCAGTTCAATCCGATTTTGTCAGTCATAGAGCCTTCGGCGTAAACAGTGTTTGTGAGTCGCTGCAGCGACACAAAACACTACACAAAGTGTGTTATGTGTCGCTGCAGCGACAAATAACACTCGGAGGGTTAATGAAATTATATTTTACTCAGTTGACATACAAAAATTATGTGACATCTACATAATATATACATATAAAAAATTTTTCCTACTAACTTAATTTTAAAATAATTCAAACATATGTTAATTAATTTATAAACAAACATTATAAATCATAGTTTATTTACTTGATATGTTGTTACTAGAGGCTGAAGATGAGTTTTGATGTAAACTTGAAATATACCTCGACATTTTTTAGTAAATTGTGATTAATTTATTTTAGTGATGAGTAACCGACAACCTAAGAATAACATAAGTAATACACCTAGGATGTAACAAAAAGAAAAGGCTACCTAAAATTTGATATGGATTCATTGTCAGCATTGATTTTTATCTCTTGGATTTGGACACCTTCACACAATTATGGTTACCGGTAGGCCTACAGTGTAGTCTTAGGCCTACCACATGTTTTTTATACATCTCTGAATTATTAGTTTGCATGCATATTAACTAAAAATGATTGTGTAATAATAAAAACCCGATTTGTCTATTAAGATTTGTTTATAGATTGAGAAATGTCTACTGACGTGCAAACAGTTGATACTGGACTTGACAAACAGTCCCGGCGGCGTAGCAAGGATACGGAAAAAGCCCATCGGCGATCCTCCAATTTCCAGAACAAGAAATTCAAACATGACCACAAATTCCGAAAGAAGATTGCCGCTAATGGGAAGTTCTTTCCTCCCTACAAGAAGCGCAACAAAGACTTCATCATTCCACCCACCAAATTTCTACTGGGTGGGAACATTACTGATCCACTGAACCTCAATAGTCTTCAGGACGAAGATATAAACAGGTTTGTTATCTGTTTAATATAAAAATGGAAGCTAATATTTAGTAGTATAATTTAGAACTTGAGATAACTTTTTAAAAAATATGCCTATTGACTTGTTCGTTTCCTTATAACTTATAAACCCTAACTTCTTCCAGTTTTGTCATTAGCATTGAAAATTTAGGTTTTTCGTAGTACAGTATAAATATAAATTATTAAGGCTTTGGCTTTATCATCTCCATTTAAAAATGGCCATGGATTGATTCCTCTGCTTTTTGTAAGCTTTTGTTTGGTATCATAGTTTTTGTATGGTATGGTAGTAAAACAATAGTGTATAGGTACTGGTAGTAGAAAGTACTGGAGAACAACCCAGAAAGAAGATCACCCCTTGGTAGACCGAAACTGACATGGTGGAACCAAGAATAAATGGACATTTAAGAAAACTGAGAGACAGTGTGGAGGCCAAGTACCATTTAAGGTACCAGTGGCCACAGCAGTAAGTGAGTAAGGTAGTAAAACATTTCTCCTGTTACTGCAGCTGTATTTTAAATGGTTTTTTTTTACCATCCTTTGCTTGACCAAACGTTATTATCCATTTCAGAGCAATGAATGCTGTGACGCCAAAATCGTCGCCTTTGCCTACACCAAAGCACAGAAAAGGAGAGATTGAAGTGATAATTCCTCCTGATATCACAGATCCTTTGAACCTCATAGCTGGGGACGATGACGCTACTTATGAGGCCATGTTAATATCTCCCGTCAAGAAAAATGCCAAGAAGCAGAAGAACAAGAAGAAACGGCATAGAAATAACCGGGCATCGTCTGGCCCAGGTTCGGGGAAGGAGGACTCAATCGAAGGGGCCAAGTAAGCAATAGGCCTAGTCATTGTATGCATAAATTTTGTCTACTAAGCTATAACAACAATCAAAGTGGCTACTAGACATCCTAAAAGCTAAAGCTCTTAGAGCTTCGCAATTTCAGCACTGTACTGTATGTCTTTTACGGGTAGGCCTACCTATAATAATTTAGATGATATAGAGTAAGTTATTCTTATGGCTCTAGGCCAGAATAGGTTTGGTTTAGTTATAGATAGGAAGAAAAAAACTAAACAAATTTTATGTTTGTCATGTTGGACTTGACCCCATGAAACCACTTAAGGATACAAACTCATCCTGGATGTTAGATTCATTACTTTGCTGGGCTTTCTTAACAGCAGAAAATCTAAATCTGTTTGTACTTAAGTTAAGTTAAATACTTAGTAAAGACAAGTAAGATGTATTGCATGACGTTCAAGTGCCACGCCATCCAAAAGTACAGTAACTGCAAAAAATATAGTCTTTCTACAAGCTTTGGACGTTGTGAAACAGTGCACTCTAGAATCGTAAAAAAGTATCATTTGTACCACATTTAAAGCCGCTGCCAGTTGCACAACGTCCAAATGCCACGACCTCCAAAGCCACTGGTGCCAGATGCACGACGTCCAATATAGTTCAGCGCTGTAGCACGATGTCCAGAGCTCCTGCATACGGTGAATACTGCAGACCCGCAATACATGAATGAGTGTATATTGCGTGCTTAATAATGAAGTCATCAAGCATTGTTAAATATCAAAACCCATATACTGTATTTAATTACGTAAGGTGATTCTTTGCGGAAAAATTGTGGGCTACTGGGAAGTTGTAGAACTACGTGAGAGGGCTCAAAGTAAAGTTTGATATCCCGTGACGGATAGAGTTTCTCCCTCTTATCCGGACATCGGTTTAACCGGACTACACTTGGTAGAAATGACATCTCTTTAACAGGACAATTTTTATCAGCACATTGGTTTAAAGGGACTAGATCGGCAGGAAGTGGGCGGTACTGAAACGACTGTTCTCATGGGAAAGATTTGAGACCAGTGATCACGTGTCTAAATACATTGCTCTTCTAAATTTAAGTCGAATATCACATTTTAAAGATATTTTAAAGAGTTTTTGGGGACGTCGGTTTAACCGGAAAACCCGTTATCCAGACTGGCCTTGGTCCCGAGGAGTCCGGATAAGAGGGGAGTCTACTGTATATGTCTGCTGCCTTAAGCACTAAGTAGAGTTAAACCTCCAGAAGGATTCATATTATTTATTGAAAATAACATCAACTAAAGCAGCAAAGAGACTGTTTTTTAACACAAAAGATATGGATATCTAAATATAAATTTGGTGTCATTATAGCTCACATTCCCGATTAACAGACACATTCTTATCTCAAAAACCCTTTTGGTTGCTGCCTCAGTGGCTCTGGAGTTTCCTATGTTAACCTTATGACCAAACTTTCTTAAACTGTGTCCTCTCCCATTGCAAACACAAGCACATAGATATGCCATCAATCAAACCAATCATTTGAGGCTAGACAATGGACAAGTATTCTTTTCCTTCAGCTTTGAAAAATCCAAATCTTCTATTTGTGTGACCATCCTGACAGACACCATTGAATTCTACGTTTCTTCGTGTATAAGGGCATATATAAAACCAATGATAAAACTATGTTAAAGGTCAGGGTTAAAGGATCAGTTGTAAATTGCGTTTTCAATAGTTCGATCTCTCCTCGGTGACAACTACGTCTGTAAACAAGGCCACTAACAGATGTCCACTAATAGATACATCACTTCAAACATAGTGTTCAAACATGTCCTGTAAACCCGTATATAGCTATTCCTTATGTTTTGAAAAGAGAGAAATAGTCTAAAAAATTAAACAATTGAATAATTTGTATAGTGTATATTGATTAATAATTTAAATAATTGAATAATTTTAAACATTAAACGAAGATAAAGCGGTTGACAACTTGAAACAGTTGTTAGACTGGGCCTAGTTGCCTTCAATAATTGCAATGCAAACTGTATGCACTGAGGGCGGTAAACAGTGTTCACAGTATGCAGGCACTTTGGACGTCGTGAAACAGCTCAAACATATTTTGGACCTCGTGCAACTGGCACCAGCGGCTTTGGACAGTCAAATATTCTATATTGGACGTTGTTAAACACCTCAAAAATTATATTTTGGACATCGTGACACTGACTTATATTATTGGATGCCGTGGCACTTGGACGTGGTGCAAATGATACTTTTTTAGAGCAGGCCTATATATAGTGCACTGTTTCACAATGTCCAATCTTATGACATCCAAAGCTTGTAGAAAGACTATATTTTTTGCAGTTACTGTACTTTTGAATGTCGTCGCACTTAGACGTCGTGCAACAGTCAAATATTTTTTAGTGGACATCGTGCAACAACTTAAAAATGATGTTTTAGACGTCGTGGCACTTAAACGTTGTGCAACACTCCTGACAAATAATTAAGCAATTTTAGCCTTTCCTGTAGTGACTGAGTTTTCTCAATAATAGGAAACGCGTTTGAAATTGAACTTCTTCTATTTTGTGTGTGTGAATATTTGTAATTTGTTTCCTATAGACAAAGACTCCTCCACTATAAAGGTAAACTTGGATGATATTAAGTTATGTATAAAATGCTAAAACATCAACAAGATTTAAAACTAAAACCTCATTTCATGTCAAGTGTTTGATCTAAAAAAATATTTATGTTCACAAAATTGTACCAAAAAGTTGTTCATTCCATTTTACAGGCTAGATGAAACGGAAACTCCTCCCGCCAAAGAAGAGAGTGCTGAACTCAAGGGTGAAGCGAATAAAGATGTTAAAACTGAGGATGAAACTAAAGACACAAAAGAAACGCCTCAAGGGCCACCGCCTGCAAAGCGCCACAAGTGTGAACACAACAATAGAGCCAACCTGCGCAAGATTGAGCTGAAGGAAAGGAAAGCCGACTTGGACAAGATAGTGAGTCCTGTCATTCCACAACCAGGGGCTTGGAATGACCGTCACCGCTTTAGGCCACCTCAACGCACACCTCAGCTAGACAAGTCACAGGCCAAGGAGATGCCTAAATTCAAGGAAAAGGATGCTAAGTTCCAGTTTGGCAACTATTGCAGGTAAAAACTTAATAAAATAAACAGGTTACTGCAACAGTGATATACCCTTGTTTATAATTTCTTACTACCTGACGGGTCTAAATGTTCAAAATCCTACTTGGTAAAACTTTTGGCTTCACATTGTTTGAGCGGTTGGACTCAGTTAATTTTGGATAATACAATATGTTAACAAATGTTAAAAAAATGTGTGCTAGTCCAAGATAAACCTTACTTACATACTCCTTTGGCCAAACCCAAGATGATTTTTAGCCTCTCCAACAATCCACCTCCGTTCTTCTCAATCTTCTGTCACTTCCTCTCTTGCTCCCAATCTTCTTACATACTTCAGCCTTTGGTCCCTCCACCGCAGTCTTGTCTTCTTAAAAGTCTTCTACCATTGGGTTTATTATTATAAGTCTGTTTTATCAGGCTGGAGTTATCCCTTCTTAATACATGACCTAGCCACCGCAGACGTTTACTTTTTACTATCACAGTTATGTATGGCTTATGATAAATCTGTCTCAGTTCTCTATTTTTTCTTATCCTCCACACTCCTGCTTCATAAATAGGTCCAAATATCAGTCTTCTTAGTATGCCTACCTTGTTTTCAAAAGTTAAGAGCTTTCTTTCTGAATTCTTTTAATGCCCAAAGCTCGAATTTTGAGCAACATGTGCACTAGTAAATCCTTATTTTAGTTTTCTTACTTAATATTTTGCTGTTGAGCAGCTTGTTCAGGTCCCGGTAGCATCTTTCTGCGGCCCCAATTCTATAAATGGTTTCTTTTTCTTCTCTATTACTACTAACTATTGTTTGTACTTTACTGTTAAAGGGGACATTCATTATCAGTGATTTCTTTTCAATATATTGATAGTTTTGTATTCCTTTACGATCCATATTCCTTCCGTTTTAATATCTTCAAACCCAGTCAAATTACAAATTGAGAACTAGTCTTGTTTGGGCAAAAGTATGGATATGGATTAAGAAATGAATCTTTTCTAAACTCACTTAACATAACTAACCAAACATGCTGTACCATTTCAAAATTCTGTTTAATAACAGAAAAGGCATATGGGGAATATCAAACGGAATTTTGAAATGTCACAGCAAGTTTGGTTAGCCAGGTTATGTTAGTTTAGAACAGTTTAATTTCACTATAAGTTGATTTAAACTTAATTTTCCATTCGTTAATATCTGTATATCGGATCGAAAAATAAAATATCTGTAATAGGCTATCGAAAAAAAAATCTATAATAACGAATGTTCCCCTTAACAGGAAAGTACCCTATTGCTCCTCCTTAAGTATTTAAATTCATTAGCTAAATTAAAGCTACTAGTGGCTGGTAGGGACATAAGTCCCTGAAAAGCTGAAATGTAAAACTAATTATTGTAATAAATAGTAGCCTATTTAAAGAAACTCATAATCAAATTTTCTCTTTATCAAATATTTGAACAGCTATACACAGTTATACAAATATTTGACTTGTTATCCAATTTTCTGTTAAAATATTTGTAGCCTAACTTCATTTTTTTCAGCCATTCTAAGTTCAATTCCTTTGATTTGAGCCATCTGCCATGGTTCTACTACTTATCATATGCTTAACTAATTTACATTAAAATACGAATGATTTCAACATTCCTAAGACATAACAAAAAAGTCTGAACTATAGCATTGACTAGTATAGTCAATGATTATAAGTAATTCTGTCCCTGATTTTATCTAATCAAAATGTTAATATTGCGTACTCTGCTTGATAATAAATCACGATCAGCTGTATTGAAGTAAACAAAAACCACATGTAAATGGCTTCTAATGCCATTATAAGGGACACATTTTACGTTATATCTTATTTTGTGGTAACATTTTGGGAATTTCACTATTTTTCCTGCCGTTATGGAATGGAGACGTTTAATTTGAGCCCTCCCATCGTTCTACGACTTCCCCGTCACCCACAGCTTTGACACAAAGAATCGCCTTGCGTAATTAAATCCTATAGATGGTTCAGCACATTTAATGATAAACTAGATAAACCTTGCCCTTTGAAAATCCCAATCAAACTTAGTATGTAAATTCAATTAGATATGTATGATTTATGAGCATTACTGTACTTGTAGTATCCTAAGACAGTTGACAGTAGCATTGATAACGTCTGTGTTTGCAGGTATTACGGCTATCGGAATCCTCATCATGGGCCGGACACGAGGCTCAGATTGTTTGAGAAGCACAAACACTTGTTTGAAGGAAAGGATGTTTTGGACATTGGTTGCAACACGGGCCACCTGACATTGGCAGTGGCGCGAGACTTGCGTCCTAACCGCGTGGTCGGCATGGACATCGACCGCTCACTCATTAAGGCCGCACGGTCCAACATCAGGCATTACGTTAACTGCGGCAGGGAGGATAAGTTCTTCCCTGTTTCAATGCCGATTGTGTATGGTCCGATTGAAATACCCGGTGTGAATGAAGAGAAAGGCTTTCCTCACAATATTACCTTTGTTCACGTGAGTATTTAAAACAAAATATATTCTGTTCCTTACTTTACCTTTGAATACAATGTATTCACATACAATTTGTAGTCATCATGATCGTTTCTCTATTTTGTTTAAAATTCATTTGGCATATGTGGGTGGCATATCAGGCACCCTCCCATCATTAATATTTAAAGATGAGCAGAAAATCTTAATTAATTTGTCATAGCTTACTGTAGGCCTACTGTTTACAGAATATTTTTGCTATGCTTACTCACTATAAATTTGTGGCACAATTCAGAAACCTGTACAATTTTTGAAGTTTACTGATTGCATGACTGAGATAAAAAAATGTTATAAGAAAAGTAACAGTAGTTGAATAACCCTTTGTGGAAAAGGTATTGGTCAGATGGGTTTAAAATATGATTTCGGCTAACTTTGAAATTTGTGTATAATTGTTAGGCTACTTTTATTTCACTAAGCTCTAGGGATGGACGAGATTGGATTTTTAGTTCGAGACGAGACGAGACGAGATTTTTTAATTCTCATAAAATTTCGAGACGAGATCGAGACGAGATTTCTCTTCTCATACACAACGGGAAATGCACGTTCAAAATTTTTACCTGATTTTGTAACATTGTTAGATGACTGTTTAAATACTAAAATAATGATAATAGGCAAGAATATTTACAATCTTTCATTAAATAACATCAGCATAACATTTTTTTATTAATCACGCCTAACTTATTAAAAATGCCTACGATTAGGAAACATGGTGATATCAGTTAGGATAGAGTTCAACTTATCCTAAAATAAAATAAATCATAAAATAAAAGCAATATTAATTTTTATAAAATAGTTACTTGTTTTGACTTTTTTTATAGTAATAAAACATTCCTCACACTGCTTAAACTTAACAAAACTTCTCAAATGTTATTAAAGTAATATTATTAAAATAATGAAAGTAATATTTACATTAAAAGAATTAAAGTAATATTTACATTAAAAGAATTATTTAAATAAGAACGCCTTCGAAAAGGAAACGCAACTACAACACGCTCCTGTATTGCGGGTATTGCATTGACTTTCTGCAGGCGTTTTTATTTATTTTTTTTTTTATTTTTTTTTTTTTTTGTATTCTCGTCTCGATAAAAATCTCGGCCAAAAAGTAATCTCGTCTCGTGTAACGAGATTGAAAATTTCCCGAAATTTCGAGACTTGACCATCCCTACTAAGCTCCTTAAAAGTCATGGTGATTATTGTTACCACCCAGCCTATAGTAAAGGTCCTCGGGCTTTGCCCCACTGGCCATCAAAATCCCAATGTATTTCTTATGAAGAAAAGATTTTGTTTACTTAAACAGAGGAATAATTTGTATTAACAAGTTAACCTGTTGCTCGAAATCGAGCAATTGAATTCGGGATAAAAATGGAAAGTAACAACTCAATTTGTTTTATTATTTTATTGGTTTTAATTTGATCTTTGGTGTTTTATGTGTAACCAACCTAAAGAAGCAATTCCACTTCAATCATAAAATCAAAACAAAACAGATTCGATTTCAAAACCTTTTATACCCCATGTAAACCTTATGGGAGAAAATCCACTTGGAAGGAAGCGCCTGCCCAAACTAAACAAACCTTAAAAAAAAACATTTTATTAGTAAATCAATGCGCCGTCATCACTCAACCGGATTCAAACTCGATTTATAATAACCAGGTTTTATCACAAACATAGGAAAATATCTTTTTTTATTGAATGTATTACAGAATGTCATCAACTATTACATTCATCATGGTGAAATCTCCATTGGGCAGTACCTTTATGCTCCTTATTTGTTAGTAATGAAGATTTTGACTCCTTTGAAATACTTAGATCGGCTTAAAGCAACATAAAGCTACTTTATTTAACGATTGGCCTTGTGCTTTAATTATGGTCATTGCAAAAGCCAAAGACACTGGGTACTGTTCTAGTTACATTTTGAACGGAAAATTAATTTCTGATGGACACATTTTAATTCTTGGTATCAGAATCACTTCTCCCATCCCATTACTCTTGCTGCTCGTGGCATTTTATTTAACTTATAATTGAATTCTGATATTCTGATATTTATTTGTATCTCACCCAATACTTGCTTTATATTAAACCATGTGTTGTTTGTTTATATTCAACTAACAATGTGTACACATGACGCAAAATATCTTGACACTTGACAAATTCCATTGAAGTGAGATTTATTAACACTATTCGTGCGGTCGACATGTTTGAACATAAAAGTTGCATTTATTTCAATGTTAAGCAATTGCGGGAATTCCCGTCATCAGCACCCAACGTGTTAAACAGCTGGGTTAGTACATTTTTTCATAAGAAATACATTGAGATTTTGATGGTCTGTGGGGCAAAGCTTGAGGACTTTTATTACAGGAATTTGTGAAATGGGGCGTATACACAAAAAATATTTAATTTTGATTTTGACACATCGTTTTTAAAAATCTGTCCATTATTAATAGATGAGTAGTGTTTCGTAGAAATCTCCTTCATGCAATATATTTAAGGATTGCATACTAAAATAGCTGTTCATAGTAAATACATTATTATGATAAACACAAGAGCACTCATTTTCAGAGTGAGTTCGTTTTCAGTTTCGATAACTGGAGTGGAGTGATTGATTGTCTTTGTGTTGACTCTTTTAACTCATTGGAAATTATGACTGTTTTTCGTTTTTAAATAACGCTTGTAATACTTTGCAATTGCTTGAATTCGAGCAACAGGTGCACTAGTAATTATAAAATGTTTGAACATTGCAGGGTAATTATGTGCTGGAGTCTGACGTACTGGTATCACTAGAACAGCCTCAGTTTGATGTGATCCTGTGTCTGAGCATCACCAAGTGGATCCAGCTCAACTGGGGTGACGCGGGGCTCAAGCGAGCATTCAAGCGCATGTTCGCCCAGCTACGCCCTGGAGGCGTACTCATACTGGAGGCGCAGACCTGGAGCTCGTATAAACGCAAACGCAACCTCACAGTAAGTAATACGTTGCCCTTAGCTTAGAAATAGATAGTCCAAGGAAATGTCTTGTAGATTTTTCACTTAGCACACAGTAAACAGTAGGGGTGGGCGAGTAGTGATTTTTAAATTTGATTGAGTTGTTGAGTAAAAAAATCAAGTATTGAGTCGAGAAGTTGCGCATAAAGTAGGCATAGGCCTTAAGAGGTTAGTTTTTAATGGCTTCTTACATTTAAAATTGAACAACATTTTTTACATAGTTATCTAATAGTATTATTTAAAATATGGCCTAGGCCTACTTGTAGGTTGGCTGCTGCATTAAATATAGACTACTCATCATCACTTATTATTGTGTGTTTAAATTATGCTTACCTTTTCTTTTTCCTCACTTACATGATAGTTAACCTAAGAACCTTAAGAATAATTAAAATACAGAAACAGCATTTGTAAAAATAAATTTATTAAAAAAACAGAAAATAGAACTACACATGTATCCTAAGTTAAAAACATGAATATGCAATAAGGTATTTTAAAATTATCACTTGGAATGACCAGCCAGTGCTGCCTTGAGCTTGAAGGTTAGGACTACTAGGGCTAGCCTACCCTTCTCTTCACTCACAACTAACGTGGCCATATATTTTGGACTCCAAAGCGGGACACCCCACACCGAGTATTGGGGGATATGGAATACCCGCCAGCTAGGCAGGGGGTCCGGGGTTTATTAGAATATTATATTATTTATTAGACGTTCATCATTGTTTCTGTTTATGCCTAGTAAAGAAATCCTAGCAATGCTACAAATGATCTCATGTATAACGTATGTAATACCAACATTGTAATGTAGACTGATTAATTTAGTTCTAGCCCAGAATGTGCCTTTTCTTGGCTGAATAGGGGGGTAATATAGGTACCAAATTTGTTAATGACATCCTACTTTAAACAAGTAAAATGTGTTTCAGCCGGAAACATGGAAGAATTACCATGCCATGGAGTTGTTTCCCCACCACTTCAGCCAGTACCTGTTGACGGAGGTGGGTTTCAGCAAGTGTGAGGTGATGGGAGCCCCGGTACATCCAGTGAAGGGGTTCCAGCGACCAATCCAAATGTATATTAAAGAGGACCCTTCGTTTGACACCCCTCGCCCCCTTGGTAACAACACTGAGAGGTAAAAATAACTTATTTGTTGCTTTTAGGTAAAAAAATCTTTATACTAGTGAATTCTAACAAACATTGTATTCATCAGCAGTTAGTATTTAAAATATTTTAGATTTTTTTGCTCAACTTTATGACAAGTAGGCCTAATATTGGCAATGAATTTGTTTTGCTAAAATAAAGGTGTTTTACAATTAAAGTCAACTCTAGTTCCAAGTCTAAGATCAGATTAAAAATTGTCAATGCTTTTAATCAGCTTCAACTGTTTAAGAATATAATAAGACAATAAGGGAAAAATCATAAGGTTTCTTATTCCCTACTGTATTAAGTTAGCCTGATTCAATCATTTTAAAAGCTATGAAAATTAAATCCATCACACCTTTTCTTTGTGTTTCATATTCTTTCAGAGCCAAAAATAAAACCTTTGAAAGAATAAGATTACCTAGTTACAAAAAAGATTATGAAAAATAGATGACAATGAACTAAGCTTAAAGCTTATTTTCTTTTTAATTTTAATTTTCGTTTAAAACTTATCTCTGAGGCATAAACAATTGCAATACCCTTTTACCTTTGATTACTTTGAGGCAGAAAAATTAACAATAAGAAATCATCATCATATATATATATAAATGGTGCATGCTCAAGATAATCATTATATAAATAAATAAATAAATAAATAAAAAGGCCTTTATTTACAAGCGAGTTTCATTTACATGATTTTCAAACTTACTCAAGTCAAACTAAAACTAAACTAACCTAATATATACAGAAATTTAATATACAAAAAACTACAAAGAAAAAACATTTACAATTTACATTTGTTTTTCTGCATTGCGGCCCTGAATGAGCCATACGATTTGGAGCTCTTTATGTCCTGAGGGAGGCCATTATACAACTGCGGGCCAAAATAAGAAAATGACTTTCTTCCAACCTCAAGCCTCACTTTAGGAAAGTGAAGCCTGCGGTCGGAACGAGTACCACGCAGGCAGATCTCCCCCCTGTACTTAAGCCTCTCGCTGAGGTACTGAGGCTCTCCCAGCGTGAGCACTTTGTGGACCAGGCAGCAGGTCAGCCTCCTGCATATTTCATCCATTGGGATGAGCTTTGCAGCATCTCGGAAGGAGGACACGTGGTCAAAGCGGTTAAGGCCAAAAATGAACCTTACCGCAGAATTTTGAATTCTTTGAACTCGTGCCATATCCTCCTTAGAGATGCTGTTTCCATATGCAGGAAAGCAATATGTAAAGGCTGGGAGGACCAAGGACCGCATGAGTTGCATTTTGGCATATTCTGGCAGTAGAGTTTTAAATCTGCTAAGACCTCTCAGTCTACCCACTGCACGTTGAACTGCAGATGTGACATGGTCAGAAAAAGAGAGGTCTTTGTCAAGTACAACACCAAGTGTGTTGACAGTGTCGCAAACAGACAATCTCATGCCATCAAGGGTGACTTCTATAGCAGATTTACTCAATTCCTGCATCATAATGTTTGGTCCAGTATGCATGACTACACACTTGTCAACATTCAATCCAAGGCCATTCATGACAGACCATTGAAAAATGCTGTGCAAATCAGCATTGATGAGCCGGATTGCTTCTGATGTCTTGTCTGGCTTGTATGACAAGTGTAGTTGGCAGTCATCAGCATACAAGTGTGCCGTACAATATTCTACACTTCTGGACAAGTCAGACGTGTACAAATTGAACAGCACAGGTCCTAAACAACTACCTTGAGGAACACCACGCAATTTGCAAAGCGGATCTGATGTCTCACTCCCAATTTTGGTAACCTGCAGTCGGGACTCCAAATAGGACCGAAACCAACAAACAACTTTTTCACTACAGCCATAGCACTTCATTTTGGCCAATAACAATTCATGATCAATAGAGTCAAATGCTTGGGAATAATCTAGAATAGCTAATGTGCTGTATAGGCCTTTATCTTTGGCATCGAATAGATCCGCAAACATATTAGTCAGTGCAGTACAAGTACTGTGGTTTTTTCTAAACCCTGACTGTAGCTTAGGCAATATATCAAAGTCATCTAGAAATGAAGCAATTTGTTTAGTTACTATCTTTTCCATTATTTTTGACATTGCAGGTAACACGGAGATAGGTCTTAAATGCTGGACGGTTTTTGGCGCAGCAACCTTAGGCAATGGTTTCACATGGGCAATCTTCCAACTTGTAGGGAAAACACCTGAGGCCAGACTCATGTTTATCAAATGTGTTATTGCTCCAATTGCATATGGGCTAACAGATCTTATCATTTGTATCGATATACTATCAACACCTACAGCTTTTGATTTTATTGAGTTCATTGCCTCTTTAACATCATTTTCTGTAATCATTTTAAATTCAAACTTATCGTTATATCACCAATACCATACTACTACTATTTTACAATACATATGTAAATTGTAGATATACCATGAGAGTTTTCATGAACATTTTTGTCTCTTGTTTACAAACTAACTGTGGCTGAAAATTCATCTGAAGATAACCAGCTGTTAAATTACAATTCACATTTAAAATTATTTTAAAGAAAGTTGGTCAGCAGCACATGCATTTTTGAAAGTTCATTCTTAAAGTAAATCAAAGGTTAGAGGGGGCAAAATCCTAAAAATAATGATCTTTTTTATTACCATATGTTCTTGCGCTAAATTATAAGCTTTCAAACTATAAGCTTTCATACGTAAATCTCGGTTATGTAGGGTGGGTGAAATAGGGAGGTTTTTCAGAGAAACACATGATTGTATTGACTAAATAGACAAGACCTGTGCGCATATTGCACATTTTAATCTGGTTCAAAATTTGTCTCCAAGGCATCCTGTAATGAATAATACAATAGGCCTACCCTTTTGTGTAGGTAGCTCTTTGTACAGTACAATTTTTAATACTGGGTCAAGAAAATTCAAAATGAATTTTTTGAGAAAATTTGTCTATGTGGAAATGCAAGGTTGAAAGAGGCTGCCACCCTCTTTTAGTAAAAAAAAACAATCATTAAATTGTATTACTTCCATAAATAAAAGGTATGGTAAACAGCTTAACTAATTCAATATTTGTGAACTGGTCCATCAGGTTTGAAAGCTACAGTTTCCGGCTGCCCGACAGCGTTCATTGCTCTGAAGACCTCAGCGGAGACAGTAACTTCCCCTACGAGACCCCCAACTCATTCAACTCGCCAGAGAGTGGGTTTTCCGAGGGATTACACCCGAGGAGGTATCCCATGAGGTTTCCTATGTTCGATATCATGGTGGGTGGAGGAGGAGGAGGGGAAGGACCGAGTACCTCAGAGGAAAACACTGCGTTGTCAGCTGATTCTAGCAGCCAGGAGAATGTCACCTGTCAGGAAGATGACCAACAACAAGAATTAAGTGAACAGAATGAACAGAAAGAGACAATTCCAAAGGATGAAGTTGTACAGGAAGAGATAAGTGAAAGTGATATGGTCGTTGAACAGGAAAAGATAAATGAACATGATGAACAGAAAGAGACAATTCCAAAGGATGAAGTTGTACAGGAAGAGATAAGTGAAAGTGATATGGTTGTTAAACAGGAAAAGACAAATGAAGAGGATGAACAGAAATATACTATTCCAAAGGATGAAGTTGTACAGGAAGAGATAAGTGAAAGTGATATGGTTGTTAAACAGGAAAAGACAAATGAAGAGGATGAGCAGAAAGATACTATTCCAAAGGATGAAGTTGTACAGGAAGAGATAGGTGAAAGTGATATGGTTGTTAAACAGGAAAAGACAAATGAAGAGGATGAACAGAAATATACTATTCCAAAGGATGAAGTTGTACAGGAAGAGATAAGTGAAAGTGATATGGTTGTTAAACAGGAAAAGACAAATGAACAGGATGAACAGAAAGATACTATTCCAAAGGATGAAGTTTTACAGGAAGAGATAAGTGAAAGTGATATGGTTGTTAAACAGGAAAAGACAAATGAACAGGATGAACATAAAGTGACAATTCCGAAGAATGTAGTTGAACAAGAAGAGATAAGTGAAGAGTGTGGTGTTGATGAAAAAGTGAAGGAAAGTAAAAAAGATCTGGTAGGTGAACAGGATGAAATAAGAGAACAGGAAAGTGGAGATAAACAAGTTGAGATGAATGAACATAATACAGAGGAGATGAATTTAGGGAATGAACAAGAAAATGTATCCGAAGCAATTAAGCAAAAGACAATGGACGGATGCCAAGTGGATGTCAGTGGGCCGTGATTTTTGAGGAAACAAGTGAACAAGAACGATGTGAAAATGAGAGGGTTAGTTCTAAAACCAAAGAAAATAGTAACCAAACTACCAAAAAAGGTGACAGAGATATTGATTTAGTCATCGGAGAAGTTGTTGATAATCAGTAATCTGAAGGGAAACAGAAAAAGAAAGGCTAAATAATTATTTCAGCCTTGTGGAGAGAGTACCTATGATAAATAGGGGAACTGTTTTAAGTGATATTTTGTTAAAGCAAATAATTTTGAGTTTTCTTTAGTTTCCTTGGAGTATTTTTCAGACTCAGCAAAGACCTTTAAACCCTAACCTGTTATATATGTATATGATGAACATTGTTTTCTTTTCAAAGGAAGTATATATGCTTTTTTCATTGCCCTGTAAATAGTGAAAAATATTGTATAAAAAATATACATTTCACATGTAAATAAATATTGTTTTGTTATATCTTGTTATCTATGCAGTTAGTTAAAGATGTATTTAATTAGTTTTTTAGGTAAACAAATTAAAAAACTAAACATTTAAGTAAAAATTAAAATCAACTTTGTTTTTAAGAAAAAAGTTCTGTTGAATGATTTTGTCAACAAATTGTAGCAAAAAGCAACTGTCGGTATTTAAAATAACAACGACTCAGTATTTTACTTCCATTCTAGTAACAGTCACTAAACGTTTTATTTTATTTTAATTATTTATTGTTAAAAATTTTACAAAGGTTACAAAAACAGGATAGTTTTACTTATTTGCCTGAATTCTTTAATTACTTAGGTACATACTTAACAGAACTGCACATCATAATAAGTTAGTTTTAGCCTTTTTTAATACACTTAACAGCCTACTGGTTGCACATTTTTTCATCATACTGTCCGGAAAGCAGCCGTTTTTAGTTATCTTAATCGTCCGCAAATTCATAGTTTTCGGGTAACTTCAAATAGAGAACAGAAAAAAAACATATGGTAATTTTTTTGTTTCGCTAACCTCAAATTATATCAGTGCATTATGAAAACACTGTTAATCACACAATATTTAAAGTTATGTTTGCAAAAAACAGAAATTTAAACATTTATGACGACTTTGTTTAACCTCAAATTATGTGAGTCTAATTTTGTAACCATTAGAAGGTTACACACTATGATGAAAATAGTTGTTCATCACACGCAGCAAAAGTGTCTTTTTGGTACTTCATTGTATTTTCAAGCTTGGCGGAAAAAGAGCCACTTTCGCTCCTAGTGATGAAAACTACTATTTATGACAGTTATTATTGTACTATGTCTCAATTTACACAAACCTTTCGCCTAAAAAAATTTATTGAGTTGATATTTTCCGTATTAAATTTCCAAAAAATAGCACCCTTATGGTAGTTACTATAGTATGCCTACATACAACAAAGTTACCATTTCCATTTTTATAAATTATTTGTAAAAATTGATTATTATGATGAGTTGCAAAGAGAAAAACATAATTTGTAAAGCTTATATTTAACTAAAATATAATAATTGTGTCATACCATAGAGAAGTAAGATACAGAGGATACAAGCTTATGGGACAATCTTGCGCCTATAGCTCTGGTATGTTGAGGCGGAAATGTACTAGTATTGAGCAAGGAAGAGCCCGATCAGCAATGGTCACAAAGCATATGTGTACAGCAGTTTAGCGCACAGGGTCTTCCTACTGCGCGAGTGCTGTAGTACCTGATGGCGAGGGGGGAAATGGGAGCAGTAAGGAACAATGAATAGAATTTGCTCTAGACATCGACTGGTGGTAGACCACTTGAAGTGTACCATTGAATGTTTCCTCTGTTTATTACTTCTCTGTGGTTATACAAAATTAAATTAAGGGTGCATAAGGTTTGTATCTGTATCTTAACAAAATTAAAAAATAGTTTTTTTTAATTTCTTACAAAATAAAAATATAGAGCCTAATATAATAATAAAGATTAGATGAAGAATTTGTCTCTAAGCGTTCTTAACTTACCGTACCTTTTAATTTTTTTCACCCCTACAAAAATTCTATTACTTTAATCATGGTTTTGATACTCAGAACTAGAAAGTTTGTTATACAGTAGTAGTTTATGCAACGACTACGTAAAGATAGTGTTAATGACACAAGTAGAAATTTAAGGTATGAGCCGTGGCGATTGCCCTTAAAACTTGTGTAAAAATAGTGTCGTTAAGACTATTTATGCGAGTTGCGTTCTTATTTTACCTACGACCGTTTTTTAATTACTAACAATCAATACTCGTAACTTATAAGTGAGGTTACGTTTTCATTTTATAACCTCTCATTGGCACTGACAGTGATGCAACGACTCATTGTACCAACCACTAATTGCACCGATCAAACAATTAAACTTGTAAACAGCTGATTAGTTAAAGTTCAAAGCATTACAATTTTACTTCTTTTCTCTCAATCCTTGAACCTCATTGGTCCGTTATTCATGTTGTTAAGTAAAACAATGCTGCTATGTAAGTAAACAATGCTGTTAAGTGAATCTTTTCAATTCTAAGAACTGACCTGAAACGGCTAGTTTAAAAAACGGCCGAAGGTAAAAAATATACACTAAGTTTTTTTAACTAATATACAATTTAATTTAGAAAATTGGAATGGATAAATAGTATACCAGTAATAAAATGCAATAATTAATTTATGAATACAGAATGTTTTTAAGTTTTGCGGTCCTAGTTTGTATATCTATGTCAGTTACAATAATGTCACATTTCCTAAATCAACTGCTTTACAACTGAGATGTTATTACTGTACATCTTGTCAGGTTAGCAATTTTGCCAAACTTTTAAGACACCGAATGGAAATGATTTCACACATTCATGAACAGAGTATTTAACAGAATCAAATATATGTATGAAGAATTTAAAACTTGCACTTGTTATAACTGTTTTGTCACTAATCTGTGACTTGGTTCAGTTTTACGAACAAGAAATATGTACTTTTAAATCAAAAAAGTAAAAAATTAAACATAAGAAAAACTATTTATTGTTTTTTATTTATTTTGTAAACAAAATATCCCTTTTACAATATTTATTTTGTGTTGAATACAATACGATTCCACATTCATTTGGTTTTACTGAATACATTTGTTTAGGATCAGATTTCAGAATATATATTTTACGTTAGCTCAGAAGTGATGCATTGTTGTTAATTAATGTAATTTTGTTATCGGACAAAGGTTTTCTGATCAATTAAGTTAGAACTTCTGTATTGGCTCAATTTTGCTAGACAATGATTCTTCAGGTTACGAGGCCAATTTGCTTTGGACTCTTTCCACTGCCTCTTACTGATAAGAAATTTATTGTAAAGTGTTATATACTATGTTATAATGTAGTAACCGAAGTATTCAGCCATTACATTTATTTTACAATTTTAATTTGTACAAACACAGGGTATCCTCTCAACTTTGAAAACTCTATAACGATGAACCAGAAGGGGGGGTTATACCGGTAGAATCAAGGAACTATTGATTCTTGATACTTTGTAATTTTGGGTTAAAACTGATTCCAGAATCGAGAATCTCGTCAACGATAACGGCGATCTTCCGCCATTTTGTTCTGTGTATTATTTAATAATTTTCTTAGTTTGTTTTCAACTGCTTTGTTTTCTTATGGTTAGAATCTTTACTTTTTCTATAATCGCAACAGAACAGAATGCAGAATAGATGCAGGGGCATCGTCGTACTGCTTTCATTTGGCTCCTTGTTAAAAAAGAAAGCCAGTTATGACACTATTCCCATTAACCTTAACCAATTAATTTGGTTTTCATTCCAGAGTGGAAACCCTGAAATATCGAGTATTACAATAGTTAACTTATATTCATTATTTCACTGCGATAATCGTGAATGTTGTGTTTCAAATATTCAAAAGCAATATTGTTTCATTATTGTTACATCTACACTATGCTACAACTTTGTTATGTAAATAAAGACGATTCAATGTGGTTGTCAATTTAAATATGATTTTGGTTTTTGTTTATTTCTGTTGTTTTGTACAATATTGTTATGTAAGTAGTCAACTAATGAGTCACTGTTTAGTTGTGAGCAGCACTTCTTACTTCAAGCCTTCACACTAGCAACTTCAGCACAATCTTTGTACAAATGTACTACTCTGTAATATACAACTATTGCCACAAACCAGACTTTTATTACCCTTTCAAAACCTGTTTGAACTCCATCAACATTAACATATTTTTTGTGCAAGCACTACACTACAGTGCAAACAACTGATTTGAAAGAATAAGCTAGAGTCTAGGATGTCAGCAAGGCCACACTAAAAAAACAGGCCGTAATGCTCGCCAAGCATGACGTCACGATAGAAGACGGCTATGACGTATAAGTACTTATTTATTTATTTTCCAATGAAAGATTAAAACAAGCAGCTGATCACAAACGGCAAAATTACGTCATTGCCGTCTTCTATCGTGACGTCATGCTGGACGAGCATTACGGCCTGTTTTTTTAGTGTGGCCTTGATGTCAGCCATACATTATCCATTTTGAAAAACATTGGCTGAATAAGCCATCATTGTTTTTTTTTTGTTAAAATATTATTTGTGTTTATCATTTTAGGTACTGTTTATTATTTCAATCTATAAATTATATATATTATATATAAATATATATATAATCTAATATATAAAATTCTCGTGTCACAGTGTTTGTCTGCAAACTCCTCCGGAACGACTTCACCGATCGTTATGAAATTTGGTGTGTAAATTCTGTAGGTATGCGAATAGGAAGTAAACTATTTCCCGTTTCGAAATTCTTAAAAGGGCTCCGCCCCAGTGGCTCTGGAGTTTCCCATGTTAACCTTATGAGAAATGGAATTAATGAATCTTAACAGCTGTTTCAATTAAACAAGTTGGTTCTGTTCTATGATGTTCAATAGCATTAAAGTTACAAGGATTACCAACAGGGTGCAGCACTATTATTTCTTTTACATTTATGACAACAGCTAATTTGCAACCAAAAGGTGAGTGAGCGTAGCGAACGAACTTCAACCTGGAAGCGAGTTAGCGTAGCGAACGAGCTAACCTGAAGGCAAGTGAGCGCAGCGAACGAGCTCCAACCTAAAGGTGAGTGAGCGTAGCGAACGAGCTCCAACCCAAAGGTGAGTGAGCGTAGCGAACGAACTTCAACCAGGACGTGATTGAGCGATGCGAACATCTAACCTGAAGGCAAGTGAGCGCAGCGAACGAGCTCCAACCTAAAGGTGAGTGAGCGTAGCGAACGAGCTCCAACCCAAAGGTGAGTGAGCGTAGCGAACGAACTTCAACCAGGACGTGGTTGAGCGATGCGAACGAGATCATCTTGAAAATTAAACGTAACGGTACTTAAATTAAAAATAGTCAAAGGCAAGACAACAGACAACGTCTGCCGGGTTTTCCATCGGTCTGTCTTAGGGGAAACCTATAACTTAGGCGATACGAAGTTCGCCGGGTCAGCTAGTAGTTATATATATATAACTAGTTTAGTTATTTATTGGAAAGCAAATATTTCACATTGCTTGACTAAGTTACCCGTTGCATCTTACCATGTATCTTCAAACAAACTAACCAAATTACATAGTGTCTCCGTAAGAGCTGTTCGTTAATAACAGTAGAAAGCTTGTAAAGGCAAATATTATGAAATAAACGGTATCAGCAATCTGATACATACTTTCTCCCATTAGCTTGACAACAACCTTTATCATGGGTAAGCTATGGGAGGGAAACTGTAGGTCCAGTTGCCATTAGCTGTATGGGCTATTAATAAAACAGCTGTGTCTAAGGAATGGCGGCCTTAGTCACTACCAAGACTACAAGATCGCGCCACTCATCCTACACTCATCTCCATTCATACTTGGCTTAAAATACCTACTTTGTATGGTCGCCATTTCATTGAACAGTATTAACAGTAACCAAGATATTTTAGGTAAAAGCAAAAATCACGAAATTGCAATAACTTATAAATTGTAATGGTTACAGCTATGAGAGATTGCACTATTTTGTTTAAAACTACAAGGACCATAACAAGCTTTTTCCCAAAATTTTATTTTTTTTATTTTATGGTTTTTTATGGGAACCGAAAATTACATAATTTACAATAACTTTTAAGCCGTAATTTTTAACATGAATAGGAGTTCTACCATTTTGTTCAGAATTTAAAGGGCTACAACATACTAAATTTTTATCAAAATCGTTCGGCCGTGAGAAAATTCAATTTTCCCGTTATTTTATGGGAAAATCACCATTAAAAATCAAAATTTCAAAAAATGAAAAAATGCCTGGAGAAACCATGAATTAGTACCTACATACCAAATGTCATCAAAATCGGACCACAGGTGTAGTCTGTAGCTCGGTACACATCCACACAGACATCACTTCGAAAACGACTTTTTTGGGTCCAGGGGGACCCAAAACACATATATCCACTCAAAACTCAAACTCGAAAATGTTGACGAAAACAAAACTTTCTCCATAGTCCATATACTATGGTATAGGGGGAGAAAGTAAAAAGTTCATTTTGGGAAACAGCCTAAGATTAGTGTAGTATTACACATAAAATGAGTCCAAATACAAGGTGTTAATAAAAGAATGGCAGGATATTAAACGATTGTTGCTCGGGGACTATTCAAGATAATTAAAGGATTTATGTGGTATTCCCAGTTTCAAGAACAAAATGATTAATTATATTGGTTTACTTTATGATTGCAAGGTTCATGAGCTTAAACTTCTACATTCATCAAGAACCTGGCAATCATAAGGTAAACCAACATAAATAATTAAAGGATTTAAGCGTCAAATTGAAGGGAAAAGAACAAAGATTTTTCTCATACTTTGATACAGTTCGGAATAATTTAATAAAATTCAAATTTTCATCAATTTTTTTGGTGAAGTTCTGGCTAAGTTTGTACGCTTAGGGTGATTGGCGGGTTTATCTGATGTCTTAAATGAATCTTTTTAGGCACAAAGAAAGACTATTTTTTACAGATAACATCGTGAAGTGTTGACTTTGTCGGGCAATCGATTTTTTGGGGCTTCTGATGCAGAATTGTCGGATTTATTCGACTATGTCATAGCTCGTTTACAATCGATATAATCTCTGTGAACCACGCATTACACACTGAAGTTATTTAACTTCAATTTGATATTGAATAGTATCCAAGCAAATACCTTTTACAATCCCGGCATTCTTCTAAAAACATCCTGTATTTTTTGATCCGCTATTTTTACTTTCTATTCCATATGGAGAAAGTACTGTTTTTGTCAAAATTTTTGAGTTTGAGTGTTATGTGCGTTTTGGAAACCCCTGAACCCAAAAAAGTAGTTTTCCAAGTGATGTCTGTGTGTGTGAGTTACAGACCACCCCAGCAGTCTGATTTTGATGAAATTTGGTATGTAGGTACCGTACTAATCCATGGTTTTTTGTCCAGGCGTTTCTGTAATTTTTTTGAAATTTTTATTTGTAATGGTGATTTCCCCATAAAATAACGGAAAATGGCCAGGTATGTGGGGTTAAATCCAAAAACAAAAAGGCCTTATTGTTTACAAAGTTTCATGTAGCGTATTTAATAATATAGATAGATAGATTTGGTTTTACTCTGTGATCTTGTGTTGAAAAAAATTGCTGTAAGCCCTAGTGGTAAAATATATTATTTTAATGATTCATAGTTAATATAGGAAAAGGAAAAGACAAACGTTCTAATAAAAAGTAGAGGTGACAGAAAAAATTTAACATTTTTTCAGTAACTGAGTTAAGACAATGAATACAAACCTTTTAAGAAGCGCAATGCCTTTGTTAAAAATTCAGTCTGGAAATATTTGAATGTTGGATAATTCCCGCGGTAGCCGCTGGGTAGACTATCGGGAGTGCGCGGCCAAGTCAGCTGACTAAATGAGAGAGAGTGAGACAAAGAATCAGCTTAGAGAGAGAGAAGGATAGAGTAGCGCAGCTGCACGAAGCTCATTTCGGTGGCAAAATTCCAGTCTGACTATTCTCTATAAGTATTTAGCTTCTTAAAGGGTTTGTATTCATTGGTTAAGACTAGAAGTGTTTACTTTTTTAGAATAATATAATTAAAAAAAAAATGTGTTCTTAATTTTTTTACTACCAACAGGTGAAGAAACCAAGTTAAATAGGCCTACTTTATAACCATACACAAGGGACATAGCAATAAGAAACAAACAACACATCAGTAAACAATATTTTATAACAAATATAAAACCATACAAAATCAGAGACTGTTTGTATCAAGTGTATAGTTTCAATTTACAAATGCAAGAATTACTCTTGTACAGATAAGGTTTCATACAGTATACAAATTCCTTAGGAATGATTGGCTTAACAAGAACAATACAATAAAAATCATACATCATTGTAAAACACATATAACTTAGTTGCACAACTTATATATAATAACTCAGAACTTAAATTTGATTTTTTTCAATAGTTCTACTCATGCAATCAAAAGCATTACTTTAGACAATGAAAAGGATGATACCACCAAAGGCGGTCCCAGGAGGGGTCATGACCCCCTAACATATCGTATAGAATAATAAGCTTCTTTGCAAAATACATAGTTTCCTCAGATAAGTTATTGTAAATTTAAAGAAAACTTTAACTTGTACCGTTTTACAAATTGTCAATCCAATCTCATTGTATACACTTGTTGCAGTCACCAGTCGTCTAACTACAACACAAGATGACTGAAGTAAATACATTGGCTTCACTAGGGTCAGAATTAAATGTTGAATCATTTTTGAGGCTCATAGAAGGCATGGATCGATGCCAGTGTTCGCTTGCCCTCCCAAAAATCTAAATAAATAGTTTGAAGAATATTTTTTGAAATTTAAAATTATTCTAAAAATATAATGGTTTGATAAGTTGTATTAATGAGTATAAGGTGTTACACATATTTAGAAACCTTGTTACGAGAGTAGAATAAGTGTTCCCCATGACTTGTTACTCCGTGAATCGAGGTATATAGTAATTAGGTTTCATTGGACTTTATGGTGCTGTGAATGAAATGAGATTTTGTAAATTATTCAGGCAATTGATCCTGTAAATAATAGTCTGATTTTTCATGTGTTTTTATCCACTCAAGATAGTTAAATTAAAAATAATATAATTGTTTACATTCTTACTTGCTTTTAT